AACTAGTTTAACTTTAACTGATGGTGGTTACCCGAAGGGCAGCGTGGCACGCAAATTATGCAAACTTTTACGAGTTTTACGCTTTGAGCTTTTTCGCCAAGAAGCCGCGAGCTTTTAAGTGCGCCGTGTGCTCAAGAAATTCATTAGCGTGCTAAAAATAACTCCGCACTAGAGAAAACCTGGAGAAGTCTAGTGGATAAAGAGCAAATGCCCACAAATGCAAAGCACGCAGAATAAATAAAAAATTAAAAATTCAATGCAATTTTTTCTCTACATCACATCGAAAACAAACAGAAAAAAATTATGCTTGGTAGACGATTTTTTTGACCTTGAAATTCAACAAATTCTGATGATTCAGATGAAGATTCAAGATTCAAGACTACTGGGCAAAAAGATAATAAATTTTCTCATGTTTACTCTTAGGTTGTTTGGCCCACGACACGAATGACGTTGGTAATATACAGAGTGTTAAATAAAACACCTTCAAAAACTTATTTTTGCGAGTATATTCAATATAAACATTTAGTATTGGGTATAATGTTTCAAGGACAAACAAAAAGAAGGACATTGTAAGGATGTGTCGAAGGGGGTGGAGATTGGCGAAGGTCTCGATATTTTTCTCGTCTTGCCCGTGCCTTGCCAATAATTCAAAGGTTACCATCCACCTCCGGTGAACAGCGCATAGATTCATAACTTTGAAGGTCAAATAAGTTACTGTACTGACTATACAACCATAAAATTAAATGTTTTACTGTTTTTAGACGTTTAGTTAGTTAAAACATTTATAACTCAAGAACGGCTGGACGGATTTTCATGATATATGATTTGTTAGATTCATATTTGCTCCAAATAGAAGAATAATTATTAAAATTTTAGAAATAATGTTTTAAAAGGTGTTAAATAAGGGATTAAAATTTATATAGGGATTTATTAATAGTTATAGTTAAATAATTGATTCATAGATGGCGCTGCAATGCAATAATAGCTTTTCTTTCTTATTTTATTAAAAAAAGTCGATAAATAGGAATGAAAAATATAATAAAATTTTACTTAAAATATTCAAATGGAACTGCGTCTTATATTTTGCTGTTTACAACATGAATTTTCGACTGTTGCTAAGCTTATACAAATTAATCAAAGAAATGACTTGTGTAATACTCAATGTAAAGGCAATTTCGCTGTGAATCAAAACGATAATTAAGCAAATAATTACTTAATTTGCCCGCGACTCTTGTGGCCATTCAATTTCGCTTCTTTCTCCTCATCTGCACGCCTCCGCCCACTCGATTTCGTTAATTAAGAAGATTGCGTCCTCAGCGCGTCGTTTCATTAACTTGTTAATTATCTCCGTGTTTTCTTCGCAATGGCATTGTTGGTTTGTTGGTTGCCTAGCTGACTTATGAAACCCACAATATTCATTATTCTTTTGAAGCGTGTTGTGGAAATTTTTCGTAAATATGGAATTGTGGAATATTTTCGACTGAAATGCAAAAATATGTATATTGTTTGTCGATGGAGGGTTGAAAAGGAGTTGATAAGGGGTGGAATATGATGGATGATGAAGAATATATACTATTTTTTCTCGTTTGCAAGGGTTGTGGGGTTTGGAAGAGTGATGATTGAAATGGCGGTTGCAATTCTTTATAAAACGGCATTTTGTGGAACTGGGAAAGTTAAATTGTTAATTTCCGGTTTACACTTTATTTTCTTATTGAAAAATCAATATAGTTTTACGTTTTCAACCCTTAAATGCAAAAGTCGTTATTTTTTGTGTTTTTCCATAGAAAAATTCAATATTATTCAATTCCGCATTGTGTTTTCTTATTTTAAGAGGGTGAATTGTATAGAATAGGGTGGAATATATTAAATATATCTTAGGGGTAGTTTTCAACGTGTTATTATACATGAATGCATCAAAATATCTTGGTTTTTAATAGAAAAAATGTAAAATATTTAAAAAAACACTTAAAAAAATTTCTTTTGAGTTTTTTGTTTGATCTTTGATGTATTATGCTAATATATTTTGCACCCCTTGTCAATTAACCCTCCCAACAACCCATATCCATCACTTTTACTCTCATTGACACTCAAAACCTTTAAATTTAGACTTGTATTTTGTTTCTAACATATTGACAACTCAATTTTGACCTTGCTACCCCCATAAATCTGCAACACAAATTTTATACCATCCCCTATTCGTAAATAGTGTATCTCACCAGTACTGTCATTACATTTCCAGTAGAATAGTATAAGTATTCGATCACTTGTACTTTTCAGTGTGTAATGTTTGACTCAACAACTTGCACCCTCTGAACTTCTCTTATCCACCCGCCTTAGGGGTGCATTCACATACGCATGTCAAATAATCCACCCTCTAATTGCGTTGGACGCGGTATCTTTAATAGTTAATTGCACTTTCGGGACTGTTGAGTGTTTATATGGCGCATCGACCCTCTTCCCCTTTTTTTTTCTTCTTGATACAAAGGGGATGAATAGAAAGATCAGATGTTAAATGCCAAATTGCACTGGAATCTAATTTAGCGTAGTTTTACGCTTGGTATTATAATAGTAAAAATTTGTGGTTATGTAGAGAGAGTCATTTGCAGTGTGCGTTGTTTTAAGCTAATTAAAAGCAACGTAATGTCGTAATTAGTGGGTTTGTTTAGCCGCGCGTTCCGTTTTCTCATTTTCGTTTTGCTCTAATTACCAACGACAACTACCCCTAACGAGTAATCTTTCATTAATTCCATTTGTGCGCATGTCAAGTTATTAGAAATTCAAGAATAAACCCGGCAAGCATTTGCACAATGAATGAATTAATTAATTCTGCTGAATATATGTTAATTATGTAGTGTTTGTTTATTGTTATTAGTATTGTGCAACGTAAATAACGTAAATATGAAAATAAACTATTCATATGTTCATTACTATATTATTGCTATGCATTACTGTCTGATGGCGGTAGTGTGTTCTGAAAATATGATTAAAAAGTTGCCTACCACTTCCAACATATCTATAATATAAAAATAAATCGCAAAATCTGTTGGTAAGCGCATAACTCAACAACGCCTCGACCAATTTGGCCAATTCTTTTTAAATGTTTGTTAAAGTCCAAGGATGGTTTTTACGGCGAGAAAAATTCGAATAATTGCCGGGAAAACCCTAAAGACAGCTCTTTTCTATAGGATAAAAGTTGGCATTGAGATTCAATCATAGTTATAGTTAAATAGTTGAATCCGAGATGGCGCGCTGAAGTGCATTATTAGCAATTCTTTATATAATTAATTTCTTTAAAATAAAATTGCAAATCTTATTGATAGAATTGACACATACTATGTCTAGAACAAAAGAGTATAAACAAATTACATTTTTATTAAACAATACCGGGAAAATCTCGCGGAAAAAAACTATGAATAAAAGTAATGAATAAAAACTTGTAGATGTAAAATGAAAACTTACTAGAAATTCACATGACGCAAAATCAAATGATTTCCAATTAGTTTTCAATTTCCGTTCATTATCTGCAATTACCACTCCGCCGGGCATTGCACATTGCGTTAGGTGTAATTTCCGGTTTAAGTCCTGCGTCTAGGACTTGATTTGCAGTGAAAATAAAAACGCAAGCTTTTTCTTCGCTTACAAAGACGGAAATAAACGAGTTATGTGCGTGATCGGTTGGATGATAGATAGGTAGCAATAAATTGGCAATACATCATCGATCGTGGCTGCGTGGCACGTGTAGGGTAGTTTTATTCCCTTTATGAAACACCATCCAATCCTATTGACTTCTATTCAATTTCCAATTATTTCACATTTTACAATAAATTTATATTTATACAAAAAAAATTCAATAAAATATTTAATATTTTTGCATTTTGCAGCATCGTTAATTGAACAAAACATCCCTCGGTAATTTGATGAAATATTTATATCAGGCTATTTTTATCCGGGTGTGTGGAGGTGGCGAACGCCGAACAGGAACAACGTCACTATGGTGCAATGACGTCGGAACGATCGGAAGCTTCTAACCGAGGTTGAAAACACGAAAACACGCCATTTTTTTTCGTGAATATCCTCATGCGATTTATGTCATGCTCGATACTTAAATTTAAACATCAATTTGACAAGCTGGATTCAATATTTATTGCTACCGTGTACGGTTGAACTAGTTTTGACTTCCTAACCGTGATTTACATCAATTCCGCTTTTATTTGGGACGCAGGTGGCACTTATGTTATTTCGTGCTATTATTTACATTAATCATTCTTATCACGCATCTTATCGCGATCCAATCGTGTAGTATTATGTTTGGCAACAATTCATGTCAAACTCCTTCTTTAAATACAAGCAAAATCAAAATATTTACTGAAATTGTTGGTTTTTAGGTTATGTATAGACAAATAAACTATTTTAACTCCAAAAATATGTAATATTAATGCAAATTGTAATTAATTTCTTAAATAACGCAATATTTCATGTATAATTAATGATTTGTTAAAATTTGCAGTGTGCAGTACACGCGCCATTTTAAATTGCTAGTTTCACCTCCCATTTTGCAAGATAATTGATGCTATTAATAATTTACGTGTAACAATCAGTCATTTTAGTCCCTTCCCTGATGTTTCTTTGTTCACCTGCGCCTACCCCTCTTTACGCTCAAGTGGACATTCAATTTGCTACGTTTTTAATCGAATTTTAACCCTCTACGTCTGTTTTTTTGGCGCCACCACTTTTAACATTTTAAAACATGCATTACTGCGCGTCTCAGATAGATTGATTGCTCAGCTTGACGTGAATTTATGAATTTATGATGATGATGACTTTTGCAGTTTAAGGGAGGGTTTTACCCTCAACACAACCCTTATATTTTGCGGTTTTGCACTATAATCAAGCATGGAAAACAAAATTTTTATTAAATTCTTTGTTTTACTGCGGAATTCAATCGAATAGAATTGAAAACGTGCAAATCGTGTAAAACGGACGTGTTTTACGTGTTGCAGGACGAAGGGTGGAAGCTGAATCGCACGAATTACTATCAGGAGGGATGGCTGGCGACCGGAAACATTCGCGGCATCGTCGGCGTCACGTTCACCACCAGCCATTGCAAGAAAAACGTCGAGTTTCCCCTACGTACGAATTACAATCTACGCGGACATCGATCCGAAGTAAGTCTACACAAAAATTATTCCGAATTAAATCAAATCAACCCTTAAAACACTAAAAAACAAAATAAACATTTACTAGGTTATTCTTGTGAAATGGAATGAACCTTATCAAAAACTAGCGTCGTGCGACAGCTCAGGGATCATTTTCGTCTGGATAAAATACGAAGGACGTTGGTCCATTGAGTTGATCAACGATAGGAACACCCCAGTGACGCATTTCTCATGGTCCCACGACGGTCGCATGGCCTTGATATGCTATCAGGTATTTACTCTACTTTACACCCTCATAAACCATACAAAAGTCATAAATTTTCTAATATCTCAACATCCTGACTCATGATTCATATTTCCTTTGCATTTTCAAGGACGGTTTTGTCTTGGTGGGATCTGTAGCAGGCCAACGTTATTGGTCCTCAATGTTAAACTTGGAAGCAACTATAACCTGCGGTATTTGGACCCCGGATGACCAACAAGTCTATTTTGGTACCACTAGTGGTCAGATAATTGTAATGGATGTTCATGGGGCAATGGTTTCACAAGTTCAATTAAGTTCGGATGTGGGTATTGTTTCAATGGCGTGGTCCTGTGAGAAATTCAAAATGGAGGAGGGTGATGAGAATGACCCAGGGGTTACTAATGCAGCGGAGAGGAAATTTGTCTTGGCTGTCAGTTTACAAAATGGGTTCATCTATCTGCTAAAGACTTTTGATGATGTTTCTCCAATCCAAATGGATACCAAGCTCCAGGGACCAGTTTGTATGGAATGGAGTAATTCCAGGGAGTTGTTAGCTGTTGCTGGTGTTACACTTGGTAGTAAATCATCACCAAATCAGAATCAGAATGCGAATCAAGGTCAAGGTCAAACACAACCCAATCAGGAATATGCTAATATGTTGAAGTTTTATAACGAGAAGGGTATTCTTTTGTATTGTATTAGTATACCTTACACCCAAGCCCCGGTAACGGCTTTAACTTGGGGTCACAATGACAAACGTCTTTTCTTGGCTACTGGTACGCAGATTCACATTGCTTGGGTTTCGAGAAGAATAGCAACCCTGCAATTGCTTTGTCGACTGAGGATCCATGATTCCATTTTGGGTGAGGGCCAGATTGTCGCGTTGCCACTGCCGCCGAGGATACGAAATCTCATTGGGAATCTATTTGCTCAAACAATTAGGGTAAGTTAAACTTTCATCAAAATTCAATTTACACATAATGCCAATCACAATCCAACCCTCCATTGTTCTAGTGTTGTGTGCCTGAACCGTCAGCACTGCGTGAGTTCGTCTCTCGACCACCCGTCGGGTCAGTACGACTTCATTGTACAATGATCCGCCATGACGAAGACAGCAACATATCTTCAGGCACCTGCTACACCCTGTATCTGGAATATCTTGGGGGACTTGTCCCTTTACTCAAAGGCAAACGTACGAGTAAAATACGACCGGAGTTTGTTATTTTTGACCCGCAGGTTGAAGGTAGGACCAAAATTTTTAAGTTTTTGTTTGATTTTAATGGTTTTTTGGTAGATTTCAGTGCGATTTCGTTGAATCACTGGTCTTCCGAATCGAAAAGTTCCGGTTCTTCAAGTCAATCAACAAGTGGGGGTAATTTGGCCAGCGATTCGTCGGACAGCGATCGGGACGAAGGATGCACGAGCTCACCGCGTCTGCAACGCCGACGCAAACGGCGTAATAAATCACGCTCGCGGAACAATTACGGCGACCGTTCGGGCCAGAGTTCCGGTGATGCAGACCCTGAAGACCTCGCTTATGTTGACACATTACCGGAAGTATGTCTTGATCTCTTTTTTACACCCTAATTGAGAATTAATTTCATGTGGTTTTATAGCATGTGAGATTAGTGGAAGTAACCTCAAATATATGGGGCACCAAATTTAAGATTCATGGGTTGGTCAATTCCGTACCAGCTAATTTGGGTCAAGTGACCTATAAGACATCTCTTCTACATTTGCAACCTAGGCAGATGACTTTGGTAATGACTGAATTACGAGATGATTTCCCAGTTGGTCCTGACCCTACCTTCAATCCAAATCTCTTCTCGGAAGATGAAGAGGAAATCTGTCAGGCTGAGGAGAAGGCTAGGTTACGGCGGGTGTCTATTGATAATTGTCCACCAATAGCGCCGATGTCCCCACGCGGTAGTCGTTTTACAAAACCCACAAAAGGGACTTACTCAGGTGATAATACGTTATCCTCGACGACACGTCCAGGCTCGGGCCCTAGTGCAGTGGTACCTGCTTTAGCGAAAGCCGAATCATACGATGATGAAATTACAGAGGCTAGGTGTCTCTGCACCAATGGGAGTAATTCTAGTAGCAGTACAGAATCCGTCCGAGAAGGAATCATCACCAGCCAGCCACTGCATCACCATCATCAACTGCAACCGCTCATCACTACTCATCAACCACCGAAACATCCTACAAGTAGTGCACAAATATCTACGACTAGTTTTGTTGGCCAGCTTAGAAACTGTAATCTAACAATGGCCCTGGGAACTAGTGGTAGTTGTACACATTCCGGTCAAGTACAGAATCAACGCCATATTGCAATCTCGCCGCTTTGCTGTGACGGTGCAGTACCGGCTTTGCAATCGCCAAAAAACGCCGTTGCACCTTCGGATATCATATTCGAACGGCCCTACAACAACGTGGACTATAATCCATCCAGAAACGACTATCAGTGTCCGACGAGAAACCTAACTCTGAATTTAAACTCGGAGAAAATTAAAAATCATTCGGGTAGACCACCAACTGGAAGTGGTTTACAAGTGGGGCGGGTTCACACAAGGATAAGAACCGCCCAAGTCCAAACACCATCGGTGCCACAATCAACCCAAATATTCAGGGGCCTTCACAAGGATTGAAAGAGATCCTATTCATAGATGAGGAGTCCAGCACGCCGGGACCTTCCACCACCACCACAACAATTGCTAGCAGTATTCCAATAAGTAATACCACCGTTGATACTTTAATCCGCACAGGACCAGGTTCAGTGTCAAATTCAAACACAGCACTTGGTTCCGGACCTGCGCCGATTGCCGACGCAATGGTACGGAGTTGTAGTGTTGGGTATTTGGATTTAGTTGATGCCCAAATTGTTCCCAATGATGTAGCATTACTAATGCTTCGGAAAGATGCTCCGAAACGTTTGGTACTCGTCAATCGTAAACATCGTCATCATAAGAAACAAACAAAGAAATCCCAGCAGACGGAGTTGAGAGAATGTCGCATGAACAAAACCCCGAATTTGAAGAACTGTGGGAAGTCTAAATCGTTAGATTCAAGCGACATTTTCCCACCTAACAATGACATCAAAGTCCAGCACAAAACCAAGGAGATTATTCCTGAGGTAATTGTTGATACTAAGAAATCAACAGCAGTTTCCGAAGAATCTGTGCAGATTACCAATCTGGGGAATTTATCTACAGTTAACAATAACAATCTAATTAATACTAACAATAATAATAATAATAACAAGAAGGAGCCTTCAAAGTTGAGTATATTTGTAAAGAGTCCATTGTCACGAAGGAAGAAAGACACATCTGATACGGAAAAGAATAATAAAAGTCGTAGTAGAAGTAAACAGAAGAAGAATGACAAGGGGGTAGACAGCCCAACGCACAAAAGTGGCATGTCTTTGCATACACACGCACTGGCAACGTTGGAGAATTTACTAACAAGGTTAAGGGAGGATGATGGGAGGTCCACACCACCAAATTCGCCTAGGTTACCAAGGAGTCAACCTGCATCGCCTGCGCCTTCTAAAAAAGGTAACAGATTTTTTTTCCAACATAAATTATGTTTAATTGTTTGATGTTTAGGTAAACGACCTCAAAGTGCATCTCCAATAAGAAAGAATCTTCTTTCATCGCCGTTATTAGGTCGTAGAAATCGGAAGAATAAAAATCTGGAAAGTTCGGATGATGAGGTGACTGCCTCTGGTGATGAAGTTTGTAATGGGACAAATTATAAAGATTTAGAAACGTTCCAAAAGGCTCAGTTACGTCAAAAAGTAATTTCAGAAAATTTAAACACAAAATTTTTTTGCTTAAATTTTTGTGTTTTTTTAGTTAAAACGTGGTAAAATTGAACCAAACGGAAGCAACTGCAACAATCACGTGGTGCCTCAACGACGAGAGTTTGTAATGCACAATAAAGCGCCCATGTGGAACGAAAACAGTCAAGTGTATCAACTTGATTTTGGCGGACGCGTAACCCAAGAGTCTGCTAAAAATTTCCAAATTGAATTTCGTGGAAAACAGGTTTAAAATGAATAATTTTTAAGTTAGTAGTTTCTAAACATGGTTATGTTGTGTTTTAGGTTATGCAATTTGGAAGAATTGATGGAAACGCTTACACATTGGACTTTCAATATCCATTCTCAGCCCTACAGGCATTCGCAGTCGCGTTGGCAAACGTGACACAACGATTAAAATAAAAAACTTTCATTTTACAGAAACATCCAACCCCTAGTTGAACATATCGTATCATTAATATCGCTAACAACATAATTCAACACTACCCAAACGCATACGAAACGTAACATTTTATTCGTTTAATTTTTTTGGAAAATAAATAAGAAAAACGCTAAGACGGTGCCAAGAAAATTGCTTAAAACTAAATTTTACTCCCCCGGATGATAAGTACCTATAGAGTTAAGATTAAACGTAAACTAAACTCGTAAATTTGTACTTAAATCACTATAACACTACAAAATGGCGTTGACGCAAATCTCGTTACACGAATTTTTGCTACAAGTTCGTCAGAAAAGTTTTTAATAAAGACATAACCTTTTTAAAAGGTACGATTAGCGCTTTAACATAACCTAGGTTAAAAGATTTTGATATTTTTTGATTTTTTCATGTTTTGATATTGGATTCAATTGTTTTCGAAAGACATAACGAATTGTAGGAAACCGAGTGAACGATACGAACATATTTTAATACTCAGATGAACAAACCGTCCGCTTGGTGAACAAAAAACAAATTTTTAACACAAAATTGATTAAAATTAAACAAAAAAAGATGGTGGATGCTTCAGTAATGTGTAATGCTTTAATTTGTCTTTATTCACGACTATATTAAATATACTATATTATAGTCGTGAATAAAGTATAGTATTCTATGCTATCTATAATAATTTTTGCTTCAAAGCCAAACCAATTCTAATTTTAACATAAAAGACATGCAAACTCGCCAGTTTTACTCATTATTACTAATTTATTAGCTTCATCAACGTTGAATAGTCTTAATTGTTGATTTAACTAAACTAACTTAACCTCAAACTCCTTGAGATGTACATCTAGTTCGATTCTATTAGAAATTTGAAGTTTTTCGTTTTGAGAACCTAAGAAGAAATTCTGTTATACAATGTAGCTCAAATTTTGTTAACAAAACAAACACTATTGTAAGAATAAAATCTTTGTATGATATAATTACCGAAGTGAAGGCGATTACTGAAGTTTAAATAGTCGTAATGATCGTCTACGTAAACAAGTTAGTAATGTTAAGACGCATTTTTAATGAGATTCAAATCCAAACAGGAACGCTGTTTAAAAATACTGTCTAATCGGAGTACAACAAACTCGTATTATGATTGAAATGTGTATTTTTATTTGTTCATTTTTCAAGAATAAACAACACATTCAAACCAAGCCGACATCCAGAGTCCATAATTACTTCATCATTTGTCACGTAAACCAATGAACCAAAACGCTTGATAAAACGATGCCCTTGTTAAAAAACGACTAGTTTTTTGTCGTAGTTGAGACGAGTTGGTACTATTTATAAAAATGGTTTTAATATTTGTGTTGCAGATCGTTTTTTCGATGTTTTTTCTGTTTTTATTTGTTTCCATTGTGTGGTGGATAAATGCATGGAGATATTCAAGAGGTTTAAAGGATGTTAAAGGGCCTAAACCATTTCCTATAATAGGAAATGTCACTGAACTTGACACAACAAGTAAATTTTTATTTAGTTTTTTTGTGATTTTTTTAAATTTTTTGTTTTTTCAGCGCTTTTTTGGCAAATTAATGAATGGCATAAAGAATATGGATACTTAGCGAAAGCTTTCATTGGTTTTGATTTTGTGGTGTCCTTGGCAGACCCAGAATACTTGGAGTTTGTTTGTACCAATCCTCTAACCTCACATAAAGGCTATTATTATAGATATCTACACAATTGGTTAAATTTAGGATTGTTAACAAGCGCAGATCAAAAATGGCACAAAAGAAGGAAACTTATTACACCGGCATATCATTTCAAGATATTAGAACAGTTTGTTCCTGTTTTTGATAAAACCGGAAACATACTCATGGATAAATTACGAGAAAACGTCGGGAAATTATCATTTAATGTACAAGACTTAATTTCATTGTGTACTCTTGATATAATCAATGGTAATATTTTTTATTAACAAATTTTATTGATTTATAATAATTTATGTTTAGAAACTGCAATGGGAATATCAGTCAACGCACAATTAAACGCCAACACAGATTATGTCAATGCAATCAAAGTATTAACACACATCGTGACAGAGCGTGGAATAAAAATATACAAACATTTCGATTTGTTGTACTTCTTCACTAAAGACTACAGAATTGAGAAGAAATGTTTGAAAATAGTTCATAATTATTCGTTATCCGTAATTGAATCACGACGTAAAGAATTACAAAAGAATTCGGAGTCAAATTCATTTAATCCTAATGCTATTGATGAATTTGGGCGTAGGAAACGCATTGCGTTTTTAGATCTTTTACTGCAATCAACAATTGATGGTCAACCATTGACTGATGAAGATATTCGCGAAGAAGTGGACACATTCATGTTCGAAGGGCATGATACAACAGCATCCGGGATTAGTTTTTGGTTGCATTTGATCAGTAAACATCCGGAAATACAAGAAAAATTGATTCTGGAACAGCAAAATATATTTGGAGACGATCCATTTAGACCTACAACCTTGTCTGACCTTCAAAACATGAATTATATGGAAATGACAATTAAAGAGACATTGAGGTTATATCCGTCAGTTCCAATGATGCTGAGGGATTGCATTCAAGACATCAAATTTCGTAAAAAAAAGAAAAAAAGCAAAAAAAAAATGTTTTTAATTATTTTATTTTTAGGTGATATGACATTCAAGAAAGGAACGCAATTATTAATCTTTCCGTTTTATTTACATCGTCGCCCTGACATATTTCCGGATCCGGAAAAGTTTATCCCGGAAAGATTCCAGGCGGAAAATATCAACAAAAGACATGCGTTTAGTTATTTAGCATTCAGCGCCGGAAGTCGTAACTGCATCGGTCAGAAATTCGCCATGTTGGAAATGAAGTGTATCTTAGGAAAAATTTTACGAAATTTTGAGATACATCCAAGTTATCCAGCGCACGAGGTCAAAATTCAAGCGGATATTATCATCGCATCGAAAAACGGTTACCGAATTCAATTAAAACATAGAAAATGATAAAAATAGATTATGACACCATTTTTATTACCAAATATTTTATAAATACATAAAAATATACTCTCTTAAATTACTGACTATTAAAATAAAATTATACATTCCAAAATAGACTCAATAATAACTATTTTTTAATTTTGGAGATTGTACTATTGGTTTTACTCGTATTTTTACTGTTCACGGGCCTCAATTGACTTTTACTTGTCAGATTCACAACACGATTTACTGTTGGTTTTGTCATTGTTGTTGTTGTTGATGTTTTAGTAGTATTTGTGGTTTTCTTCGTTTCTTCCTCTCGTGCAGGCATTATTGTCTTGATTTTCTCGATTACGCTCTGACTCTTACAATAAATACTTGTATTGTTGGCACCGCAATCCGTTTTCTGTGAATTTGACAGTTGATTCAAATCAGTTGCTACTATCGTTGATGGAAGTTTGGTTTGCGTTTGGTTTTTGTTGAATTTCTGCTCGAAATTCTCAATGGATTCCAATACGTGTGAGGTTAACGCGTTTAGACTTTCCGTGGCTGTAAGAATTTTAATTATAACCTTAATACATAACCTAAAATAAGGTTAATGGATTACTTACCTTTATCAATCAACATTTTGCCTTTACGTTTCTTTTTTCTTTTGTTATGATTATCATCATCTTCTTCATCGTCGTCATCATCATCTGATTGACCAAATTTATCAACCATGGCAGTCATCATGCCTACACTTTCTTTACCCTTGTGTTTTAGACTCGGAATTATCAACAGTAAAAATAAAATTGTGAAAAAAGCTAAGAATTTCTTGAAAATAAAGAATTTTAAGATTAATTTCCCGATTGTGAAGAGATCTAGTTTAAACCATTTGATCTTGTCTAAAATTCCGAGGAAAGCATGAGGTGTAACTAGGTTATGTAAGAAATCCGGTATAATTGAAGGTGGTTCCGGTTCGTAGTACTCGTGAGCTACCAAAGGTGGTAATTTGTGATGAGGTGGACCGTATACTCCAATATGATGTGTTGGTGGTCCGTAAACTGGGCTAGGAGGGCCATAGACCGGCATTTTTTTGGGAAAACTCCTAAAAATCCCTTTTTTACTTCAAAAACCTTAAAATTAAAAAAAAATTACTTACACCGGTACAGGTGGTCCATAAGTCTGTACAGGACTTGCTGTTGGATATCCCACTTCCGGTATGGGTACACCTGCTGCAGGTGGACCATAACTACTAACAGGAGGTGTACCATAACTCCCCAAACCACTTAAACCATCATTTCCCGCTGAATTCGCACCGGAAACATCAATGTAATGTTCATGGTACTCCGGTTGGTAATGATGCTCCACATCAAGATGATCTGCATGTTGGGCATGTTCAGCATTCACCTCATGAAAATGTTCATCAATTAAATCTTGAGTATGAGTATGATCATCGTGACTCTTCTGAACATAAACCGGATGTACATCTATGTGTTGATCAGTGTTAGCATCAACATAAACCACTTTTTCGCCCGTTGGACGATTCTCAAAGTGGTTGTTGAGGTCATGGGTCAACTTATAAGCACTTAGATATGAATCACTATCAATGGTAGCACTGTACACATTCACGGTGATAAGAACCAAAGAATAAAACAATTTGAGTCTGGGTGCCATTTTGTTGTAGTCGTCGTGGTTGTAAATGAACGACTGAACTGAACTGAAACCTTTGTTGCCGCTAAACCCACCTCATGCTTTCCACCTCACGTAGTGCTTGTGCGAAATTTGTGTCAGCAGGGTGTCGACCGAAATGCGGCCAAAAATAAAGAAAGGTTGCCAAAGTTTGGTATGCATCGCGTGCGCGACCGGTAGTCGATTGTTCAAACGCCATATTAAACGGTGACATAAACCGCAAAAACGTCCCAAATGAATATACGCATCGCATAAATAATAATTGGGTTCAATGGATCTTCGTGGTCACAAGCAGAACATAAGACTATTAATATTACACCGAGTGTTTTCACAAAAACCAACAAACATTATAATCTCATAGTAAAATTCTTTCAATAGGAAAAAAATTGTAGAGTTTCATTGTTTGGTGTTTGACTTGCAGACAAATGACTGAAGACGTGTGCGTACGAGCGCATGGCGACGCATAACAATCGGTGTGTCCTAGTCTGATTCCTCATCATGCCATCAATGTCGGATATATATTCCAACATGCTACTGAGTATTGTAAAAGTATAAGTTTCCATTTCGACGATGATTTTCATTTGAATGCCATTGGTTTCTCTGGATTTCTTTTGTGAGGAATTCCTCGAAGTTTATAGTAGGCTAAGTTTATCATAATAAAATAGTTTTATTTTCATTCCGAATAAGAGTTGTTTTATGGTCACCAATAATGGCTTAATTGTAATAAATAAATACGAATGCAAATGATTTTGTTGTTCGTGACAATTGAATTCGTGTTGTATGCAGAAGCGAGAAACGGTAAATTAGCGTATATTAATTTGTCGGTCGAATGTGACTTACATGTTAATGATTCTGGATTATTTCGTTGACACAATTAGCTTTATTATAGGTTTTAATATTTTATTTGTTATTATTTTTGGTTCTGTAATCAAAATTTGAATATTAGATCATAAATAGTCATAGTGTTTAAAAATTTCTTTAGTTGGTTATAACATAACCTAGTTTTGACTAAAATTTGATTATAGGTTATCAGTGTATCTATTACTATCCACAACTATTATATAAATCATTATACAATTTTGCATATATACAACATGTTATTTAGTTAATTCCACTAAAAATTCGTATTTGTTATTTAACATATTGTTGAGCATTGAAGCATAAATCTCCTGCCCTTTATGATTAACCTCAAAACACGGCAGGGTTTCACATCTCTTAATCCAGTTGACAATATTTGGAAACTTTTGTTTATCAAAGGGTGCAACAATCGAAATGCATAAAATCGATGTAATCAGTGAGAAATCAGCAATTGTTGGTGTTTCACTTCCGGTAACCCAGTTATTTCCCTGAAGATACATGTTTAACGACGTGTACATTTTTTCGGCAGCTTCCATTTGCATTTTGGTAGGGCCAGTTTGCATTTTGGCATACATGGGTCTCTGTATTACATAAAATATTTGTTAATAATCATTTTAGATATTAATTGAAGGTATAGAACTTACTACTATGGATTTATGTAAACTGTAAACAGTTCCACAATCAAAGTGTAACATTTGATCAACCATAGATCGTTTTGCAAGGTTTTTCGGATATAAAGTGTCGTCTTTTCCAAATTTTGAAACAAGATACGCCATGATTGCATGACTATCGCCAATTGTAGTACCGTCATTGTCCACGAAAGTAGGCGTCGAATGATTTGGATTCAACTAGAGTATGATTATTAGTTTTATACACTTTTAATTGATTTTCTGTTGCATTACCTTTAAGAATGATGGGTTAAAGTGCTCATTCTTAAACAAATTGGTTTCTACTAACTCTAAATTGATACCAAGTGCTTTTGCTGTAAGCATTACAGCCCTACATGGAGGACTTAACTCCATTATATAAAGTTTACCAACAGTAGGCGCCATTTTTATTTAAATTTTAGAAAAAAAACTTTTACACTTGTCTAGTTCACGGTGTAGTAACAACTGGTTTTATCAAGTCACATATGCTGTATTTCATAATATTGATAAGAATGTACATTATATTGACTAAATATTTACCTTGAAATGCTTGACCTTGTTAATGCACTTCAAAATATTCCAAGCCATTGAGGTGTATTGAACTAAACGAATTACATAAAGCACAAAAATCGATTCATCATGTATTTGCTCATTGAATATGATAAGATACATTTATTTGCTGAATTCTAGATAAAAATCGTGTTTGTTATTCAACATGTCATTCAACATGGACGCATATACATCTTGTCCTTTTTGTTCACACTGAAGTACGGTAATGCTTCACATCTCTTAATCCAGTTGACAATGTTTGGAAACTTCTGTTTATCGAACGGTGCGACAATCGAAATACATAGAATCGATGTAATCAGTGAGAAATCAGCAATTGTTGGTGTTTCACCTTCTACAACCCATTTATTTCCTTCAAGATACCTATTCAACGATGAATACATTCTTTCAGCAGCCATTTTGTGATAGTCAGAAGGTCCTGTTGCTGTTTTGCCATACATAGGGCCCTATATTATAATATATAATATTAGTTAGTTATTGATTTCCAAGAAATGAATTAATATCTTACCACTATAAATAGATGCAAAGCATACACAGTCCCACAATCAAAATGTAATCTTTGATCTACCGCTGACCGTTTTTTAAGGTCTTTCGGGTATAACGCATCGTTTTTACCAAATTTAGAAACAAGATACGTCATGATTGCGTGACTGTCACCGACTGATGTTCCATCATTGTCCAAAAATGTGGGTACGGTATGATTTGGATTTAACTATAACATAAAAGTAAGTTTAAATTATCTGCTTTAGATCACGTTTAGGTAGTTACCTTCAAAAATTCCGGTTGCATCTGAGCAGCTTTGAATAAATTAGTTTCCACTAACTCTATTTCAATCCCCAGAGCCTTTGCCGTTAACATTACAGCACGACAAGGAGGGCTTAACTCCATTACAAAGAGTTTACCTACAGTTGGTGCCATTTTTGTTAAATGTTTCGTTACACTGTCATGTATCAACTGAGCGATATCTACACAACTCCAGTTATATAGCTAACACTTCATATAGGAACCATGTCATTAAATTATGACTAAACAATTTTATAATCAACTTCGGTGTTTATTATGAGAGGAAGGAACCAAAACTAGTGATATAATTATAATTCCCTGTATATTTTTAAACATGCCCTGTTTTTCTGCCGTTTAAATATTTTATAAATTCTGTATTCATTCGAGTTTGAAATATTTTTATCATATAAACAACCATTTTAGTCTGAAATTATATAATGTTGTTGTTGAGTTATTGCAATTGTTTTCATTTCCGAAAATCGGTATCATTACCTGTATCATTCAGAGATGGCACTAGCATGAACTAAAAATCATAAAATAGAATTGTATTGTTTATTTCTGTATTTATCGGCAAACGTGAGCATACAGCATGAGAATTGTGTTTGTTTTGATCACAACTTGTTTTCTTATCGCTTCCGCAGCGTGGAATGCAACGCATGAAATTCCCGAGAGTCGTCCGTTGCCATTTTCTAACGCCGCATGTTGAGGCATCTTAGTTTTGTTTTGATCGCAGGTAACATGCCTATTACAATTCGCGCACAAGGTCGCGTGCTATCGACGCACTGGCTTTGCGCATCTATTGCTTTCTTATCATAAACCGTCGCGTCGTTTCTTGCACAGTTTGGAGCAAGTTTCGTGTCGGTCTCTAGTTGATCCAGGCGTATTTTACGCGACTCGTAATGCTATTTACTATTTGCGCGTTTCTTCTCCGGTTAGTTTTGATTGCGCTGAAAGTGTATATTGGCACTCACAAGGTGTCCATTATGATTTATTCATCATTAAGATGGCCCATCGTGCTGGTGTAAGTACCTTGTTTTATGAGTACTCCGCTGTGTGAATATAATATTACTTAATAATATGAAATATTTTTGTTTTAACTTATATTTTCTTATCTTATTTACAGTATTTACCTTGGAGTCCGATGAGTTCTGTATTGGTAAGTTTATAATAATTATATTTTTCATTATAATTTCTGCGTCGTCCATTAGTTTGTATTTACGTAGTTTTTTATCGCGTTACACCGCGGGTTGCAAAGACGCAGGATAGTCTCATTACATTCCTCTCAATCTTCATCGCAATCGAAGAAGTTGTCCTCTGAGACTCTGAGAAAATGTCAATTTTAGCCCTTTTAAATACGATTTCAGAACTTTTACATCCCGAATTTTAATTATTTTCTTGTCTTATCTTATAGAGAATTTTCCAAGCTTTTATAATCTTTTATGGGCTAGTCGCTGGCCTTTTTAGTTTAAAAGCCCATTTCTTCTTAAAAATTATTTTCTCATCTCTTAGATTTCCAATTTAACCAGCTTAGCTAATAGAGAATGCGAATAATATTTACCGCGACCCTCGTACGGTGCCCTGAACACGAGTCACTTCTACCGCTGCTTTCGTAGGGTGCCCTGAACACGAGTCACTTCTACCGCTACCTTCGTACGGTGCCCTGAAGACGAGTCACTTGTACCGCGACCCTCGTACGGTGCCCTGAACACGAGTCATTTCTACCGCTACTTTCGTACGGTGCCCTGCTCACGAGTCACTTCTACCGCGACCCGATAACAACGATTCCTGCTAGCCCCGTACTTGGCCGATTTTTAAATATATTTTCCGTTTAATTCTGAGGTTCAAATTTGGTGTTTATTCGAATATGAAATTATGTTAACATATAAACAACCATTTTTGTCGCATATTATACAATGAACATAGTTGTTGAGTTATTGCAATTGTTTTCATTTTCAAAAATCGGTATCATTACCTATATCTTTCAGAGATGGCACTGGCATGAACTAAAAATCACAAAATAGAATTGTATTGTTTTTTATATTTATCGGCAAACATGGGCATTCGGCATGAGAATTGTGTTTGTTTTGAACACAATTTACTTTCTTATCGCTTCCGCCGGCATGCACCACGGTTTAGTTCAGCTTAGATCGCAGGTAACGTACCTATTGCAATTCGTGCATAAGATCGCGTGCCTTCGACGCACTGACCTTGCGCATCTCTGGCTTTGTTATCGTAAACTATTGCGTCGTTGCGATGCTTTGCAGCCAGTTTCGTGCCGGTCGATGGCTAATTCAGTCGTGATTCGATCGACTCGTGTAGTTTGTTCGGACTTCTGCTTTCTAATTTTGCATTATATTCGATAATCAATCGACTCTTTAATTGAAACTACTATAGTAATGTTATAGTGGTAAAATATTTGATCGCATTTCGTGTGCATATTTATGCAACTTACAAGGCCTTCCTGTAAATCTATTCATCATTATCCTTGTGTAAGTAACTAATTTATAATTTAACAACACATATTGTATTTTCTCTATGAGGTATAAATATATTATTCTTAAATCTTATGAAATACTTCAACTTCTTGTTTATTAATTTCTTTATCATTTTCATAAATAACTTATGTGATTATCTCAGAATTTGACCCCAAAATTGCATTTTATGTTCGAAGGACTAATTTTTGCTGGTTTTAGGGATTTTGCTACTGAGTCTGACATCGTAGAAGGAGCATTCTTTCATCAGATTGTAAGTATTTAATTTCTTTATCATTTCCTTAATTAACATTTGTGATTAGCTCACAATTTGAGCCCCAAAATTGCATTTTTATGTTCGAAGGACTAATTTTTTCTGGTTTTAGGGATTTTGCTACTGAGTTTGACATCGTAGGAGGATCATTCTTTCATCAGATTGTAAGTATTTAATTTCTTTATCATTTTCCTAATTAACTTTCGTGATTATCTCCCAATGTGACCCCAAAATTGCATTTTTATGTTCGAAGGACTAATTTTTGCTGGTTTTAGGGATTTTGCTACTGAGTCTGACATCGTAGAAGGAGCATTCTTTCATCAGATTGTAAGTATTTAATTTCTTTATCATTTTCCTAATTAACTTTTGTGATTATCTCCCAATTTGATCCCCAAAATTGCATTTTTATGTTCGAAGGACTAATTTTTGCTGGTTTTAGGGATTTTGCTACTGAGTCTGACATCGTAGAAGGAGCATTCTTTCATCAGATTGTAAGTATTTAATTTCTTTATCATTTTCCTAATTAACTTTTGTGATTATCTCCCAATTTGATCCCCAAAATTGCATTTTTATGTTCGAAGGACTAATTTTTGCTGGTTCTAGGGATTTTGCTACTGAGTCTGACATCGTAGAAGGAGCATTCTTTCATCAGATTGTAAGTATTTAATTTCTTTATCATTTTCCTAATTAACTTTTGTGATTATCTCCCAATTTGATCCCCAAAATTGCATTTTTATGTTCGAAGGACTAATTTTTGCTGGTTTTAGGGATTTTGCTACTGAGTCTGACATCGTAGAAGGAGCATTCTTTCATCAGATTGTAAGTATTTAATTTCTTTATCATTTTCCTAATTAACTTTTGTGATTATCTCCTATTTGACCCCAAAATTGCATTTTTATGTTCGAAGGACTAATTTTTGCTGGTTTTAGGGATTTTGCTACTGAGTCTGACATCGTAGAAGGACTATTCTTTCATCAGATTGTAACTATTTAATTTCTTTATCATTTCTTTAATTAACATTTGTGATTAGCTCACAATTTGAGCCCCAAAATTGCATTTTTATGTTCGAAGGACTAATTTTTGCTGGTTTTAGGGATTTTGCTACTGAGTCTGACATCGTAGAAGGAGCATTCTTTCATCAGATTGTAAGTATTTAATTTCTTTATCATTTTCCTAATTAACTTTTGTGATTATCTCCCAATTTGATCCCCAAAATTGCATTTTTATGTTCGAAGGACTAATTTTTGCTGGTTTTAGGGATTTTGCTACTGAGTCTGACATCGTAGAAGGAGCATTCTTTCATCAGATTGTAAGTATTTAATTTCTTTATCATTTTCCTAATTAACTTTTGTGATTATCTCCCAATTTGATCCCCAAAATTGCATTTTTATGTTCGAAGGACTAATTTTTGCTGGTTTTAGGGATTTTGCTACTGAGTCTGACATCGTAGAAGGAGCATTCTTTCATCAGATTGTAAGTATTTAATTTCTTTATCATTTTCCTAATTAACTTTTGTGATTATCTCCCAATTTGATCCCCAAAATTGCATTTTTATGTTCGAAGGACTAATTTTTGCTGGTTTTAGGGATTTTGCTACTGAGTCTGACATCGTAGAAGGAGCATTCTTTCATCAGATTGTAAGTATTTAATTTCTTTATCATTTTCCTAATTAACTTTTGTGATTATCTCCCAATTTGATCCCCAAAATTGCATTTTTATGTTCGAAGGACTAATTTTTGCTGGTTTTAGGGATTTTGCTACTGAGTCTGACATCGTAGAAGGAGCATTCTTTCATCAGATTGTAAGTATTTAATTTCTTTATCATTTTCCTAATTAACTTTTGTGATTATCTCCCAATTTGATCCCCAAAATTGCATTTTTATGTTCGAAGGACTAATTTTTGCTGGTTTTAGGGATTTTGCTACTGAGTCTGACATCGTAGAAGGAGCATTCTTTCATCAGATTGTAAGTATTTAATTTCTTTATCATTTTCCTAATTAACTTTTGTGATTATCTCCCTATTTGACCCCAAAATTGCATTTTTATGTTCGAAGGACTAATTTTTGCTGGTTTTAGGGATTTTGCACCTGAGTTTGACATCATAGAAGGACCATTTTTGTATATTTTAAATAACTTTTGGGATTATTATACAAATTGATTTCTAAAATTTATGCTTGTGCGTTTTCTTTAATAAAGAGTATTTTTAAGTTTTCGAATTATAATTATTTCTCTTATTTCTACCTGATCACATATTTACTGATCCCTTAAACCATTTATTTTGAAAAGTGCACGCAAGTGCCATCTATCAGTGGGAAACGACAACAACCGAAGTTTTGAACTTCGGCCCGTCGCCACTAGAGGCAGCACATTACTAGTTGCCGCAAAAACTTTATCAGCCTCCTCAACTTTCTGCGATCCTAATATTCAATCTTTATTTTGTCGACTCTGAGAGGCAAAATGACACAAAATTTGGACTCGAAACAGTCGAAACTCGACTTTTGGTATTCGGATCGCAGAAAGTGAGAGGAGGCTGATAAAGTTTCGGCGGTAAATAGTAGAGGCGGGAAAAATTAATGTTTAAAAATCTTCTTTCAGCAAGTGCAGCTTCTGTATATTCGGAATTTTTAAATTCTGTGTTCGGATTCTGTAAGCAAAAATTCTATATCGACTTTTATGTAATTACTTTCTTAACATTGATCGTTTAGGCCCTATTTGCATGTTTTTTAATAAATTGTTTTTACATGCCAATAGGGCCTTAATCCATAAGTGTGTTTAATATTCATAAATTAGGCTATTCCGACGGGATACACGTGTTTTATTATAATTGCAAATAGGGCCTAAACGGTTAATGCTAGCAACAAAATTTACTAAAATTATCGATGTAGAATTAAACTATCTATCAGTAGCCGAAAACCGAATTTCTAAATTCAAACTTTTAATTATCAACATAAAAGAGAAATCTTTTCCCTTTTATGGACAACTAAAAGGGCGAGAATAAAAATAAGTACATATTTTTGATCCTTGAAGAATTCTGGACCGGATGGCATCCTTATTGAAAAACAATAAAAATGGGACAAAAAATTTTAGAGAAAAGATTTTGTTATAAAACAACTTTTTATGTCGAAAATTAAATATTCAAATTTTTAAATTCTGATTTCGGATTCGGATAGACAATTTAATTCTATATCAATTATTCTAGTAACATTTTTGCTAATGTTAATCGTTTAGGCCCTATTTGCATTTTTAATGAAACACGCGTATTCCGTCGGGAGAGTCTAATTTTCTAAGATTAAATGGTAGTTATCTCGACAACTAAAAGGGCTAGAAAATAAAGAACTGCATATTCTTGATCCTTGAAAATTCTGAGCAAGATGGCATCATTATTGAAAAACGACAAAAATGGCACAAAAATTTTTAAAGAAAATATTTTGTTATAAAAAAGGCAAAAGATTTCTCTTTTTTATGTTGGAAATTAAATATTGGAATTTTTAAATTCTGATTTCGGATTCTCATAAACAATTTAATTCTATATCAATTATTCTAGTAATATTTTTGCTAACGTTAATCGTTTAGGCCCTATTTGCAATTTTAATGAAACATGTGCATGCCGTCGGAATAGTTAAATTTAAAAGATTAAATGGTAATTATCTCGACAACTAAAAGGAAAAATTTCCTACAAGATGGCATCCTAATTCAGAAATGATGAAAACAGCACAAAAATTTTTAAAGAAAAGATTTTGTTATAAAAAGGGAAAAGATTTCTCTTTTTTATGTTGAAAATTAAAAGTTGGAATTTTTAAATTCTGTTTTCGGATTATGATTGATATTTTAATTCTACATCGATTATTTCAGTGAAGTTTTTTGCTAGCATTAACGGTTTAGGCCCATTTTGCAATTATATAGAAAAAACTAATTATGTACCGAAACAAATTGAAATAATACATATAATAATCTGGTGGGAGTTGTCTATGTTCATTTTCTGCGTTCCTAATACTACAGACTGATGAACAGCAACAGCAAGCAAATTTCTCGACAAAATTTGTTGAGAAATCCAGTGAAATTATACACAAAATTCTTTTGAATATTAGGATCGCAGAAAGTGCAGTAGGCTGAATTTCCAGTAATCTCCAATTGCGACGTAGTTTAGTTACTCATAGACAGATGGCACTAGTGATACCTTTTTTAAATTAATATTGATACAATATAAAATTGATTTTGAACTCTCTCCCATATCTAGCAATTATATTGCCATCATAGTTTAAGAGATTTATGGAGCAATTAAAGAATGTTGCGAGCTATTCTCAAACGGAGAATTTGGGACAAATAAAAGACTAAAATTTATAAAAATATAAAACTACAATTTTATTAAAAGATGTAGAATATACAACCAACTCAATTTCTCAATATATACAGCATGTTTAACAATACAATCATGAAAACAAGGTAATAATAGGCAATTATGTAATGCTCTTTTGAGAATTTTTAACAAAATAAACAAAAATGATATCAATAACAGCTTTCAAATGTTGTACATTCTTTCAATCGTATTTGGAAATATCATCAACACCGGCAATCCAATCTTCAATTTCTTGGACACTATAAACGAGAATAAATAACAGAATAGTAAAATATAAAATATTATAAATTGCCAATATAGTACAGTCATTTGGTGCTAAAAAACGTGGTTGCTTGGAAAATAGTGTTGGATTGTTGAAAATTGGTATTCATATAGATTTCGATGTGCTCTTTACGAATTTAAACTTTGCCACCTCGTATCTTGTGCGCTCGCGCCACCATCTTGGAAAAATGGTGCCTAAGAACAGTTTTTTGACCATATCTCCTTTCCGACTCATTTTACAATAAACATATCTATATAATAAATTAGACTAGAGAAAATTCCTATAATTTATGTAAGTACCTTTTTCTTGTAAAATTAGTAGTTTTGGCGTACGGGCGCCGCAAAGTCTACTTCAACATTCGTTTTGTCAAAAACTCATTTCCACGTCATCATGACTTTGCAATTTTTGCTTGCTATGATTTGAGGGTGCTCCGGCTCCCCTCGCTTGTTGAAAGTTTCGCCGGCCGAGTATACTTTTGTTTTAGTATTTCTTCTTTGAGTCATTATTACATATTTGTCGTTCTGAATAGTCGTGTCGTTTGCATTTTTGACGCCATGGCAGATAACGTAAATTGTTTTATTTGTGAAACTCCACTGCAAGATAGTGAAGTGATTGAAGTGAAAGAAAGAGGATTGAAGACTTTTCGTAAGTCAAGCGTTAATTGTTATAGGCGAAGATGTAGATCTTCTTATTCTTTTAACGGCGCTATCAATGCATTCAAACATATATTTACTAAAACCAGGGAAAGGAAAAATTTTGCAACAAATCTATTCAACCAAAAGCATCATCGATCAAACGGCGGCAGATCACATATTATTTTTACACGCTTTTAGTGGCTGTGATACAACATCTGCACTTTTCATCAAGGAAAATTAAAATTTATCAATGTACACCGAAAAATCCAGATTTAAACGAAGTTGTCCAGGTATTCAAAACCCAAAGGCTTGTCCAGAGATCATTGCTACAGCTGGCGAACGCTTTCTTCTTAAATTATATAGTTACAGTGATGTGAAAACTATGCAAAATATGTCTTTAAACATCTATAGATATGCCAGCTTCACAAAATCATACAAAATACAAAAGTAAATTTAATATTGCATCGCTACCACCAACAGAAGCCGCAGCCCGACAACATTCATTCAGAACTTATCACCAAGTTCAGCAGTGGTATGGGAATGAACTAAATGCAGAACAATGGGGATGGAAAAAAAGCAAGAATGGGCTAATTCCTGTCACTACACTCGAGCCCCCAGCTCCCGAAACATTGTTAAAACTAATATCTTGCAAATGTAAAAAGGGATGTCAGAAAGCCTGCGGCTGCAGAAAGGCTGGATTGAAGTGCTCCGTTATCTGTACAAATTGCAGTGGTGCCTGTGATAATTCGCAAATTCCATCACAAGATAGCGATGAAGAGGAAGAATCGATTACTGTTTTTGAGCACACGTACGATGAACTCGAGAACCAAGATAGCATTGAAAACGATAATCCCATCGCGGATAGTATGGCAGCAAATTTTACCTGTGATATTTCGATCGGTCCTGAAAACAATTAACGCACAACACCTGGCCCATCGCGAAGAGCGAATCGGAAGATAATCTATTAAATTTTGGAATAGTGCGTGTGGATTAGGCCTACTGGGGATACCACGATAAAAAAACGCGCCACGTACTCTACCTCATGGTGGTGTGGAAATGAGTTTTGGCAAATACGAATGTTGAAGTAGACTTTGCGGCGCCCGTACGCTAAAACTATTAATTTTACAAGAAAAGGTACTTACATAAATTATAGGAAATTTTCTCTAGTTTAATTTATTATATAGATATGTTTATTGCAAAATGAGTCGGAAAGGAGATATGGTCAAAAACTGTTCTTAGGCACCATTTTTCCAAGATGGTGGCGCGAGCGCACAAGATACGAGGTGGCAAAGTTTAAATTCGTAAAGAGCACCTCGAAATCTATATGAATACCAATTTTCAACAATCCAATACTATTTTCTAGGCAAAACTACCAAATGACTGGACTAATATATAACATACGTTCTTGGAACTTTAGTCCAATTGACACATCCGTCTTCAGTAATCAAAAAATCAATACGCACTCCACCAGTACCACCAACTTCTCCAGTTGGTCCTTACTCATAAACTTGGTCATCTCAGGATAAGCCAATGCTTCATCCAACAACTGGAAAATATTTATGTAAATGAAATATACATATACATAAATTATATTAATTATTCTTACAGGATCCATAAAGACTCCCATTTAGGGCACCGTGCGAAGGTAGCGGTAGAAGTGACTACCATTCAAGGCACCGTACAAAGGTAGCGGTAGAAGGTACGGCGAATACTGAAAAAAAGAAACATAAGTTAATCCAATTTGCATAAGTATGCATACAGAATACGATCAAGAATTACCATTTTTGTTCAATAATGTACATTATTATAGTTTATTTAGTATAGTTTAGTTTAGTTTAGTATAGTTTAGATACTAGAATGTGCTGCATGCAATAAAAGGCATCGGCTTGAGAGGATGACAACCAAAGTAAATTTTCTAATTTTTTCGACATTCTCAAAAACTAAACGTGATACAAAGGAATTGATAGAAAATTTTAAAACTACGGAAAATTTAAAAAAAAATTAACTACTTAACATAAAAATCCAGAAAATGAAATTTTAAGTTACAAGAAAAAATGAGCTTGATAAACTATCAGATAAAAATATAAAATAATTATATTTCCTAGCTTGATACTCTTTTGATAATTTTTGAAAATTCATATCTTTTTAACTAAAAGCCACAGCAACCAACAAATTGCTGATTAAGATAGATTGGAAAATTCTGTATCAGAAAAACATATAAAACAATAATATTTCCTGCACTAAAAGGTCGAAAAACGCGACTAAAAGTGCTAAAAGTGACATTTTTCAATTTTTGCCCATTTTATTCAAACACGAATATCTCGTAAAGTAAAAGAGATAAATAGGATCTGATCGCAGCGTCTTAATCTATGGACCATTCTCAATCAGATAGGATAGTTAAAACGGAAATTAGAGAGATGAAATTTTCATTCTTAAAAAAAATTGCCAAGGGGGTGCTTGATACTTTTTTGACAATTTTGAAAATTCATCTCTTTAACTAAAAGCCACAGCAATCAACAAATTGCTGATTATGATAGATTGGAAAATTCTGTATCAGATAAAAATATAAAACTACAGTAGAATCTTGATAACTCGAATGTCAAGGGAAACCAAAAAAAATTCGAGATAGCAAGTTTTCGACTTAACAAGAATTTCGAGATATGAAGAGTTAACTCATCAAATTTCGACATAAAAAGGCACAATTTCATAGAACATTTATTACGACAAATTATATTAGGTAACATAAAATGAGAGTCAAGTACATAATTATAATGAATGAACCTACACTGTATGTTTTAAATAATTGATAAAAAATCTGTTATCTTCGTTTGATTCAAGCCATTTACAGATTTTTTATCGATTATTTTTTCTAGTTCATATAGTGAACCGAATATATGATACTCGATATCATTACATCTTTCAATGTAAGTTCGTAGTGTATCAATTGCTGTATTATACTCATTTTGTTGCTTGTTAACAGCCAAACAAATATGTACTGACTGAGCCAAGTAACCAAAAGTGACCAAAAATGAAGAAACATAACATCTGTGTTTCTTAGAAATTAGAAAGTTTATTGAATGAATTCATTCCTTACACGTGTGCAAAACAAAAACAATAGATAAGAGGCCCCGAGCCCCGAACATTCCTTTTTGATTTTATTGCCACGAGTTTTAAGCTCCGGGAATCTCGAGTTTTGAGCTCCGGGAATCTCGAGTAAGAAATCATAAAATTTTATGAACTTCGACTTACTGAGGTAGTATTTGCAGTTCGAGTTACTGAGTATTAAAATGTACGAGTAATGCCTCACAGGGAAATAACTTATTGTTCGAGTTACTGAGTCTAAAAAATTCGAGTTAGAGCGTCGTTCGGGGTTCAGCGAAAGGGAATAGCATATCTTTTCGATTTACTGAGGATTATGACTTAACAAGGTTCGAGTTATCAAGATTCTACTGTACTTATATTTCCTGCAGTAACAGGTCGAAAAACGCAACTAAAAGTGCTAAAAGTGACAATTTTCAATTTTTGCCCATTTTATTCAAACGCGAATATCTCGTAAACTAAAAGAGATAAATAGGATCTGATCGCAGCGTCTTAATCTACGGACTATTCTCTATCAGATAGGATAGTTAAAAAGGAAATCTGAGAGATGCTTGATAATTTTTTTCAACGATTTTTGATAGTGAATATCATCCAAACTAACAGAGATGGAAATCAGCGAGTGCGAGATTATAAAAGATTGGAAAATTCTCTATCTGATAAGATATTTGAATAATTAATATTTTTGGGGTAAAAGGTCTAAAAACGTGGTTAAAAGTATTAAAAATATGATTGAATTATAGACTTACCTATGCTGAACTCATCGGACTCCAAGGCACGGCAAATACTGTAAAAATATAAGAAAACATAAGTTAAAACCAAAATCTTTCATATTATTAAGTAATATTACATTCACACAGCGGAGAAACAATCAAACAATCTGTGCTGTTTAGTTAAATTTGGAAACCTTGTGAGTGGCAATATACACTTTCAGCGCGATCAAAAACTACCCGGGCAATAAATGCGCAAGTAGATAACATTACAATAGTCACAAGTTAAAATTAAATAGTCGATTAATGATCAAATACGAGTATAATGAAAAATAGAAGTCAGATCAAACAACACGAGTCGCGTAAAACACATCTAGAAAACCAGAGACCGGTACGAAACTGGCTGCAAACTGTGCATGCAACGACGCGACGGTTATTGATAAGAAAGTAATAGATGCGCAAAGACAGTGCGTCGATGGCACGCGATCTTGTGCGCGAATTTAGCACGTTACCTGCGATGAAAACTAAACTAAGATGCGTTAACATGCGGCGTGAGGGGATGGCAACGGACGACACTCGTGAATAATCTCATGCGTTGCATTCCACGCTGCGGAAGCGATAAGAAAATAAATTGTGTTCAAAACAAACACAACGCTCATGCTGAATTAAAATGAATTTAAATCAGTGCAAATAGATTAAAATTAGATGGACAATGGACGTAATTTACCGAATTACAATAATTACAATACAATTACAATAAAACGATAACAGTTGCGAGAATATGTTGTTGAATTAAAAGTTACTTACGCAAGGATAATACATTTGATGAATACATTTACATAGGTGCGAACCTATAACCAATTCATCAAACAACCGAAATCGAACCTTGTAACTTGCATAAGTATGCACACGAAACACAATCAAATATCTACCACTTTTGTACAATAATGTATAGTACATTAAACGCGCAAATAATAAAAAACAAGTTAGTCGCAAGTTACAATTAAATAGTAGACTGCTGACCGATTATAATGCAAATTTAGAACATAGAAGACAGAACAAGCAATACGAGTAGATCAAAACACGTCTAGAGCGACCCGCACGGAACTGGCTGCAAAGCATCGATAGCGCATGCCGTAGTCGAGCAAGCAACGACGCGACAGTTTACGATAAGAAAGCAAGAGATGCGCAAGGCCAGTGCGTCGAAGGCACGCGACATTGGGCACGAATTGCAATAGGCACGATACCTGTGATAAGAACTAAACTAGGATATGCTGCATGCGGCGTAAGAGGATGCGTTGCATTCCACGCTGCGGAAGCGATAAGAAAATAAATTGCGTTCAAAACAAACACAATTCTCCTGCAGAATGCCCACGTTTGCCGATAAATACAACAATAAACAATACCATTCTATTTTATGATTTTTAGTCCATGCTAGTGCCATCTCTGAATGGTACAGGTAATGAGACCAATTTTCGAAAATGAAATAAATGGCTGTTTATATGTTTTAAAAAATCAACCTCGAATGAACACAGAATTTGTAAAATATTTAAACGACAGAAAAACTAGGCATGTATAAAAATATACAGATAATTATAATTATATCGCTAATTTTGGTCCCCTCCTTACATAATAAACACCAAGGTCGATTGTGGAATGGTTTAGTCATAATTTAATGGCATGGTTCCTATATGAAGTGCTAGCTAAATAACCGGAGTTGTTTAGATATAGCTCAGTTGATACATGACACTGTAACGAGACATTTAACAAAAATGGCATCAACTGTTGGTAAACTCTTTGTAATGGAGTTGAGCCCTCCTTGTCGTGCGGTAATGTTAACAGCAAAGGCTCTTGGTATTGAAATAGAATTAGTGGAAACTAATTTATTCAAAGCTGCTCAGATGCAACCGGAATTTTTAAAGGTAACTAGCTAAACGTGATCTAAAGATAATTTGAACTTTATTTTGTTATAGTTGAATCCAAATCATACGGTACCCACATTCTTGGACAATGATGGTACATCAGTTGGCGATAGTCACGCAATCATGACGTATCTTGTTTCTAAATTTGGTAAAACGATGCGTTATACCCGAAAGACCTTAAAAAACGGTCAGCAGTAGATCAAAGATTACATTTTGATTGTGGGACTGTGTATGCTTTGCATCTGTTTATAGTGGTAAGATATTAATTCATTTCTTGGAAATAAATAACTAACTAATATTATATATTATAATATAGGGCCCTATGTATGGCAAAACAGCAACAGGACCTTCTGACTATCACAAAATGGCTGCTGAAAGAATGTATTCATCGTTGAATAGGTATCTTGAAGGAAATAAATGGGTTGTAGAAGGTGAAACACCAACAATTGCTGATTTCTCACTGATTACATCGATTCTATGTATTTCGATTGTCGCACCGTTCGATAAACAGAAGTTTCCAAACATTGTCAACTGGATTAAGAGATGTGAAGCATTACCGTACTTCAGTGTGAACAAAAGAGGACAAGATGTATATGCGTCCATGTTGAATGACATGTTGAATAACAAACACGATTTTTATCTAGAATTCAGCAAATAAATGTATCTTATCATATTCAATGAGCAAATACATGATGAAGTAATTTTTGTGCTTTATGTAATTCGTTTAGTTCAATATAACTGACTTATATTTACAAATTTGCCTAGTTATAACAACCATCATATCAGTTTGTCCACAATCTAAATATTATTTAAGCAAACTTATCCATGAAAGAATAATCATTATTCATCATGCATTTGAGAATACTTGTGTAGAGATCTTGCCCTTCTTATTAACTTCCTGGTAGTGTGGTATACCATCACATCGCTTCAACCATGCAACCACATTGCCACACGTAGCTTTATCCATTGGAGCCACAACATTAATGGCATTAACAGAAGTAGCCAGAGAAAAGTCTGCAATCGTTGGAGAAGCGGTTTTGGCGATCCAGGTATTACCTTCAAGGAATGTGTTTAAAACATTATACATGCTTTTAGCTGAATCCAGTTGTCTTTGGGAGATGCCTTCACTTTGTCGCATCCACATTGGAAACTAAAGACAATATAATAAATAATCAATGGGAAACTATTACATGCTTATTAATAAAACATACCACAATAGAGACGTGCAAACTGTAAACATTCCCACTATCATAATGTAATCGTTGATCAACCGCCGCACGTTTGGCTAGGTCTTTCGGATACAATGAATCATTCTTTCCATATTTACCAACAAGGAATGCCATGATAGCATGACTGTCACCCATTGCAGTACCATCATTGTCTTTGTATGTCGGTAGAGCATGAGCCGGGTTCATCTAAATACAACAAACATTACTAAACACTCAAGAAAACCGAATATTAATATAAAAGCAATAATACCTTTAAAAATTCAGGTGTTGCAGTTTCACCAGCCATGATATTGGTCTCAATCAATTCCAATTCGATGCCCAACGACTTAGCAGTGAGGATTACCGCCCTACAGGGTGGGCTGAGATCAGTCATGTATAATTTACCAACCGCCATGATAAAATCACTTAAAAATCAAACAACCAACAAAAGTAATACACAAGTAGTGTCAGCTTCGTACTGAGCAATGGTACTGAGTCGAATCATGTGCGTGCGAGTTGTTTTAATCAAATTGTTTATATCTCCCACACGGAATTCAACTGGCCTTGAGATATGTTTGTATTCAATTGAACTTGGTATGCAATTTGGTATGTTGATGCTGGAATTCAAAACCGCTGTTTCATTCGCGATAAACTTGACCTCGCTTTGCAATTGGGCAAATTACATAAGAATCATTCGTTTTAATGTTGTGTTCGAAATTTTGTTAAGTCACGCAAGTTAAATATACTCAGCATTATATTCATGCCAACATTGCGTCAATGTTTTTAACAGCTGTAAAACAATATTTTAATTGATAGAAGAGAATTTGAAATAATATTCGGTTGTAATTTATTGAACACTTAAGTCATCGGTAACAACATGACATAAACATGAAATTTATTAGCAGTCAGCATAGAAGAGGTAGTCTAAAACAACTTGGATGATGTTGCCGACTCCAAGACCCCCGAGCAAAACACTGATTGGGTTTATCCTTATGGTTAGAGTGTAAACCACGTTTCCGAGGATACCGTAGCTAGCGCTAGGTCCGGAGCAAGTCACAGTGTAGAGGAGATCGATGAGAGAAACAAGAGGAATGTCCAAAACAAGGATACTGAGGAGGTAGCCGACCAAGTTGTAACCAGTCAAGGTACCACGAAGTGTCAAGCCCAGGTTACCCATTTTGGTGGGGTTACCATAGTGGCGCGGACAGCGGCCAATGCATTGTACACCCAAGAGAAGGAGTCAACAACAAACTGACGAGACTGTAAAGACCGTTAGCTGCGGCGATCGCTTCGGATGCAACAACAGGTGCAGCTACTGGGTATTTGACTTCCTCTTTGGCAGGGGTCACCTTGGCAAAAGCCACATGGGCCAGAGCCACGCACAACAGGATAACTGCGAAGGATTTCTAAACACACAAGAAAAACACAATTAGAGTTTACCACAAAATTATTTTTAAGTTTACTTACCATTTTTACTGGTTTCTTGTTTTCAACCCAATGATACCACACGAATATTTGACAAGAGTATATATAGTGGTTGCGAATTGATATTTAAATAAATTTAAATTTGAACGGCGATGGCGTTATCGTGTTATCAGTCGGGGACAGGTAATTTATGCAACGAGAAAAACTAATTCCAATAATTTGTTTTGGAATGTGTCTTGGCAAAATTTGCGTTCGGAGGTAAATTGGGCAAATCGTATGCTAAGCAATGGTAATTCAAGTGCTAAAACTTATCGGTGTAAAATTATAATATTTTAAGTCAAAATCATTCAGGATCAATATAGCAGGGGAAGTTGAAATTATTCGGTTTGTACCTACGTTAATTTAATCAAATATTGATGATAATATTGCTGCTAGTAGTCAAAACATACTATGTGATATCAAATTGTGTTTCGGGTACTCAGATATATTATTTGCTTGTGGTGTAGTATGTTTTGTTAAACATAGATAATAATGCGAATTATTAAACAAAGTAGTTGGATATTTTTTGGGAATATTGTAAAATTGAAGTTTTTGAAAACACAGTTTCTATGTTTATATATTTTTGTTTTAGAAAAATGAGTAGAAAACCTTTAAAATTGTGTATTTATTTAAGGTTTTTTTTTGTGTCATAAGAGTATCATTAAGTATCAAGTGGCTAAACGGAGTTTTTGTCACGGGATTTATTAAGAGCGAGTGTAGGGAGCGTTTAATCAATTGAGTGTTTAACAATGTTTAGCCACGTGATGCTTACGCTATTTATTCTACTTCCACTTTAGTTCCACGTTTTGTTTTTATATTTAAACTTTTTATTTTGAATCTTCGAAATTCGCTCGCACACTACTAAGAAATGTAAACATGCTTCGATTTTTTTGACTGACGGCACATGGCATTTCAAACGGTTTCACCCCATAACTAAAGCCCGTGACTAAAGCACTTTAGTCACAGTTTTGCCCGACTGTCTTTAAAATATCACTTTTTGTGTCTAAAAACCATGAAAAGTCTGTCGCTTTAAAGGTGGAAGTAGAAAAATCCCAACTAATATTATAAATGCGAAAGTCCTGATGTTTGTTACACTTTCACGCAAAAACTACTTAACCGATCATCATGAAAATTTGTACACATATTCTTAGTGGTCCCCGAATGGTTATAGGCTACTTTTTATTTAATAAAAAAAATTATTTTTTAAATAAAATAAAGAAATTGTTTAGCCAATAATACCTCTGCATCTGGCTATTTGACTACTTTAACGCCATCTAGCATTCCAGCAATGAAGCTCAAACCTAAGTACTACAGTACCAGCACACTGTATTATCACACTGTATTACCGACAGCTACGTCAACATCAAATCCAATTGACTACACTATGGAGGCTGTACACTATACTTCCATAGACTATACTTTCAGCCATTTTAAACTTCCCGCCATTCTACTTCATTGTTACTTCTTCTGTGACTACAGACGCGTACGGAAGCAACTTCATTATTTTAGATATTCGCGAGCGAAGCCGCTGGTTAAAGCTAGTATTCTTATAAACTTCATAATTTTATTCTTATTATTACAAATAATATCATATAACAAAATATAAATTGTTTAAACAACGTATGATGGCTTGATTCAAACATTCATGATTTAAGAGCAGTCAGCCATAAACGCGGAGTTGATTACGTTGGCAAGAAGACTCCTCAATTGCAAGATCCACAGCAATGGTCCAAGTATGATCTGGGTAAGAAGCCAAAGGATGTTTCCAAGAACACCAATACTAGACACTCCACCGACGCAGGATACGGTGAAGAGTACATCAACCAGAGCTACCAAAGGCATGTTCAAGAACAAAATAGTCAATAACCAACTGACAAGATTGTTGCCGGTGAGGATGCCACGAACGGTAAGACCCAACCAACCCATTTGGGGTACTACCGCAGCATCACGAGGTCCCACAACGGCCATAAAGTCACCAGCTGTAGTAGTTGGTGGTGGGGTTACTTTAGCCACGGCCACTTGGGCCACCACGGCGCATACAAGAACAACTGCGAAGAATTTCTAAACAAAACATAACCAATATTATAGTTTAGTATTCAAGAATGTTTGTATTGAGGGATGCTTACCATTTTGACTGTTGGATGATTATGGATTGCTCAACTTTTTCACCGTTTATATATAAAACCCCAAAATGCAGATTTTGGGGAATTTAAATACACATGTTCATATAATCTCATCAGAACCATGCCATTAGGGCCATTGGACCTAGTCTGCATTCTAAATTTGGCTACTTGCGTACGTTGCTGATAAAACATCTACTTTTAGACGCAAAGTTTTACTCTGACGCAAATAGCCGCAAATTAAGTTGCCTAAAATTATAATTAAACCTCATTTTAAGTGCATAGTAATTATGCTGACGTAATTTTCGTTTTAGAAATACACATTTTGCAAATTGAATATTCTGGTGTTATCGATGATTTATTCAGAAACTAACAATATCAATTTCAGCCTAATACATATTAATACATGTGTGAATACTATACAACGCAATACTGTAAACACGATAACAATTAGCTAGAATTTTTGGTGAAGGAGCCATATACCACCTTAGCCTTGGCGAATCCTTCACTATGCGCAGAGAAAAATGGCCATTCTTCACAACGCTTCAACCAGCTAGCGATATTAGGATATAATTTTTCATCAAGTGGAATGATAAGTCCCAGAGCTGTGACGGAAGTCAAACAACTGAAATCGGCGATTGTCACTTTAGGTCCAGCTACAAACTTTTCTCCTTGCAGGAATTTGTTTAGAAAGTCATAGGATGTCTTCACTTGTTCTATGATATCATCACTGATTGAGGTCCAACCCTTTCTGGTGAATCCCAACTAAAAAAATATATTTAAAAAGATTTTTTTGCTTTTTTGAGGTTAGAACGTACGACACAGGTCTTCAAAAGCGGAAAGAGACTTCCACTATCAAAATGGAGACGTTGATCAACCACTGAGCGACTGTACAAGTCTTTCGGATAGAGAGAATCGTCTTTACCATATTTACCAACAAGATAAGCCATGATAGCATGACTATCACCTATGACCGAACCATCTTGGTCCATGTAGGATGGTACAGTATGTTGGGGGTTCATCTAATCATTAAAAACGTTAATAATATTTATAATATAAATATTTAAGTATTTTTGGTTGCATACCTTAACATAATCAGCTTTCAAGTGTTCCCCACCGAGAAGATTTAGTTCTTTATGCTCCAAATTGATTCCCAAAGCTTTCTCAGTCAGTAATACGGCCCTGACTGGAGGACTTAAGTCAATCATGTATAATTTACCCACGGCCATTTTGATTCTTTCGTTTTACACGTGAAATACAATACTAACTTGAACAATCGACTGTGGAAGAATTTATAGGTTTTATCTCTTTATTTATCTTATCGATTAGTGCACGGATTTCTGAAGTGTATTATTACGAAAACAAAACACGTAATACAACATGAAAAGCGGTTTTATTTCATCTCGAACAAAATATACTGCTGAATCATGACATTTTTAATGTGTGAGCAATGAGCGTGTGGGTTCAAGTGGATGTTGATGATTATTGAATTAAGAATGGTTTGACAAACTCCTTGAATGCTCTAGCACCTTTTCCATTGGCTTCGTAGTAAGGTAATTGCTCACAACGTTTTACCCAAGCCAATAAGTCAGTGTACTTTGAATCAATCGGTACCATATGTAAAAGAGATGAAATTGATGAGATGAGACTGAAGTCAGCGATGGTCACTGTATTACCGGCCATCCATGGCTTCCCGGACAGAAACTTGTTGAGGAAATCGTATTGAGTGTTTAATGTTTCGATTTGCTTTGGAGTGGGACATTTCTCACCGCCAGTCCACATTGGAAACTGTTAAAAAATGTTTAAAATGTTACTTTAGTGTTTTATTTACTATTTTTTGAAGAAATACTTACAACCATGACACGTAATGTAGGGAAGACATTACCACTTTCAAAATGGAGGCGTTGATCAACCACAGCACGTTTTGCAAGATCTTTTGGGTATAAAGAATCATTTTTACCGTATTTCCCGACTAAATAAGCCATGATTGCGTGGCTATCCGAAATGATAGTGCCATCTTCATCGACATAACATGGCACTGTATGTTGTGGGTTTAACTGAAATGTTTTTTGTTAAAAAAAATTTTTTTTAAGGAATTCAATGATTACTTGTTTATACTCCGCAGAATTTTGTTCGCTTTTGAATAAATCAACGATGATATGCTCCAATTCAATTCCAAGTGCTTTCTCAACCAATAATACGGCCCTGGCCGGTGGGCTTAAGTCCAACATGTACAATTTACCGACAACCATTTTGTGATAGATAACTACTGGTTAATTACTCGCACGCAAAATGTTTTTATTGATGTGAATGCGTTGAATGCTGCTTCAATTGCTCGGTAACACTGCTGACCGTCAACTGAGCACCAAGAGTAAACCGAGAGATATTTTTATATTTAGATATTCGGACAGAATAAACGTAACAGCAAAGATAACGCAATCACTTTGTAAATAGAAACAGTATACATGTGCAGTATGGAAAGTTTAATTTAATGACAGTTTAGATTAATAAGTAATGTTTATCTTTGAAATATGTAAGGAACATCGGTCTAAAATTACATAACCAAACTGTGCGTGTGTGTGTGTGTTGGTTTTAATCAATAACATTTGCAGGACACGTGATATGAATAGAATGAATTATTTATTGAATTCTACGATTCAGCATACTGAAATTATGCATATTAACACAACTGCTTTATTACAAGGACACAAAATTTTTCTGCATTTTTCTTCTTGTTACACTCGGAACGAAAGGTCGTAGAAATGGTCATGTAGATGACCATGGAACGCTCGGTTGACAGCCATATAGCTAGAAGGAAACCCCATTGCAGAATATGTTCAAATGAAGACACCCAACAGGAGGAAAGTAGATGAAAAGGAGAGGAAAGAGAGAATTGTTGAAAAAAAACAACGCTTTTAGAATATCACTTTCTTCAACAATACAAATATCCTAATGCACTCACTGTGCATAAAAGTTTTAAAGAACGGTGGCACAAAACATACGAAAATTGAATGATTATTATAGAAGCCATGGTTTAACAAATTCTTTGAAAGCCCTAGCGCCTTTACCATTGGCTTCGTAATAAGGTAATTGCTCACAACGTTTTACCCAAGCCAACAAGTCAGCATACTGTGAATCAATTGGTACCACATGCAAGAGAGATGAAATCGACGAAATGAGGCTGAAGTCAGCGATGGTCACTGAATTACCGGCCATCCACGGCTTGCCGGCGAGAAACTTGTTGAGAAAGTCGTATTGGCTGTTCACGGTTTCGATCTGCTTTTGGTTGGGACCCTTCTCACCGGCAGTCCACATTGGAAACTGTTAAAATTAAAATTAAAGTTAAAAAAATTAAAGTTAATATTTTAGTGTTTTGATTTCCTTTTTTTAATAAATACTTACAACAATAGCACGCAGATTAGCGAAGACATTACCACTGTCAAAATGAAGGCGTTGATCAACCACAGCGCGTTTTGCAAGGTCTTTTGGGTACAAAGAATCATTTTTGCCGTATTTCCCGACAAGGTAAGCCAGGATAGCGTGGCTGTCCCAAACAATAGTACCATCTCCATCAATATAAAGTGGAATTGTATGTTGTGGGTTTAACTAAAATATTTTTGTTAAAAAAAATTGTTTTTAAATAAATATTAACAATTACCTTTTCATATTCGGCTGTTTTTTGTTCGCCTTTGATTAAATCAACGTTAATATGTTCCAATTCAATTCCCAGTGCTTTTTCTACCAACAACACGGCCCTCACCGGTGGGCTTAAGTCTAACATGTACAATTTACCAACAACCATTTTGTTATCAATCACAAAATACAACGCGCGTAATATGTTTTTAATGATGTGAATACGTTGAATTATGCTTCAACTGCACGGTAACACTGCTGACCCTCAACTGAGCATCAACTGTAAGCCGAGAGATATTTATACATTTATCCAGCCAACGAGCGAGTGCCACACTAACCGGTTTGATTATTGAACTAATAGTTGTTGAAAGTAATATACCAAGCGTTGGAAATCAACAAAACACCTAAGATAACGCAATCATTTTGTAAACAAATCAAATTTGCGAGTGACTACGCGAAATTTGTTTTAATGTCGGTTTAGATTAATAAGTAATGTTCAGTGTGCTCAGTTTTGCAGTATGTGTGGTCTAGAGTTACATAAGCAAATTGTGATGTATGTTTTAATCAATAGCATTAACAAAACATGTCATATCATGTTCATTCTTTCAGATATCATTTGTTTTCATATAAGCAATATTATAATATTGTGCAAGAATATGCAATCCGTTGTAGTCCATAAGGACCCACATCAGTTAACTTGTTTTTTAAATATATTTTTCACTAGCTTTAACCCGCGGCTTCGCTCGCGAATATCTAAAATAATGAAGTTGCTTCCGTACGCGTCTGTAGTCACTGAAGAAGTAAAAAATGAAGTAGAATGGCGGGAAGTTTAAAATGGCTGAAAGTATAGTCTATGGAAGTATAGTGTACAGTCTCCATAGTGTAGTCAATTGGATTTGATGTTGACGTAGAAGTCGGTAATACAATGTGATAATACAGTGTGATGGTACTATAGTACTTAGGTTTGAGCTTCATTGCTGGAATGCTAGATGGCGTTAAAGTAGTCAAATAGCCAGCAGCAGAGGTATTATTGGCTAAACTATTTCTTTATTTTATTTAAAAAATATTTTTTTTATTAAATAAAAAGTAGCCTATAACCATTCGGGGACCACTAAGAATATGTGTACAAATTTTCATGATGATCGGTTAAGTAGTTTTTGCGTGAAAGTGTAACAAACATCGGGACTTTCGCATTTATAATATTAGTAGGGATTTGGTTTACTTCAGGCAATAGCTGAAGGAGGGTGCGATATGGACCAGAAAAGGCTCGAAAAAGAACTGGACCCTCCCCGACATCTCCCCGCCCCTTATCATTGGTAGACGTAGGTAAACCATGAAGGAAACCATTTAGGAAGCCATGATGGTAAAGAGAATATTGGTAGAAAGGAAGGAGTGCCGGGGTGTCAAGTGGGAACAACAAATCAAGAAAGTTTTGCTTCAGTTTTTAATTTTCCACAAATTTTTCCTCTTTTTTTATAACGCAAAAAAGAGACTCTTGGATCCTCCTTGTATTAGTGCTAGATACATAAAGCTACGCCACTGGAGAAAAACTCAAAAAACACGTTGTTTATTATATCTAACTTATTACCCAAGTAACATACTCGTAATTACTTTTGATGAGTGAAATTATAATTACGTTTGATGTCTACTCGTACGTTTTCGATTAATTACGTAATAAACGTACCTAATGAATATTGGTTAGAGTTTACGAGTACATTCGTCTCGTAGTGTTCATTTGTCATTTGTAAATATCGAAGTTGTCACTTTGTGTGCATGTTACATTGGTATTCAGTTACATATGCGATGTGGTAATATATGAGTAGGTACTTATATTGTGATGAGTATCAGTTGGTACTATTATCATCAACATGCAAGCATCTACTTCATTGGAATGCAAAACAACAGATAGGTAACCTTCCACTACTTGCGTATAATCAATAATGTTCTTGTTGATTATGAACACTTTTTAATTGCTCTTATAAATTACTGTTTTTATGTTTGTGCAAACAGTGCCAAGAAAAATCATTAGTTTAATTAATATTTCTTTTGACTAAAAATGTTCCCAGTCTATTGAAGAATGAAAAATTATTACAGATTTATTTAAAGTTATATGAATAATTAATTTCTGTAAAATGCACAATAAAAAAATTCTTCAATTTTCATTTTATTCTTCGTTAATAATAATAATATCATAGAGGAACCACTTCACAATGAAGTTTTAAAAAATGATTTACTGCGGAAAATAATTTTGCCTTTCTTTCAACCAAATTTAAAGATTAAGGGATGATTATTAGATAATCCATGGTTTTACGAATTCTTTGAAAGCTCTAGCACCTTTACCATTAGCCTCGTAGTAAGGTAACTGCTCACAACGTTCAATCCAAGCCAACAAGTCGCCATACTTTGAATCAATTGGTACCACATACATGAGAGATGAAACCGACGAGATGAGACTGAAATCGGCGATGGTCACTGTATTACCGGCCATCCACAGCTTACCGGCGAGAAACTTGTTAAGAAAGTCGTATTGGGTGTCCACGGTTTCAATCTGCTTTTGGTTGGGACCCTTCTCACCGGCAGACCACATTGGAAACTGTTAAAATGGTTAAAAGTAATATTTTAATGTTTTGATTTACTTTTTTTAAATAAATACTTACAACAATAGCACGCAAATTAGCGAAGATATTACCACTATCAAAATGGAGGCGTTGATCAACCACAGCGCGTTTTGCAAGGTCTTTTGGGTACAAAGAATCATCTTTGCCATATTTCCCGACTAGGTAAGCCATGATTGCATGGCTATCCCAAACAATAGTGCCATCTCCATCGATATAAAGTGGAATTGTATGTTGTGGGTTCAACTATAATATTTTTGTTAAAAACGTTTTATTTTTAAACTCACGTTAATAATCACCTTTTTATATTCAGCAGTTTTATGTTCGCCTTTGATTGGATCAACGTTAATATGCTCCAATTCAATTCCAAGTGCTTTTTCTGTTAAGAGAACGGCCCTTACAGGTGAACTCAAGTCTAACATGTACAATTTACCGACAACCATTTTGTTATTGTTAAGTTGTGGTTTATTACTGCGCATCCAATAAGTTTAGAATGATGTGAATGCGTTAAACGATGCTTCAATTGCTCGGTAACACTCCTGACCCTCAACTAAACATCAACTGCATTGCGAGAGATATTTATACGTTTTATTTGACCAACGAGGAAGAGGTTTCAATAATGAAATGCGAGTAATATTTGGTGAACATTGACATAGAACGCGTTCAGAATAAACACAACACTCAAGATAACACAAGTATACTGTAAATAAACGTAACTTTAAATTATTAAGAAACGGTATTGAATTTCATAAAAATATTGTGTTTGTAATAAAACACCTGAAAACTTATTAATTTTGAGTCGGGACGTTGATGTCTATAAGCAAAAGAGTTTATTTTACATCTGTTAACGTGTGTGTTAAATATTTGTTTGATCTTTAGGCAACAGTCGTAGCACGATGCACTTCAATAAACAAAATCATGCAATGTCGGATCTGAATAGTAAATTTGATAGGTTAGGTAATTATATGTGTGAAAATATAACCAATATGAATATCAAGAATATTACATGAATTTGCAATTGGAAAATTCTACAACTATTCCTACTAATATTATAAATGCGAAAGTCCTGATGTTTGTTACACTTTCACGCAAAAACTACTTAACCGATCATCATGAAAATTTGTACACATATTCTTAGTGGTCCCCGAATGGTTATAGGCTAATTTTTATTTAATAAAAAAAAATATTTTTTAAATAAAATAAAGAAATTGTTTAGCCAATAATACCTCTGCATCTGGCTATTTGACTACTTTAACGCCATCTAGCATTCCAGCAATGAAGCTCAAACCTAAGTACTATAGTACCATCACACTGTATTATCACACTGTATTACCGACAGCTACGTCAACATCAAATCCAATTGACTACACTATGGAGACTGTACACTATACTTCCATAGACTATACTTTCAGCCATTTTAAACTTCCCGCCATTCTACTTCATTGTTACTTCTGGCTGAAATATACATTCTTTCTATCAATCCGTTTCAACTATGTATAATGATTTCTAATATTTATTTGATGGATTCAACGCGAGCGAAGCCGCGGGTAAAAGCTAGTAAGTAATAAAAGTACCTAATCTGTAAATATCCAAGTTTCTATCCTGACAGTTAGAGAACATGTTAAATTAGGGTACAATTACAAGTGCGATGTAATAATATATTAGTATATCATCACGAATAACAGTTGGTGTCATTATCATCTACATGCAAGCATTGTCTCCATTTTAATCTGCTTCATTGGAATGCAAAACAACAAATAACCTTCGACGACTCGCATAAACTTAATAATATTCTTGATTATTAAAATCATTTTTAATTGTCCTGGTAGATTAGATTACCCTTCTTGCGTTTGTGCAAGCAGTGTCAAGAAAGAATAAGCATTACTCATTACCTAAAATAAAAAAAAATTAAGATTAATTTTTTAAATTAAAATTTTTAACATTACAGCAGTGAACGTCTCGAAAGATATCTGTCCAAAAACCGAACTGATAAACATATTCTTATTAGACCTTAGAATAATCATCTGTGCGTATTTCTGCGCTTCCACATTACCCACAAACCAATCAGTAGAATAAATCGTCTCAGAAATCTCGGAACTTTCATCGATCAATCGCTGACCCGAAGCGGAAAGCATCATCAAGAGCATAATCCAAGCCAAACAATGCAGGAATGTTTTCGGTTCGGGTTTCAACAAAAATTGAAACGATGTAATCGCAAGAATACCAGACGTGAACGACGCTAACACAAAAGCAAGCGCTGATACATTATCATTGAGTTTATCACCCAAGTCAATGATATAACAATGATAACGCACGCAGTAATTCAAATAATGTTTACGCTTTGTTGCATCCTGCTCCAAAAACGGTTTCTGCAAGACTTTTTTAAAATCCTGAATGCGTGTAATCAATATTTCAGTGGTGCCGAGTAAAATCAACATAACTAAAATTCCTGCTGCGCATACAGCACTCGCCGTGTATAATTGATTAATAAAACCAATCCAGAAAATAGTCTCGTTGTAATTAAAACTTTGTGGGAGTAGAACCGGCGCCAACATTCCACATATTCTTCGAAGATTTAATTCAATGTTTTCAGCTAGACAATCAGCACGATCAATGATGCCAAATATTCCGAAGACAAATACAGCAACAATTGCGTAGATGACAAGGAAATGTGTTAGTATATCCATACGTTTATTTACTTTATCGAAGTTTTTCGGTTTTGGGAATGTTGTAAAATCACCGAGATCTTTGACCAGTTGACGAAAACTGGAGTTGCGTCTGATGAAAATTGTCAGGAGGAAATAAATATTGAATCCTGTGGCTAGGAAAGACATTCCTGATAGGATATCGTCAAGTAGATAGTTTCTATTCGCTAAAAATAAGAAAAATTAGTAAATTTAAAGTTTTTAGGTTATGTTACTCACTTATAACTATATGTATTATTTCTGCAGCATGTAGTATAACTGGTACAGGGAATACAACTAAAAGAAAAATACAAATATCTTTTTTGCGTAGATTTTGACCTTTTCTAGGCCAAACATGAAGGATTTTCATGTAGAAAAACAAAGCTTTTAGTATATCAGTTTGTTCCTCATCGATAAAACCATCATGGTCAAGCCATTTCTTCAGGAAACTCATTTTAAAAGACATTTTCTTCACTTTGATCTAAATTATCAAGAAAAACTGCTTAAATACTTTTCTAAACAAAAGAATTTTCTGCTTAATAACTAAAATTTAAACTTTTAAAGAATTCACAAACATACCTTCTAATTTACCTCCTGAGATTCATACAGAGTGTTCACAATTGAAGTTTAATTGATATATTCATCATTATAATAAATAATTGTGTATGACATAAACAAAGAACTAAATATTAGCAAATAGATTACACATTGGTAGAAAAGTACAATATTAAATACATGTATATAATAAAAATGATATAAATTCATACAAAATAGAGATACAAATGTGATGTGATGTGACTTTTACACTACATTTACAATAATTGCTAAGAAGCCGTCTTGAAATTCATGTAATCATGCTGGGCGCAATGGCGTTCAATCGCATGACTACAGCTGGGCATATTCATGTATTCCTGTTGGGATGTGAAACAACCCTCAGTCTTTGTTTCTTCACACAGTCTTGTCATGTGTTCTGGGATGGTGAAAAGATGCGTCGCGGTGTCTACTTCATCAACATCTTCATTTTGTATTTTATTAATTAATCCTAGAAATTAGGTTAAAATTTCATTTTTTAGGTTATTTAGGTTATGTTATGTTGTTAATATATTTACCTGAAGATATTGGTAACCCATTAGGTGGGAATTGAATATAAAATGGATCCAGTCTTTCAATGCTATCTTTACGTGCCCGGGGTTCATTTATGGCTGATTGGGGAAGTTGTGGTGGGGGTACACATAACCCCAATTTAGTTTTTACAGGTCTTGGAGTTGGAGGAATTAAGTAATTGTTGAAATTCACTGCTGATTTGTCTTCTTCCATCGGACTCAAAATAATCTATTGAAAAAAAACATGTTAAACACGATTTAAACACGAATTAACCTCTAAATACCTTTCTTTCTTCATGGTCAGAATGTGTACCACTGTCTCCTAGACTACATCCACTCATTGTACTCATTGTTCCTGATGAAGCACTACTCGCAGTGCTTTGTAGACTCAAACTACTGATTGGTCTTGTATCAGTGCCTGTTTGTTTAATATTTAACCTCTCAATGTCTTTAACCTCTTTAATATTCTCTTTATCTCTTATTTGATATGAATGATGATGTGAGAAACCAAATATCTTCTTGAATCTCTCAAATGGACTGCTTTTACGTCCGCCATGTTTCATGTCACGTTGGATTTGTTCATAACGCATGCGCATCTCTCTCAATTGGTCCTGTTTCTCTTTAAAAGACTTTTGTACATCATTACGGTTCTGCCATTCGGCAACCAATTGCTCTGTCTGGGCAATCGTATGGACGTTATTTTTGAAATCGTTGATAATCTCAGCCAGTTCTACTTGAACCTTGTCTTCTTTGATGTTTATATTACCAGACGACTTTGAGCTCTTCGAGTGGATACTTTGCAGTGATGTGTGATGTTTCTCTTTGTTGCGTTTTTTGTGCGTCTTGGGCATTTCGATTGATTGCAGGGATTTTCCAGCTTGGATTTCTTTTTTATTATTATCAGATGTTGTTGGAAATGTTTCTGGTAAAGATGATGATGTTATACGATTGTCAGCAAGTGTGAAATTTTGATAATTATGGTCTTGGTCTTGATCGGGTCCCACGGCGGTTACTTCAGTGTCATTTTTTGTTGTTGATTGTTTAGCTTTGTCCATTTCGATGTAAAACGTGTGAGGACTTTCATTATCCTCTGTAAGAGGAGTACAAGGAGCTGATTTTGATACAATAACAGGTTTTGGTGCAGGGCACATTTTATAAAAGTCATCAGTTTGGATTAAATCTAGTTTCTTTGGTATTAGATAATGTTCTTCATCTTCTTCAATATTTTTTTCAACTTCAATTTTTGTGATTACTTCCTCTTGTTTAGTGACGTTTTTTAAATTATCCGTGGTTAACTTTTTTATTTTTGTATAAACCGTGGCTAATTCATTCATTTTCTGTTTATTAAACATTAAAAATATTAAAATTAAGCTTAGAGTTTATTATAACTTGACTTACCATGTATCCTTTCAACATATTGTTGATTTCTTTATGTCCGACATTTTCAGCGATGTCCGCCGGTGTGAAATCTTGTACATTACGAATATCACAAGCCAAATCACCGCCTGGACAATCCAAAAGTTGTGAAGTCAACTTTTCCAATCCAAAACGAGCGGAAAAGTGTAATAAAGTTGGAAATAATTCACAAACTACAAACAAAAAACCACAAAATTCAAACTACGATGTAATATTGGTTGCCTATAATAAACCTCAAATCCTCAAATGAAAATATAATTTATCGATTTTCCACTCACCATGCTTACTCCCAGAGGCCGAATCATTATTCACGAAGAGATTAAAATTGGGTGGTACGTTCTTCTGGAACATATGCACCAACCAGTTATCCAACTGTTCGGTATCATGCGGACTAAAGCCCAAACTCTGTAACAAATCACAAATTACACATTAATTTCGCAATCACTCAGTGTAGGCAACATTTTTTCTGTCAATAGAAAGCATCCTTTTGTATCAATCCATTTCCCGGCGATTGATCAAAGGCAAACCCCCAGAGTGATAATGTTATCCGCACTCACCTGACACATAAACTCCACCGGGTTGTTAGTGGAGCGTAAAATCTGTTCCAACTCTCTGAGTCGGCTTTCACACTTGATGGGTCGCTTGCCAATGAAGCTGCCGTTCTTCTCCACGAGAATGTTGACGATGGCCGAAACCTCGAGGAATTTTTCCGGCATCGTAAACTTCAGCGTGTAGGGGTTTCTGCGTTTGACGTTTTTAATCTCGGTCATCTCCTCGTTCTTCACAATGCTTATCTTGACAATGTCTTCGTGTAACAGAGGATACTCCAACATAATCAGAACAGAAGTTTGGCAATATCGGATCTTTTTAGGAGCGATTGAGAATTGTGAGTTTTCTTCTGTGGCAATCGATGATTGTTGCTTCCAGATTTTTGTGAAGATTGCAATTGCAGAAGCGACGAATTCATGCGCAAAGTTTTGGTCCTGATCTTGGCCAACTGGACGTCGCTGCCATTGATTGTATAACGTCAATGCTTCCCTGTGAATGTCAGTAATGTCTTCATCAGAAGTTCCTAGTTGTAGAGCTAGTATTCTATCAGGGAGAAGGAGTTTTGTGAGGCCTGTTGTGCATGATTGTGAATTATCTTGGATTTTCTCCAAAAACAATGGACAAACGATGATTAACTGCAGTTTGACGGATGTTGTACGTTCGGCAATATGGCGGACATCACCATTTGAGGTTATGATCTCTTCGACACCCAAATGGCGGATTCTAACCACAAAAACATTAAAATATTAGCAAAAACTTATAAAAAACAGTAAAAAACGTACTTATATGGCTTTCTATTTGCACTTGTACTTAATTGTTCAAAATATGACACGAAATATTGCGCCCACAAGTTGGCTGGTTCACTATCCTTAGCGGAAACAATCAAAATGTCCTCCATGTCAGCGCGTTTGGTTACACCTGCAAGAAAAATGAAACATATCAATATAATATAAAAGTTTCGTTTGAAAGTTTCACTTATTTCGATTACACGATGCGGAAAAGTTTGCAGCAAATTGTTTTACTTGTCAAGAGTGTAGAGTGTGTAAACAAACCAGCTTTCAATTTACGCCGAACTCGGCTGAAAAGTTTGCACACTGTTTTTCGATTTCTAGAAATAAGTTTGTCAAAAGTAAAGTTAGACTTTTAATTGATTCCAGCCAGAGTTACAGAACACTGTTTTTTCTATGCAATTGTTTTTATTTTTGTATTTTTACGCTGTTTCAAAAAAAGATTAATGACTTTCGACACTCGGGAGGGTTGGACGTCGTTAATAGTAAAAGCATCGATGGACCAGAATAATGGGCGCAGCTTTAATGACGTTCGAAGTCGATGAATAATTGTCCCGACTTAAATTTACGCTGTGTTGACAAAAAAGCCAATTACTCAAAAATTCTTTTTTATTCATTAACTAAATTAGCTTTTGCCCACGACTTCGTCTCGGTAGTGTTTAATAAAAATGTAATTCGTTTTTACTCTCTTGTTCTAGACATAGTATGTGTCAATTCTATCAATAAGATTCGCAATTTTATTTTAAAGAAATTAATTATATAAAGAATTGCTAATAATGCACTTCAGCGCGCCATCTCGGATTCAACTATTTAACTATAACTATGATTGAATCTCAAAGCTAACTTTTATTTTTGTAGAAAATGGCTGTCTTTAGGGTTGTCCCGGCAATTATTCAAATTTTTCTCGCCATAAAAACCATCCTTGGACTTTAACAAACATTTAAAAAAAGAATTGACCAAATTGGTCCAGGCGTTGTTGAGTTATGCGCTTACAAACAGATTTTACAATACATTTTTATATTACAGTTCATGAATACAAACAAAATGAATAGAATTCGACTTAATAGCTTAAGCTCACTTTAACTGGAATACAATCGCTGTATTCATAGCTTATTTATTAATAAACAATAAGTTTTGACGTGTTTAAGATGCCCACAGCTGTTTTCTCTTATTTTTAGTATTTGAATATGAAAAAATGTGAAAAGCTCAGCTTCCAACTGTCACTCCAAGTGCAAACAAAAAATAGTTTACATTTCAGACACCTTTCATCTGAGAATTCACGCCTGGCACACTTTTTTACGAGTTTAGCGCTTGTCGTCCCCTAAAAAGTTTCGCCTAAACTCGGAATCGGAATGTTTGTCAAGAGGGGCCTGCTTTGTCTTCAATTTCGGGGGTGTCGCCGACTCGCCCCTATCTAGGGCACGCTTCGTTGTCTTTTAGCACACATATTGCTTCCAATTACAGCAAAAAAAAATTAAAACAACATCAGAGACACTAATACCACAGAAAAAACATGTCTACGTTCATTTTTAACAAAAAAATGATATAAATATAAACAATCGAATATAATAATAACCTGACACCGTTTTAATTTCATTTTGGTGAGGCGTGACAAATAAAAATCGTATTTGTTTATGCGGCTGCTTCCTTCCTGTGCTTTTAAGCTTTTTACGAGTGAAATCAGCGCGCGACTTTGTTTGTTGGACGAGTTTAGACATCAAACTGCTTCAAGACGTTTGACACTAACTTAAACAACTCACAGCTTCCACGTACGCACATCAACAAGAAGTAAGACTTCAACCAACGCTTCATGAACATCTTGCGCGTTAGAAGACGTGTCTGTTTATGCAGCGCAAGAACAGATTTGTTTATATGTTAATAAAAACGAAAATTAAATCGTTCATAACACGTGCAGAGACTTTATCCTAAAACCAAACATCAAAAATAACCTTAATTTTTAGGTTAAATTTAAAGGTTATGTTAATCTGAGAAGTGTTGAACAATTTTCTGCAGGAATAAAACACGTGATGAGTAATTCTCTCAGTCTGCGCGTTTGTCTCGCGCTGCGTAGGTGTATAAATAAGCCAACAACGCCTAATTAAGCTTTGTTCACGACGCCACCCGTAAATTATCGCGCGTTTTTTACGCATCTTGAGACGCAGATAAAATTACCCTGACTCATATTACTATGGTGTGAAATTCATACATTCATACACATTACAACAGTGTAAATCAAACACCAGAAAAAATTCTCTCTGCAGTCGAGCTTTTAAGTTTTAACTTGTCGCGATGAGCTTAATTTTCATGTCGTGTTGGTCGTGTGCGCGTGGCGCGTGCACCGGAAATCTTGAGACATCATTTGTTTGCTTGTCGCGGGTCGCAACGACAAGTTGATGTCGCTCCGCTTCCGTTTCGTATATGTAAATAGAAATTAGAAGACACTTGCCTAGAAAAAATTGGTTATATTGAGATTGGAGATCATTAGGCAACCAGGGTTACATCAATGTTTACATAGTCTACTTTATATACAGTAGTCTCTTTCAGCGGAAGTAGAAAAATAGAAAATAATAGCTTGTTGTGATGTACAACCGGATGGCAGTGTAAAAAAGGTCAATATTTTGTGTTTTCATCTTTTCCCAAAGGTATTTTAATTATGCGAGCGTAAAAAAAGCACGAAAGCATCAAGGATTCCATTTTAATTACGAGTGCAGCTTAAAGTGCATTTTAGAGCTTTTAATAACGTATATTCTGTTGCAAAATGTTGTAAACAGGAAATTTTGTTAATTTCTGTCCATCACATATGCCACAGTTGAAAAAAAAATTGGTACAAGTGTAAAACTGTGTGTATTTGAGTTTTGGTCTATTAATACACGTATTTGTAGCTTTAATAGTCACATTCAATATTAATTTTTCCAGAGCACACCCGAGTATTGTTTACGTTTGCTCGCGTTTGCAGGGAAAGCCCCGGCGAGTTTAATGATGTTTGAAAATCGCGGCGAGTTTACAAGCTTTCCACGACGAAAATAGCTTCCAGCCACAGCGCGCAGCGCACGTCGTCGAAGTTAATCTCGGCATCGATTTCGACTACTACCAAACCAATATGCGATGTGATTGAATATTGTAAGCAAAAATTTTATTTTTTTTTCTCCCTGCGTGTATGATTCATATATTTATCTTTTTTCTAGTGTAGCACATGTAAATCGTCTGTTTGTAATTTGTACTGAGTAGCTTGACGCAATTAATTTAATTATAGATGCATCAAGTGATTCACACAAAAATGCATCGTGTTTTGTTTTGTGTTTGTGGTTTTTGCGGTTTGTAGCACATGCTTTATTTTTAAACGGTATTTGTATCGCGTTCTATTATTAATATTAAGCAGATCAATCATCTTTGAAGGTTTCAAAGCCTTTTAAACCCTTCTGGGTCTTTAAGACTTCCTTTTAAGATACCACCGGTGCATAAACATGTATTAAACACTTGAGATTCTTCTCCGGGAAGTATGTGCTCTACTTGTAGACATTGCATAACTCCATAAGTTATTGTATTAAAAGTTTCCAAAGAATTCGTTGAAGAATTCAAGATTAAACGCTTTCAGCCACCGTTGGAGAGGTAAGCATCTGTTTTGTATTAATCTGATGTCCATTTTTGACATTCCCTGCAACTGGAACTAATTCTTCCGCTTAAAACCCTTTGACGTGTGAAATTTCTACAGAGAATAATAACCTAAAAATAATTGTGGTGATTTTTCATTAAAATCTCGAATATTTCGTCTTTCGCGAGGGTTTAAAATGAATGAATGCTGGTTTAAATCTCATGCCATGCGCCAAAAGTCATAAAAGTATTAAAGGGTCGCGCAAAACTCTGAAAAGTTAAGCCGGGGCGACGTCTAGCAAGAGATTTAATTTATTCAGGTCCAAAAATGATGTTTTCACTTCTAATGGGAACTGGGAACATCTGTTGGCCATATTATTTCGGCCATAAATGCAGAAACTTGAAATTCATACACGAACAAAACATACACAACCCTTAAAACAGATTTTATAAATATTTTTACCAAAATTTAAAAAAAAATTACGAAATTAACCTCAATTACTCTGAGATTTCGTATTTGGAACATAAATATTTTCATTTCGACGAAATCCAATCAAAGCAAGTGCTCGCGCTTAAATTAAATACGTGCGTGTAACTTGGGTTGCATACAAATGTCTAAATTAATAACCGAATCAATTTGCATGAAGAAGGAAGACACAGAACAGGAGATTTTTAATTGTATGCTGCGTGCATGCGGCGCGACTTCCTTCGCTTCCTTTCCTGGAAGCAAGATCGTTATATTCATCGCCACATGTTACTTAAGTCAAACTCAACGCCCAAGTTGACTACTACCTGCGTCAGCGCGCCCAGATTTCCACTATGAGCTTGCGAGCTTTCGATCTGCGGCGTGTGTGTGATTATCATATAAAAATAATGCACGTGCTCAGGATGTCACGCGCTAACATAACTTTTTTTCTAATTTATATCCCTATACAAACACATTGACTTAAGTTAAGTCTTCCGCGTTGAATTCACCGGTTAATTTCGTTTGCGTTCGAGTGAACATCCTATGTCTTTACTCTATGCCCATATTTGTAGGTTATGTGCTTACCATTTGTATTTGGAGGTTAATTCTTCAATATGAACCGTTAAACTGTTTTTATGTTTATGATAACTTGTTTTGTTTGAGTTAACTAACGCAAACTGAAATGCGTTCTTGTATTATGTCTTATCATGAAGAAAAATCCATCAAGTTACCCTTTGGCCTCGGTCATTTGTTCGCTGGCGGGCTTCCTGTTTTGTTCAGCCATTAATCTCTCACTGCACGCATTGTCTACTCGAACAAATAACCGAGAGATAACGACGCATCAAAACTGACAAATCACTTTAATAATGAATCAACAATAAAGAATAAATAAATATTTAAATATTAAACTAAAATTTAAAGTCTTGTAATTAACGAGTGTAAATTTTACGAGCGCAATTAGCATCGTAATAATTATTCCGCGAATATTTCGCTGTGTTTGTTTTGTGTAATTACAACAGTCTGTATATTTGTCGTCAACGGAGAGCAAAGAATGAACTCGTTTCCTTGGAGAATCGGAGTCTGAGGAGTAATCGCGTAATTAAACTAATTTCCGGTCGCTGCAACAAGCAGCCAGCAATTTTCTATTTAGAACACGTTCATTTACTCAAGAACACTTTCATTGCATTACAAAATGCAATAAACTTAAATTTAAAACAAAAATTTTAAATTTTTCTCAAAACTTACCTCTTGGACATCGATTACACCTCTTCCTCGGATAACTCCCGTGTCTTAACTTGTGATCATCAATATGTAGATTGATCCGACTTGCAAGTGACGAAGCATCCGATTGTCCATCAATGCTAGCGTGCACAATGGCCTCCTGTAGATCAACGGAGCTGCGCTGTCGTCGCTTTTGTGTGTGATTCTGTGATTGTTCACCACGCAGCGTGCTGATCGAATGGCGGCGCGGCGCAATCGATTTAATATTGTAGTAACGCACGTTGGTGTCGTCTTCGCGCGCGACAAACACTTCGTCTTCGTGCGCGTCGTCGTCGTCGTCGTCGTTCGAATCGATCGCGGCGTCAGTGGAATCGATTTCTGCGGTTGGGAGTGGGGAATACAGACGATGGACATCGGTCAAGCCCAAGCCGTGCTTTCCTGAAGATTTCGCTTTTAACGAATTGGCTCTGCGTGGTTCCGATGCGTATTTAAATTCAGGCGCTATGTCGGATAAGCGGGGTGCGCCGGTGTTAAACAGCTCATGATTAGAATCTGCTGAATTTGTGCTTAGGGAACGTAGGAGTGAACGAAGAGATCGTTTGCTTTGTGAGCGTGGAGAAGAACAGGAAGATGTTGATGATACTGATGAGGATAAAGAACACAGGGGTGGGGGATTTGACATTGAGAAGTATGATGGGTTGTCTAAAAAACAAACAAAACAAAATGATTTAGAATCAAATCACGTTCGTTTTTTTTTTCTTTTTCTTTTTCTTGATGAAAATATTGTGGAAGAATTATGATTTAAATTGTAAATTGTGAAAAGCATTGTTTACAAATGTTTTATCGTGAAACGGCTGAAACGTACCTACGTTTCAATTGGTATTCATTGCGACTGGCATTTATTGAAATTTGATCAAATTTCCATTTTATATTCTTTCTATGTACACGACTGTTTTATTCATGGTCAATGGTCATAGACAGCATCAAAATTTTTTATATTATCAAGGTTACCATGGAAAAATCACTTACCTAAAGCCATTTTGATGAAAAATCAAATTTTGTTTTAAAAATTGATGCAAAATTGATTGAGTAATGATTTGGAAGCAATTCAACAATCTGCAAATAAAAATAAAAATATTATTTAGTTATTTTATGATGGCAATAAACGATATTTATTTATATGAAATTATTTGTAGTTATTATGGTTTATTGATGTAGTTGTAGGAAAATAATTTTGTTGATTTTATTGACGGGGAATTATTTCAATGTTTATCATTAATTATTCTGTGTAATATCTATGTTATAAATTTATTCATCGATGGAATATGATTCAGTTATTGTTGTATTTCTTTGATGAATATGTCAAGAATATTTTTCTTCATCTTAAGTCAAATTATTTTAGTAAATTCGGCAATTGTGCAATTAAATTATGAAAAAAACGATTGAGAAGAAAAAATATTACATGATTTGCAATTGGTAAACTCTGTAACTTAAATATCAAATTCGAAAGATGATATTATGGTTAACAATGAAATTCTAACCTATATTAGTTCACAAAACATTGAAGTAATTATATACGAAGCAACTAAAATTATCAATATAAATGCAACTTTAAAATCAGTACGATTATCTTATTAACCTCAAAAGTGCCGGTAATTACAGATTTCTTCCTAAACTGGCGAAAATCTGTAAATTTCAACAACGCTTGTAAATACTTCATAGTCTACTCTGGACCTGTCAATAACAATGAAATAAACCAAATAACCTCAATCTCTTCAATCCCTACTAATATTATAAATGCGAAAGTCCTCATGTTTGATACACTTTTACGCAAAAACTACATAACAGATCATCATGAAAATTTGTACACATATTCTTAGTGGTCCCCGAATGGTTATAGGCTACTTTTTATTTAATAAAAAAAATTATTTTTTAAATAAAATAAAGAAATTGTTTAGCCAATAATACCTTTGCATCTGGCTATTTGACTACTTTAACGCCATCTAGCATTCCAGCAATGAAGCTCAAACCTAAGTACTATAGTACCATCACACTGTATTATCACACTGTATTACCGATAGCTACGTCAACATCAAATCCAATTGACTACACTATGGAGACTGTACACTATACTTCCATAGACTATACTTTCAGCCATTTTAAACTTCCCGCCATTCTATTTCATTGTTACTTCTTCTGTGACTACAGACACGCGTACGGAAGCAACTTCATTATTTTAGATATTCGCGAGCGAAGCCAAGGGTTAAAGCTAGTAATATCATATTCCAAAGATGATCTTGTGTCTATAAATGAAATTCTAACCTATATAAGTTCACAAAATATTGGAGTAATTATATACGAAGCAACTACAACTATCAACACAAATTCTGCTTTAAAAATAAGTACGATTATCCTTTTAACCTCAAAAGTGTCGGTAATTACAGATTTCTTCCTAAACTGACCAAAATCTGTAAATTTCAACAACGAGTGTAAATACTTAATTGTTGGCCTCTGGACCTGTCAATAACAATGAAATAAACCAAATAACCTCAATCTCTTCAATAATTTAATATTTTTTAAAGTTTTACGTGTCCTAGATACACGTAGCTTGAGATCAACTTAAGACTTATCATGCCACTTAATAAAACAACCCAATTCCACTCGTAATACTTGTAATTGAATGATTTCGTCATTATCATGATCATCTCGACAAGCCTCAACACTTTATTCGTCTGTAGTCCATAGTCTTAATCTTTTTCCTTCAATGACATTATGATTGTTCTGATTTTACGACTACAACCTGAATCTAGCACGCGATAAGTAGGAAATTTTTATAAAATGTAAATAACTTGTCCTAAGTCAAAAAAATCGCCCCTAGATGTGTCTCTAGCATGTCTAGAGAATAGAAAAGTGAATTGAGATTGAGAAGCCACTGGACCACTTATCCTATAATAAGCCATCTGATCTTTAACGATCTCCAACGACTCCCGACGCAATCTCGAAAGCTTTGTGTGCTCAATGCACGTACAAAGCTCATTCGAGAGGAAACATCCATTCATACGCGCGAAGCGCACGCGCACAAAAGAAATATTCAGAAGTCGAGAAGCAAGATGCGAGATGTTGTGTTGTTCATTCATTAAGTAATCGCTTACAAACACAACAGACACCAACCACACAGTGCTCGTCTATTCTTCATTCCGGAGCGTTGAGTTTAAGTTTAAGTTTAAGCTCAAGCTAGAATTCCGAAACTTGAATGAAGAGTCTTCTAGTATTATTCTTATTTTGATTTTCTTGGCTCAGCGCTCGGAGCTTTCCAGTAAAGCTTTTATTTTCTCTCTCTCCGTGTAGCTATTCGTAGTACACGCGTGTCCACTCAAAACAAAACATAAATTTCCGATTTGACGTGCGCTTGAAGCTTTTTGGCGAAGTAGCAAACTCAAATTGGAATGAAAACTTAAATTTACAGTTCATTCATTAGAAAATGCAATAGTTTAGGTTTATTTGCGATTTCCGATTTAGTAATTCTGATTAATGGGTTCAAGCAAAAAGAAAAGTTTCACCGTCTGCCAAGTGAGCGAGTAGAGTGATGGCAAATTACATCCGAAAGCTTGCTCGTACACGAAATTCAGTTAGATATGTGAACGAGCTTTTCCGATGGAAAGCTCGTGCGCGTACATGTTCTATCGACGTAATTAGATTCCTGGCTCAAATCCCAACACAGCTCAACGTAAAACGTTATCCCATATCCATTAAGACGCGTGAAATATTTTAAAAGCTCAAAATTTCACTTTTTGTCTTGTTTATAGTTTGATTTGGTTTAATTTTACATTTATTTTTGATTCAGCTGCTTGCAGTTTAACGCATCGCCGACAAATTCATTCATGCACACGATTTAAATTTATCTACGATAATAAATCAAGTGTAAATTAAAATAAATTTATTTCACAAAATATTTCGCTCATTATTTGTGACTAAAAACATTTTGTGGTTGTGATTCTTATTATTTCGAGATGTAGTTTCGAATTACATTCACGCTCCGTCAAAATCGAAGGAAACATATGCCTGTAGGTAATTGAGAATGCCCAAAAGTGACTGCCAAATGGTTATTCACGAAGCAAAAACCTTTAGTTTTCGGTTGTGTTGAAACGCTTCGTGTCTGAAACGTATTATGTTTTTAGAACAAGCATCGTGCAAGGTTAGGCCAAGATTTCAGCGGGTTTATTGTGTCGAGCACATGTTTCAGAATTTTTGAATGTTGCGAAAACTACATGACGCTAAGGTCAACTTGTTCTCATATTAGTAATGTATCAATTCTATGAATTCATAAAAATAAAAATAGTTGTTGAAAAAACAATATGATCTAATTCAATTCCAGGAATTATTATTTTAACCGCAGCCGATTATTTATTGTGCAATTTGATTAATTCAAATATTTTGCGTGGAAAGTTGGTAAATTTAGAATCGCGGAATTTATCGATGCGTTTTCTGCGTATTGTTCGAATGTTTGGCAGGTTTGGCATTCGATTGTTGATGTGTTTGCTGCTAAAACTGTACTGCAATGCATTTCGGCATTCCAGCACGCGTCGAGAGCAATAATAAAACGTAAAACGGCAATTCGAATGCATGCACGCGTACAAAATGACCCCTGGACCGAGATCTACTTTTTAAAAAAGCTTAAAAAGCTTTCAAAAATCATATTAAATTATTATAATCAAAAATAAACAAAAAAATCAAAAGAAAAACTAAATTTTCTTAATTTTTACTTACAACTTTTACAAATCATCTCAAAGAATTCTCGATGTTGCGTTTTAAAAGTTCAAAACACTATCAAACTCACAAAGTTCATTTTTGCATGGCACTTTAAGTGAAACCCGTCAACAAACACGCGAGTACTGAATATTTTCGGAGATGCCCACATCTGCTTACTTCAGCCGTCGCTGAAAACCGACTGAATCAACTTGCGCGTAGAGTTCAGCTAAGTTTGGAGCTTTGGTTCGTGCTTAATGCGGGTGCGCGGTGTTTTTAGAAGCGTGCTCAGCGCGCCACTGCTACTGCTACTGCGCTGCAGACTTAAGCCGTGCGATGCGTACTTTGCTAAGCCATATGCACTCTGATCTCTTCCAATGTGTGGATATTTTGAATTTTGATTTAGTATGCAGTGCACGCACGCGGCAAAAATCAACCGCGGCCGCCGGCACCCACGCGCGGTGAATACATAAGTGTTTGGTTTAACTTAGGCAACCACAATTACACCTCAAGTGGACATGATGTGTGTAAAGTGGTTAAAAATTACTAAATTGCTTAGTTTTGTAATAATTCATGTAAAAATTAAGTTTTTTTTGTTATTTTTTGAGGTTTTAGTAAATTTTCCAAGTGATAAAGGTATTTATTGCTCTCTAGGGTTGAAAAGGGTTGGTTATAGCCCCTGGAGAGGTCAAAATCAAGCTGTAAGACGTAATTCCCAACGCACCGGAGTAAACTTCCCGTTATACACACACAATCCACTGCTGTGTTTATTTTATTCTTTTATAATAGAAAATGATATCAAAAATTAAAAACAACATAAAATTTTGATTGATTTCTGTGTGTTACGTTATGCATACTGTAGTAGAATTCAATTGAATGTTTGTTCGTTTGTTTGCCTCTCCATCAGATTGCTTTCTATTTTCTATTTTCCAATATCAATCGATAAAAGGCTTCGTTTATATTTAGCCCCCGCAGAGGAGCGAATCTCGCCTCTCGTGTGAGTAACGAGGGTTTTCAGGGTTTTGACTCGCCGCCGCGCACACCGCAGGTAAACAACACCGCCCACACACGAAATTAGCGCAAAAAACGAAACACAAACGACTAAAATACATTTTCTGAAGTTGAGCTGTTTCTTGCGCGCTGTGGGAAAATAAAAATATGTACAATAACACTGATGACATTTTAACAATCGATTTATAGTATAATACATGATGGAAACTTGTATTAAGTGTATGTGAATGTGTACATTACGCGTATTACGCACATTAGACACATACGGGCACATTTATTGAATACGTAATGATATTCTGCTTTTTTCATCTTTCGCTTTTTTCTTTTTGGTTTCTTTTGTAGCGTTGTATAAAAATTTACTTCCTCGTCGCTGCGTCGATATTACATGAATATTTATTTGAATATCACACGGTGTATCTTCTTGTATTTGCGGTTCTTCAACTGTGCTCACGTTTCGATTGCTTCCTGATTCGTACGCACACTTCCGTACTCGAATTAATTGTTTATTCTACCGAGAAGTTTTATTCCCACGTATGCAATTACTTTATTAATATAGTAAACTTTATTTATTTGATCAGGATATGCTTATGCTGATAATTAATATCTCTTAAACTAAAAGCGCTAGAATCTAACGAATTGTTGATTATGAAAGATTGGAAAATTCTCTATCAGATAAAAATATAAAATAATTATATTTTCAAGAGTAAAAGGTCAAAAACTCGAATAAAAGTGCCAAAAGAGACATTTTGCAATTTTGCCCATTTTTTCAATCGCGAATATCTCCTAAACTAAAAGAGATAATTAAGATCTGATCGCAGCGTTTTAATCTACGAACTTTTTCTATAAGATAGAATAGTTAAAACGGAAATCGGGGAGAAAAATTTTCATTCTTAAGAAAAAATTGCCAAGGGGGTGCTTGATGATTTTTATCGACGATTTTCGATAATAAATATCTCTTAAACTAAATGTGCTAGAATCCAACGAATTGTTGATTCTGAAAGATTGGAAAATTCTCTATCAGATAAAAATATAAAATAATAATATTTTCAAGAGTAAAAGTCAAAAACGCGACTGAAAGTGCCAAAAGTGACATTTTGCAATTTTTGCCCATTTTTTCAATCGCGAATATCTCCTAAACTAAAAGAGATAATTAAGATCTGATCGCAGCGTTTTAATCTACAAACTTTTTCTATAAGATAGAATAGTTAAAACGGAAATCGGGGAGAAAAATTTTCATTCTTAAGAAAAAATTGCCAAGGGGGTGCTTGATCATTTTATCGACGATTTTCGATAATTAATATCTCTTGAACAAAAAGCGCTCGAATCCAACGAATTGTTGATTCTGAAAGATTGGAAAATTCTCTATCAGATAAAAATATAAAATAATTATATTTTCAAGAGTAAAAGGTGAAAAACGCGACTGAAAGTGCCAAAAGTGACATTTTGCAATTTTTGCCCATTTTTTCAATCGCGAATATCTCCTAAACTAAAAGAGATAATTAAGATCTGATCGCAGCGTTTTAATCTACAAACTTTTTCTATAAGATAGAATAGTTAAAACGGAAATCGGGGAGAAAAAATTTTCATTCTTAAGAAAAAATTGCCAAGGGGGTGCTTGATCATTTTTATCGACGATTTTCGATAATTAATATCTCTTGAACTAAAAGCGCTCGAATCCAACGAATTGTTGATTCTGAAAGATTGGAAAATTCTCTATCAGATAAAAATATAAAATAATTATATTTTCAAGAGTAAAAGGTCAAAAACGCGACTGAAAGTGCCAAAAATGACATTTTGCAATTTTTGCCCATTTTTCAATCTCGAATATCTCCTAAACTAAAAGAGATAATTAAGATCTGATCGCAGCGTTTTAATCTACAAACTTTTTCTATAAGATAGAATAGTTAAAACGGAAATCGGGGAGAAAAAATTTTCATTCTTAAGAAAAAAATTGCCAAGGGGGTGCTTGATCATTTTATCGACGATTTTCGATAATTAATATCTCTTGAACAAAAAGCGCTCGAATCCAACGAATTGTTGATTCTGAAAGATTGGAAAATTCTCTATCAGATAAAAATATAAAATAATTATATTTTCAAGAATAAAAGGTCAAAAACGCGACTGAAAGTGCCAAAAGTGACATTTTGCAATTTTTGCCCATTTTTTTCTATCGCGAATATCTCTTATACTATCAGAGATAAATAGGAATAAATCGCAGAGACTGTTCTACGGACAATTCTATATAAGGTAAGTTAGGTAAATTGGAAATCTAAGATAAAAAATTTAATTCATAAGAAAAAATTGGCATGAGGGGGTGAAAATAAAAGAAAAACAAAATAAAAATATTAAAAATTAATTTCCTTATACGTAATTACATTTCTTTATAATTAAAAACAGAAAACTGTTTTTTTTTTTCAAATTTTTTTGCCGTGCTAATACCAATACAAATATCTAATCTTACCTACTGGTAGAAAATCTTAATATCATTACGTTTCACTTGGTAGTTTAATCAATTTTGAGGTCGACGTTGCCAACAATCTGCAAATGGCGTATGTATCCTCTTCCTAGTATAATGTGCACGTAACTCCAACATCTAAAGCTCGCCGCGGGTTAACAACATGTGCCTTGTCCTATAAATTGGCAAACGTACACGTGCAGGCGTGCACGTTGATGGTGATTAACGGTTGGTTGCTTGTTGTTGATTTTGACAATCACAATGAGTACAATTACTTAGTGAACCTTGAACTTGTATATTCAACAAGTACCATTACTTTAACCAACAAAAACATACAAAAACTTACAAAACAAGCAAAAATTGTAAAAATTTTCGTGAATTTTAAGCTTTGGTTTCAAATAAATTGAATAAAATTGTAAACTGAATCCACCATTTGTGCTTTCTGAGACACTGGCTCAGATTCACGACCTCTAAGAGAATATAAAGGTAAAAGTAAGAAAAGCCGTATAATAAACGCTTGCAATATTCATGAGTTTTCTTTCTCGTTTTAAGACTTTTAGGTTTTCGCTCTGCTCGGTTTTCCTCGTTTGCATAACTCACAGAATGCACAGAAACCAATCCACGACGTGATTTTCCATTGTTTGCCCTCGATCGGAATTTAATTTGTCTTAAATTACTTTTATCCACGTGAAAAATAACATTATGCAACCCATTTTACTCTTCGTGTTTAAAAACGACAAAAATTAAAATATTACACCTTTGTTTTTGTATAAATCTGTAAATTTGTACAAAGTGTCGCATAGCAAGCGTAGTAATGAATAGTTAGACAACTTGTTAACTGAATGCAAAGAACAAGTCGTTGAGTCGCGCAACTGCCGCGATTGCATCACAAAAACGGCTTTCACCTTCGCCAGCGTCCGCGATTGCACACAATTCACGGCGTCGTAACTTCGCTCGCCTTCATTCAACGTTATTTCGCATTCACGCATTCACAAAGTGCCTTGGTACCCGGTTAGTATGTGATAGCCTTCAATTTAGACTGGTTTAGAGCTCCAAACGGATAAAAACTCTATTTTTATTCTGTGTAAGTAAATATCTACAACACCCTGTATAATATCTTAATTATTCATTGGGTTTTTTGACGGTGCTTAATTTAAGTGCGGTATAAATTATTAAATAGTATTCTCCTGGGTTTCTTTCGCAATTAAAATGTAAATTTGTATGTTTTAATTTTATTTCACGTAAAACTTGAATGAATGAAAAGAATAATTTTATTTTTCTGATATTTCCAGATTGGATTGAAACGTTGGTATATTATCCGCCCTGGTTCTACGTCGCATATTGAAAATTGTTCGAGAACAAGAGCGCGCCCGGTTGTGAGAGCACGAGCTCACCCGACGCGCGTCGGAGGCGGCTGGTGCAAGGATACAAGGATATCCCGCCGCTCCCACCCCGCGCGCAGCTAGCGCTCCCACCGCTCCCAGCGCTCGCTCTCGCAGTCGCTCGCTTCGTCGTCGACGGTGAACTACTTGTTGGTCTACTCTGCTGACCCAAAACAAGCTTATCTGCGTTTATCAACTGTGTTATCACACGGAATTCACATTCACAACAATCTCGCTCGTGAAAATTATTTCTTTTTCGACGAAACGTGAGTGTTAATTAATTCATTCATCCAAGATGAGCGCTGGCGGCGTCGATGAGATTCTCAATTACACGAAAAATGAGGAAGAGGACTATTACGCTGTGCTCGGCGTCAACGAGCATTCGTCGGTAAGTTACAACAATTTGTTTGCATTTTTACATCTCGAATTGAATGAGTGCAATTTGCATTGTTAGCGTAATCGGCGAATTTCGTTTCGCAATCGTAAAATTTTTATTATTGACATGCTGGCCGAGATAACAAGCAATAAAAAGAAATCGATGCATAGCAGAGCGTTAAATTAAAGTTTAATGCTGGAAAATATCGGCGGAAATGAAACGCGATTAAAAGTCGATTTTTCATTTGATTGTATACCGTTGACTATTTGACGATTATTAATGTTTATTTTGATAATACATCAACCATCAATCATTTACTTACGAGTATGGTATCGTTACCAGTAAGCAAAGTTAATAAGTTAAGTCAAAGTGACTTAAGTCAGTAAAAGCAATAAAAATTTTCACTGCGCGCTCGTTAAAATATTAAACGCCTACAAATATCGATTTTCCGTTTTGGCAAGTGACAAAACACAAAATATTTTTGTCCTAATTGCTGGAAACATGTTTAAAAATATCCGGAACATTGAAATGCACTTAAATTTGTTTCTTGTTTAATTTTTTTTGTTTGAAAAATAATTTCTTATTACAAACGATGGAATAAACGGCACCTTCGTGAAGTATTCATCAAGCGTGTGATCCACACGACACGTGCAGGCACGTGCATCGCGTCGCTTGTTTAACGACGTCAACGTCGAAGGTAAAGCGTCGCCGTCGACGTCGGTGTCGCTAAATTATTCACCGCAGTCTTCCACGCGTTTACGTTGACGCCGCAATTTTCCGTCGGTGATTACGTTGATAAATACACTACGAGTACGTCATGAACATAATCATCTAAAATTTTGCTTTGTTTTTTCTTTAATTTCAGATGGAACAGATCCAAACCGAGTTCAAGACTCGCGCGCTTCAATATCATCCTGATAAAAACGCCGGGGATAAGGAAGCCGAACGGAAATTTCAATTAATTAACGTAAGTTTTATTTTTATTCGTTTTTACTCTCTTGTTCTAGACGTAGTATGTGTCAATTCTATCAATAAGATTCGCAATTTTATTTTAAAGAAATTAATTATATAAAGAATAGCTAATAATGCAGTTCAGCGCGCCATCTCGGATTCAACTATTTAACTATAACTATGATTGAATCTCAATGCCAACTTTTATCCTATAGAAAAAGGCTGTTTTTAGGGTTTTCCCTGCAATTATTCGAATTTTTCTCGCCGCAATAACCATCCTTGGACTTTAACAAACATTTAAAAAAAGAATTGGCCAAATTAGTCTAGGCGTTGTTGAGTTATGCGCTTACCAACATATTTTGCGATTCATTTTTATATTATAGACTAAGAAAATATTGATTTGGGTATTTCCTAATAATGTAATTTTGTACTAAAATTTGTTTAGTTAAGTTTGTTAGCGTTTGTTTTGATCTAATTTACCGCATAACCAAATATTTAATAGGCATAGTTATAGAGTCAATTAATACTTGCCGATTCAATTAACAAAGTGCCCTATATAGATATAATCAATATTTTCGTAGTGCGGTCGTAAATAACAAAAAACACCTAAAATTTTCACTTGTTACGTAATAGTAGTATACTCGTACACTTGTTGAAATGTTTCTCTCTTTACACACACGATTGGGCTTTTAATTCGCGTATTCGCATATTGATTAATTATCGGGCATTCGCGGATGGTCAGTTGGCAGCAGATGACAGCATGCTCCGATGCGTCGCAAACATCAGGACTCCGATGACCTGGAAACACATCGCCCACTGCTGAATCACACATTCGAATTCAAAATGGAATTCCATTTTCGGATTTTAATTAATCCCAGCTACATTTTTACAGTTTTTACAATTTTACTTCTATTCCAGTCACTATCAATCAGTTAATTAAGTTTTTTTTAAATTTTTTTTGTTTTGAGGGAAAATTTATGTTTTTATGTTTAATATTGCTTTTAACCATGAAATATGCTTAAAGTGATGGTATTAATTCTGTTGCAGTCTGGGTAAACTCCCTCGGTGTTGGGGATTTGCATTATTTCTTTGTTGATGTTTGCTTGTGTTGACATCAAGGCTAATCTTTTGCGACGTAATAAATTGAATAAAATTGCGTTCAATTAGGTGCAACACGCTTGTGCAAACTTTCCAAGTCATTAATATTCATATTAATTTATCAAACAACAGAATTCTGCAAAATTTATGCTTTTTATTAAAAATTTAATTTTGAAATATTTTTGAGAAAATTCAGTTCAGCACTTGGGAAAATGAATCCAACGGATGGAAAAAGAATGGCCAGGAAATGGAATGGCATGCAAAGCACTTCCGTTTTTGTTTGTGTTTGGGATTTTCATTTTCCCTCCACTATTCATCCCATTCGGTATTCCACGTTTGCAATTCGCATTCCACTCCGGAGAAAGAAAAGCGTCAGGTTTAGTGCAATCGAGCAAAGTGTGCTATTTCAAAAATTCCGTCTCCATCACGCAACACAAAAGAGTATTTACGTTGTGGTTTGCTATTTCTTCCAGGAAGCCAAGGAAGTCCTCACAACTCCCGAGAAGAAACTAATGTATGACAAGTGGAAGAATTCCGGCATTCAAATTAGCTACAAGCAATGGCTTGGAATGAAGGAACACGTCCAACAGGTATTTACTATAAATGTTTTTGTTTTGTGTTAAATTGTTTATAAAAATTTTTTATTTGTCCAAAGTCAATGCATTGGAGTGTACCGAAGACCAAAGACCGCATGCTGCCGGGCAGCGGCGGCGGCATCTCATCAGGACCGTCGTCGCTGCAGACGCCGACGCCGGCGCAGCGACGCGCGTCCGAGGGCGGCGCCAATCTGCACTGGGGATCGCGCAATGCCGGCTCTGCGTGGGGCGGCGACAATCCCGGCGAGGTCGTCAGCAAGTTCCGCAACTACGAAATCTAAACGTCCCCGCTTACACCTTCGAAAACTCCCACACACACAGCATACGCACCCCCGAATCTCTCAACCTTTTTGTGACCCAGATGTCGAGATGTTACCATTGCACGTTCAAACTCAACCCCATATCCCTCAACCTTCTGCTTTACAAAAATTATTTTTATACATTTATTGATTTCTTTTCGTCCCGCAGTCATTTCACACTTTTATTAGAGGAGAAAAAATGTTATATGCATTTAATCTTAGAACCCAATACCTGAAATACCTAAATGTGATAAAATGTGTTGTTTTCTCATGAAAATTAAAATGTATTAAGAGATTTAAGAGAAATGAAGAGAAATATATATATGAACAAATGCTATCAAATGTAAAGTTAACAAGAATATCATAAATCAGTGTGAGACTTATAAAACTTCAAAAATCATATATATATACAGATATATTATGTCTTAACAATACTTACAGGGTGTCTACAAAATGTAAATCCAAAAATTCTGACATGAAACTATTTTTTCGATTGAAATCTTATACAAATTATTGAGGAACCACGCTGTAAGGACCAAAATCAGAAAAAGTTATGGCTATACTAATTCATTATCAACTTCTATGTTATCTATTTAATTTATCTGCAAATAATTAAATTTTAAAATGTTTAAAGTTTAAAATGTTTAAACATTAATTTTAAGATGCTATTATTACGATTTAAGTTAAGAAGCAAAGAGGTTTTGCAATTAAACATGTGTTGTGACTTGTAATTAAGAAAACCAGAAAGAAGATCGCATCATATTCATATATTTTGATAAATGTTTATGACGAGTTTCAATCATTTTATTTATGACTCTCTGAAGCGAAAGAGGTAAATAACAGAATAATCATTACTGTAACTCATTAACTGTCTTAATAAGTGGTGAATAAATTAAATCAAGATGTAATAAAGGACTTTTAATGCTGAATGTTTAGTTTTATGGGGTTTTGAAAAATATATTTAATAATATTTGGTGGATGCGCCTAACTTGTCAATTTTTGTTTGTAAATTTATTAAAATGAAGTTTTAGACGGTTTGCAACACTCAGTATCTTGTGGACGACTGCTACAAGTATTAATTTATTGTTTTTTTTATTAATCTGCATCCTGAATACTCTTTAAACCGTCTATAAATGCTGTAAAAACGCCTTTTATTTTTATGAATGTTTTTGTGGACTTTCTGAGTGTTTAATGGGTTGCCTATGTATGCACTGTATAAAGAACTATAATATAACGACGAGAACCTAAAAATAAATGAATTAGTTCACGATATACATGAAAGTAAAAGAAGTTGCCTATATTAAGCACATATAAAAATTCAAAATCTAAATAATTCGCAGGAACATTTTTGATGAATGTTTTTGTGAACTTCCTGAGTGTATAATGGGTTGCCTATGTATGCAGTGTATAAAGGATCTCTTGAACTATAGTATAACGACGAGAAACTAGAAATAAATGAATTAGTTCCCGATATACATGAAAGTACAAGAAGTTGCCTATATTAAGCACATATAAAAATACAAAAACTAAATAATTCGCAGGAACATTCACTCCTATCACATTTAAATGCACCGTTCACAATCTACAAGCAAAATCAAGTCTCGTTAAGCTCACAAAACATGAAATGCAAGCCCACAAACATCGCGCGCATGTTATATAACTCCATACAATTCACAATCACGTTTGACAATGTGCGTATAAACGCATAGAGTCGTAGATCGTAGACACTTTCTTGTTCGACGAAATGCGAACGATACCGGAATCCACACGCATACAATAAATACAAAACCAAGCGCAATTTAAATGAATTAATAAAGAAATGCAAACAAGCGCTGCGCTCACTCGTAGCACACGCATAACAACGATAAAACGAAACTAGAAGTCGGTTAGTGAAATGTGTCGCTACCGCTAATTAACATTGCACGTTTGCGTCGACGCAAATCCGCGATCATGTTCGTGTTTCATTATTTCATATTATTTAATAATAATGGCAACAATTTATTGCGGCTTGGTAAAGTTTAGCAGGAAAGACAGCTGTGATGAAAGGCGTGATTACGACTCAAAATCCTTTCAGTGCCTTATTAGAGATATGAAGGTATTATAATAATATCCGACAAGAGAAAAGTACCGTAAAATACCGTAAAGTTGTTATATTTTCTTTTGTTATTGTTTATTTATTATTTATTATTATTAGAATTAGAATTACGTAAGTTTTGAACCGGAATTTGTTTTGTTTAATAACAATAAATTAATTAATGTTTATTGCCAGTTTTAGAGCATTCATAAATGACAAAGCAAATAAGGAAAATGATTTGATAATATTAATCATATTGTCATATATAGTTTTGTTATAATTGTTAATTTATAGGTATTTTACAGCTCGTATAAACGCATAATAATTTAATAAATTATTAATGTTTAATATTACTTAATTTGAACGCATAACAAATTAAATTAGTAGAAAGGTTGAAAATGTTTTTTTTTTAAGTTTTGAATTCCCTTTGGTTTTAAAAGTCAAATTTTCATTTCCTCATCGTTATATTGGTCGTTAATGGTTCACCGTTCACGTTCACGTGCCTGCTGCTCGCTCTTGATCGACTCTGCAAGTTCTTCACCTCTTGGGCTCAGTGCGCGAACTGCTGGCTCAGTGCGCGAACTGCTGTTTATGGAAAACACGATTATCGCAGGCAATGATCGTCGGTGAGAGTCGCGGCAGCAATAAATTTAATCATTTTCTCCATTACAACTGCAATCATTTTTCTTTCGCTTGTTCTGTCTGTCATTGCGCTTGCTGGTTTCAATTGCGGACAAATTTATGTCGGCATATTATGTCCCAGTTGACAATTAGTTTACTAGCTCAAATTACAGATTGCAAAGTCATAAATATTTGCAAATCAAATGCAAAAAAAAGTTTGACATTTTAAAAAATCAATGAATGATTACCTAATTGAAGAAGAAAACACGTAATATTTTAATCTATCACGAGTCGCTTCCTTCTCCCGGATTTACCTACTCCTACTATCACTATCGCTCGTCTAGACTTTCTTCTCTCTTTCTTCGCATTGTTCTTTACAAGGAGAAATGCCACAGTTATCTATATTGCAGCGTGCCTGCGGTTGGCGTTGCAAATTTTCTTTCAGTAACTAACCGAACACGATTTCGTACTTTTGGTCGATACGGCCACTATTCGACTATCGGTAAACACACAGTGTAGGTGTTCAACTCGTGTTTGTTTCTGCATATATTTGGTTGTATTGTTTAAATCGAACGCAGTTTGCTTCACGCGCTTCCACTTTAGTTTTACAAATGAACTTAAACTAAACAAATTTAAACAAATTTAAAAAAAGTGATTTAACATGGATACCAGTAATATGTTATTAGTGTGTTTACTTGGAACATTACCAGGTAATTATTTTATTTATTTTTAAAGATTTTAAGACTTTTTTAAAAATTTTCTTATTTTTATTTTTAACGTTTTTAAGTAAAAAATTGTAATTTTAACACTTTAGAAATAAAATAAAATAAAAATTTAAAACATTAATTGTTTTACGTAATTGCTCATATTATTATTTTAAAATTAAAGGACCACCAGGAGTTTACTGGCAGGATTCCTACTTCCAACTCTTTCCAATCGACAAAACAAAATGTCCAACAATCGATCCAAAACGGGACATTTCTTACCGCCTGTTCACGCCGTGAGTTTCAAATAATAATAATAATATTTTGTAATTTGTATAAAATGCAAATAAGTCACGTCAACACGCTTTTCTGCAGCGTGGCATGCGCGAAACAGTTCAAGAGTTGAGCTTATAAAGTCGCAGGCGTTAGGTGAATGCTTTTCAGTCGACAGACAAGCAGTGACTTATTAAGACTACTGAAACAGTATTTATTTATTAATTAATTAATATAAAGAATAGTGATATTTTAATATAAGCAAAAATGGACGCTGGGCATTTTTTATTAGTGTGTTTGTTAAGTAACATACCGGGTAATAATTTTAATAAAATTTAATAAAATTAATTTAAGTGCATTTTGTGAGTTTTTTGATAAAATTTAAGGACCACCTGGAATAACATTCCAAGACGCGTATCTCCAATTATTTCCGGTGGACAAAACAAAATGTCCAACGATAAATCCAATCAGAGACATAGCTTACGAATTATATACAAGGTAAAAAAAAATATTTTAAAATTAAAACTTAATGATTGATTGCTATTGATATTGCACCGCGTTGAAAATTGATGTCAAGTTCTCGACTGCAATTTATCTTAAGTTATCTAGTGCTTGACTTACGAGTAGTCAACTTCTACTTTAGGAAAATGCAATTTCTAATTGTTTCATTTCTGCTGACCGCTGTTATGCTGCAAGCAATATGCCAAGAATTCCTTTTTCAATCACACTACGAATACGATGCTTACTCAACCGACCACAATCTGCTCTTATAATTGTAATAAAACACCTACCATACTCTATTAGTAATTTTGACATTAACGCCAGTAGCCGAGCTCAAAATCAACCCAGATTTCAATTTTAACTCAGAATCCGGCGCTTCCTGAAACACAAATTTTCTTACTAACATGCCAATGGTTGCTTTCATCTCCATCATGGCGAATTTCTGCCCGACACAGTTACGATACCCAGCACTAAACGGCAGGTATGAAAATGGATGTCGTTTGACAGTTTCCTCCAATGTGAATCTCTCCGGGTCGAAAACTTCAGGATTCGGATAGATTTCTGGATTGCGATGGAGACTAAACACTCCAAATGCTATCTCCGTACCTCTTTTGAATGAGTATTTGTCGATGGAGAAGTCTTCGACTACTGTACGTCCATAAAGTGGAACAGATGGATATAAACGAAGAGTTTCTTTGATAACCATTTCTAAATATTTCATTTCTTGGAGGTCTTGATACGTTGTTTCTCTCTGAGGGTTATCTACGAAGATATCGCGTTGTTCTTCGAATACTTTTTTCTGTACATGAGGATTGTTTGCAAGGCAGTAGATAGTGAAACTTATAGCTGAAGATGTAGTATCATGACCCTGAATTTAAAAAAAACAAAAAATTGATTTTTAGGTTAAAATTTAAAAAAAAATTAAAAATTTACTTCAAACATGAATGTATCAACTTCTTCTCGTATATCTTCATCTGTCAAAGGTTCTCCATTAAATGTAGCTTGCAATAGAATATCTAAAAACGGTATTTTTGCTTTATATCCCAAGTTTTCTTCGATTTGTTTCGGTTTTTCGTTTTCATTTTGTTTAGCAAGTAATTCTTTCCTCCTTGATTGTATTACACTCATTGTATAGCCATGTAAGATCTCAATACATTTCGTTTCATCACGATAGTCTTGAGTAAACAGGTAATAAAAATCGAATTGTTTAAGCACGCTTATCCCACGACTAATAACAATTTCGGATATTCTTTTGATGGATTGCACGTAGTCCGAATCGGCGCATTGTTGAGCGTTGACACAAGTCCCCATTGCAGTTTCTAAACAAAATATTTAATAAATTAAACTTATTTATTAATATTTTTTAATTTTACCGCAGATAGTATCCAAAGCACATAAAGTAACAAAAGGAAAAACATCGGTTTTGTTTTTTCCAACTTCCCGTTGTAATTTCTGCACCAAAATGTTAGAATTTTTATCAAAAACATCAATAAACTGTTCTAGAATTTTAAAATGATACGCGGGAGTGAGGAGTTTCCTACGTCCACGCCATTTTTCATGATCACTTGTCAATAAACCAGTCTCCAGCCATCGATGTGCATACTTATATAATTGCGATTTGTTTATTACACTTGTGTGGGTTAATAAACGCTCCAATATTGCAGGATCTGCTATGTTTATTCCATAAAAATATCCGAGACATCCACGGATGGCTTTTCCTTTACCCACTGTCATTGTTAATTGATGCAGAACCCAATAAGCATCTACATTTTAAAAAATTAGAAAAAATTTTACATTTTTGTTAAAAAAAATTTTATTTTGGACTTACCAGTAGCATTTTTGGCTAAAAACACATGTCCAAATATAGGAAACATCCATCCAGGTCTAGGAATATTAAAAACACCCTTAAAATGTCGATAGTAATCAATATACCACCAAACAATGGCTAGAAACAGCCCCAAACCCAACAAAACCAAAAAAATCATTTTTTTAAATTTCACTCAAGTTGTTTACAACCAGAAATTACATCCCAGACTGATTCCAAACCTTATTTTGAACTTTATTTTGTTGCTAAACCTTGCAGTCAACTTGAGTAATAGTATCAAAATATTGATAAAGTTCTGTTGCTACTCTAACACTCACATAATTGTGTTTATTTCTGAGTGAGTTCAAGGTTCAATAACATTGTTTTTTTGTTTGTTATGTTCATGTCTCAAGTTTTATCAATTTTTAGCACTTGAACTCCATTACATTTAAATCCTGTTTTTATTCGTTGATTTAACACAATAAATCATAAAATAAAAAAAATAATTTTTGATAAAATAGAGAGTGAGTTAGTGTAGTTATTAATTGTTACTCCACGATTTATAAATAAACTTCTACTGCATGGTATACCGCAGTGTCAGAAATTCTTTGCTCATACAAGAGACACCATCAATTAGATGATTGAAGTGATTGGTGGACCTACGGAGCAGTGGCTTACGCTGAGATACAGACACTATATTTATACGCTCTGTGTTTAAAATTAAGTAAAGCTGTAACAACATAGTTAGAAGTATATTTAATCACCAGTGTTATATTGTTACTTAAACAGTCATCCATCCTAAATATTCCACAACTTTGTAAATAGTCCTTCACGCAGACGTACAATTAAATGTTATTGCATTGCAAACATTGTGTTTTGAAAGTAATGATTATGATTAGTTTGTTTGCAAATATTCAAACAACCAGCACGCTTTTACATTTTACAATTTTTATTTTTTAAATGCAATGCGGTTGAAATTTAATTTTATCGGTTTCATTCTATTCTATATGTAATATTGTAATATAAATAAAATAGTTTAAAATGTTTATGTTCCCGGCGCACATTTACATCGTTACGTTACGTAAAAAGTAGTAACTTACAATAAATCCACAAACGCGTGTAATAAACATGCTTAGTTTAAAGCTTAAAGTCGATAATGTCTTTATACTTTCTCATCTTGCGAATCAGTTGTAAAGTGTAAACCTTTGGTCATAAACAGTACATTAGCATTTTTTGTTTACTACTTGATATTATATGTTATTTTATTTTTCCTGTTTTACTTTTACTCAATTTTATTTCAACTTTTCGCTCATTTCTGCTTCATTTAGTGCATATATAAATTATGGCTTTGCTTTCATAAGTAAAACCACTTGATATTCTTAATTTGCATGTGTTTATCATGATTAATTAGTGAATTAGAGCTCGTACTTGCTCTCGTAAGAAATAATTTGCATCAACTTACGTTCAGTGATTAAAAAAAACGCATGCTACAGTTATTTACTATAAATATTACAATTTTATTCATAATATAAGTTATCCTGTATTATGTGATTTGTGGTATATGGTGTTATTCTGAGCAGCACCCGAAGTGCCGTACTGTCGAACGAAGGCAAATTGCAATTCTGAGTGCCCAACGGAGGTCTTTTGGAGGGTTCGGGTCGCCTCAATTTTTCGAGCAGCTTGAGGGTGCCGATAGCCTTCGTAACATGTTGTACGCATGCGCTGCTCTCTTGGCGCGGGTGAAACTGCCTTACCGCAGCTCTTCGTTCTCACTCACAACCGCACTCGGTCGTCTGCTGTCTCAGTCTGCCTATTCATCGAAATTGGTAAGTGGAATATTTTGCCGAGCCGTGTGCTCAGCAGATGTGAAAAAAGATGAAGATGACAAAGAATTGCACGCATCGAGTGTATCTGTATTTTTCAAATGCAAAATTCCACGTTTTCAAGCAAAAATTTCAAATTAAAAAAAAACTCGTAAAACAAATAAATTTGAGATGAATATTTTGTCAATTTTTCACAAGTATTTGCTGATAATGAGCCAAATACGTAGCATATAAAAGATTATTTATATTTTTTGATTGTGTTTCTTCAAAGGTAATTTAAAAATCAAAACAATGAACAATAACAACTTTTGATTGCGACTTTTCAAACGTCAGTATTGAACCGAAATAGAAATAATAAGTATTAACACATATTTGTTGCTTATTTGAATAATTGAAGAACCCATACATTTGAAACTCGCGCGCTTTCTGTCAAATTTTAGGGTGCAGCGGGATTGACTTTAGGTAAAGATATAGATGCGCGCTCAGAATACCACTTAAGGCCGATCCATAACTTCGCCGTACGAAGCGTCTTGGAGCTTTCGTACGTTCGTTTGTTAAGTGGTGAACACAGAATCGCACCAATAGTCTATTGAACTTTAAAACGCATTCATTATTTTCACGCACTGCACGCACATTGATTGCAATGTTGGTTGCATGCAGAATGTGATAATGTAAGTTTACAATAAATTGCGAGAAGGTGTAAGAACCACACGCAGAGAGTAAAATAAATATTTTAATTTCAATTAATCTCGTAGACAGACTTGAAAACGCACTTATTATCATTAGATATCGGATATTAGACGTGTTACGTAAGCTAAATGAGTAATTTTTAAATTTGAACTTGCATGAAATTCATACAAATGTAAATCACTGTTATGCAATAGGAATTCACATAAATTTGGATTTAATTTATGAATTTATACTCTAATTAGATTATTATTAGTATTAACAGCGTGTAGGCATGCAAAAAAATAGTTTTCGAGAAATTTTGCTGGCTGCAACTTGTTTTCAGTGAGTTCTAGTTTTCGTTTAAGCAAAATGTGAATGTGCACGAAAGCAACCGAGGCGCGCCCGACTTTTGTAAGTGCAATTGAATTCAATTGAATTGCCACGAATATTTCAAGACAATATCTCGCACGCTTGCACGTTTCGCGCGTTCACGGTCTTCGCGCAAATTACTCTACCCACGATCATATCGCAATCTAAATAAAAACTAATAAAAACTTTTTTGTTTCCAGTGAAAATCCATTACAAGCGGATATGATCAATCTAAACGATGATGAAGCCCTAGCCTCGTCACATTTTGATTTCTACAAACCCACCGTGTTCTTTTTTCATGCGTTTTTTGAGAGTTCAACAAGTGATTCCGCCACTTTAATTAAAACAGGTAATGTTTCGAAGGTTTGACACACACGTGAAAGTCACGAATCTATTGGAATGTGCATATGTGAATTGTGCATGCATGCGGATATGCAGGGTCAACCGCTTGTTGAAATTTTTCTCCTGGCTCAACAAGACATTTCTGCTTGTAAGTCAAAACAAACGATCATTCACTGTCGGCAATTATTATAAGAGCGCGTGCCCTACATTTAACTCCTAACTCCCATTGTGAATTGTGATTGCCCGAGTGACCTATCACATAATATTTAAATATAAATTGATTGTGAGTTTAGCTTACTTGCAACGCAAGGACTACAATGTCATCCTGCTGCAAGCACAGCGAATGGAAGCGGGTCCTTGGTACCTGACTGCGGCGCGTAATACTCGCGTGGTGGGCGAGTACACAGCTACATTCATCGATTATCTTGTCAGTCGCGGCATGGATTTGAATTCTGTGCATTTGATTGGGCTATCGCTTGGGGCCCAAATGGCGGGAGTATGCGGGCAGAATGTGAAAAGCGGGCGTATACAACGTATTACTGGTAATTTTATGTTTGACATGTTTAGTTTTCATGTTTTTATGATGATAAATGTAGGTTTGGATCCTGCTGGTCCATTGTTTACAAAATGGCCGAAAAGTTTGAAACTAGACGCTGGGGATGCTGAATTTGTTGATATTATTCACACGGATGCTGGGATATTTGGTTATCCACGTTCAATCGGCCATGTTGACTTCTGGCCCAATCGGGGACAATCACCCCAACCTGGATGTCGTCTCGAAGAGGTCAAAAGACGCTCCCCGGATGCTTTTCTTATTGAACCACGTGAATATTTTAATTTCTTGTGTTGAATTGCAATATCTACTTATAAAATTGTTTTGATTAGTTTTCTGTAGTCATTGGCGTTCGTACCAATTCTACGCGGAGTCAGTTATAACTCCCGACAGTTTCCTTGCGGTGAATTGCAAGAATTGGGGACGATTCCTACGCGGTGACTGCAAAGACAACCAGCAGGTTAATATGGGTATTAATGTGCCACCAGAGTAAGTTTTGTGTGTTAAAATTGCATGTTCTGGTTTAATCTTGATGATTTGTTAGTGCTCGCGGTAGCTACTTCCTGCAAACACGTGACGTATCGCCATTTTCTTTGCAATCGGAAGTTCCTCAACGTCAGCTGCAACAATACGCTATACCACATCAGCAACAGCAACTAGAACATCAAGAAAATGTAAAACAACATGAAAATCAGGTTCAAGTGTATCTTCCACCACAACAATATGAACAACAAGTTGTTGTACAAGAAGCTCCTGTCAGTTATGAACAACATGAACAATACCAACAGCCACAACATCAGCAACTAGAACAGCAACAACTACAACATCAACAACCACAAATAATTGAAAATTATGTTCACGTGCAACAAAATGATCAAAATCAACATCTTCAACAACAACAACACCAACAGCAACAACCTCTACAACATCCTATGCTAAATTTCTACTATTATCAGAACTAATCAAACTTAATTCTGATTTGTTTCTTACACCTCGCAATCACAGAATTACTTCCTATTCTCCGCAACGAGAAAATGTTCTAACCTATTTTTTATTTACAATTAACCTCAAATACTTAACTATGTACATTAAAATCCAACTATTCTAACTATTTTATAGCAAATAATTAATGCAAGTCGCTAGTCGTTGTTCTATACTCAATAAATTTTATACAACAAAATAAATTATAATTCAATTCCTCGAGCTACGGGACATTAAATTATTTCCATGTTATCTTGATTATTTATTATCACAAGTTATACATACGTATTCATGAATTATGTCTCAATTGTTCCGTTCATATTTAATTAGTCAAAAAGTTAATTAATTCAAGATTGTAAGATTGTACCGATTGTACTACGCTAGGAAACAGACCCGACAGGTTCTACCATACGTAATGTTATCACAACAGAACTCAATACGTTAAAATGAGTAAAACTAGCTCTAGTAGTAGGGAAGTAATGGAAGAAGCGATTTCCGACTAGTGAAAATCCCGTGAACCTATGTGAAATAGGTTAAAGTTAAGTCATTTGCGTTTTGTTTAGTTTTAGTTTGGTTGAATCAGTTAAAATCTAGAGTAAAATCTAATTGGCGCGTTCCCTGTGTTCAACTATTTAGGATAATTCAAACTGGTCCTCCTCGAAAGGTTTGGATACCCATCGACCAAGCGCGGCCTTTTGAAAGGCGTCAAAGAGATGCACCTTCGCTTCCTATGAAAATAAATAATCAAATTAGTTATTTAAACAGTGTCAATATTGTATTATTTACTTGGTAATTGGCGGCTTGCGCTTTAAAATCACTATAGAAGGTGCAGTCGGAACTGATAGGAAACATAGGTCGAAGATGCTTGGTCAGGTAGATAAATTTCTGCATGAGGATGCATTTGGACAATCGTGAGACTCCACCAAGACTGCCATTATCCGGTCGACCCGTCGTTGTGTTAATCACTTCCACACCATCGGCTTTCGTGTGCGACAACCAATTGACTGCGAAATTTGGCGCTTTCGTCGGCTGGCGAGTCTCACACGACGTGACAAGATTCATATGTGGGCGATTAAGTCTGTAAGGTGGGGTTAACCCTTGGAGTTTAGACTCAATACGTCCACAAAGCGCCCTGGACATAAATTTAACATAAATAACACTAGATATTAATAAAAAAACAACAATTTGTACCTGTAAAGATGTGTTTCATGGAAGAGACTTCCCAAAACAATGGACGTCAAATAAACAGGTTCGATAAAATAGGAAAGTAGCGCACCCTGAATGCCAAGGACATTCCAGCGCGAGATTTTATCAGAACAGGACATGGTTAATAAACGCTCTCCTTGTAAGACACCGTCCCATGTTTGTACAACACCGCCTTTTACAGGGACTGTACCCTCACCAGATTCAATTTTAGTTCGCAGTTGACCACGTGATGATCGATTGGGATGTCTGTCCATGCCAGCAAGACAAATATCCTCATGCGGACTGAAAATCCGCGCATCTCCACACGGGGCAGTATTAATATACAAATGAAACTCGTAGCCTTCTTTTAACTTAAAACCACCTTCAGCTTTGTACTCAAATATTGAATTGGCACCCATTCCTGTAAAATTTAGTTGGTATCTAAGATGAAACACAAAATATTATAGAAAATTATGATTTACCTTTGGTATGCAACATCAATTGCTCGTAAAAATAGCTAATCAACCCTCGACGTGCCATAATCTCAGCATGCATGTCGTTGATAACCGCCCCATGCATACTAATGTGTTCTCCGGATACACACTTGGTGCCGGTGGTAACATTGAGCACCTCAAGATCGCCTCCAGGACGCGCCATCACCATTCCAGCGAGCACCTTGCGCTTGGCATGCGCCGCGTCGTTGCTCATAACGCTAATAAATTTCTCAGTTACCGCTCTGCAACAGTGCCAAGCGCATGATTATCAACGTGATAACGACGTATGCAAAAAACGGTGATTAATCAACGCGTGCGTGTTTCCTAGCGAAACTTTGGCTTGACACAACAACACCGAAATAAGACGACACCAATTATCAAACAGAGAAGACGAAGAAGAAAACAGATCGCATCACATCCGCGGTGTGCGTCGAGCTCTACTTCAACTAATACTTACACACTTCAATCACCTGTCGAAAATTTCGAAGTGAGAGAGTAGGAGGAAGAGGTGTTGGTGTGGCGGTGTGCCCGTGCGAGGGGGCGGCGGATTCAGTTACGCCAGTACATCATTATATTTACTGCAGTCGGCAATCGCTCCCCGCACCACCATCATCATCATCATCAGCGTCATCAGCATCAGCCACCAACAGCGCGCACTGCGAACGCAGTAAATATAATTAATGTACTGCGTGTAACTGCGTTCGTACGCGGCAATGATGCACTCGCTTACAGCAAGCGAGTGCATTATTACCTAGATATTCTGTAAAAATCGGTTATTTTCACAATTGTTTCATCGCAAACTGAGTTTTAACCGATTCGCAAACTTTATATACATACAATGAATGTATAAAAAGAGTTTAGAGGGAGCTCAAGAAATACTTAGTGCTGTAAAATGTAAAGATTTGCAAGATTAACGCGTTTCCTTCAACTTTTTAACAGAACATGAATGGAAAAAGTAACCATTGATGTAAATACCTGCCAATCCGATCGGCCTGATCCTGCTGCATGCCGCCATAAGTGCGTTTCGATGAGGAACTCACCAAGCTTGTGCTGGCCAGCTTTGAAAGCGCCATTGTTGCAGCTGCATGTTTTGCCAGCTTCTTGTTTGAACCTTTTTGAACACAAAATACAACATTACAAGACAAATATAAACTTATGCAACCATTCTAACCTGTCCCAAAGAAGGTATCTCCATTTATATTCACCGTCACCATGAATCTGGCATAGATATCATCATTTTCTGTGCACACATACTGCGCATTTGGATACAGCGTATTCAAAATCATGCTCGCATTGCGCTTCTGATTCTCGGCGGTTTTGTTCGCGTCGATGATAAGCGGCGACGTTGCTTTGGCCTCAAAATTATCACTGGTGAAGTCCAGATTCTGGTTGCTGTGCATTGTGCTCGGCACAATTTTGCAACTGTTGGGGAACTGAATGAAGGACTTGAGTGCAGCCTCAGCTGCTTTGCATCTGGCAGTCTTTTTGGAGTTGCCTTCTCCATGGTATTTCTGGCCATCAACTTCAACACACACCTTGAAGATTGGGGCATGCGAAGGGCCAGTTTGTTCCAGTAATTCATACTTTAGACCAATGCGGAGTTCATTCAGGATGGCAACGGGGCTGCGTTCGCCGACATTCGACAACGGGTCAATTTTCTTACGTTTCGCTGGTGGTGTTTTGCCATTTGCTAGATTTACACACCCAAATTACAAGTATTAAATAACAGAATGTTAAAATATTGCAAAGAAACTTACTAATTTCAGCTGGCCGCTTAACCGGATGATTCTTAACCGCGTTGTCAATAGCGACTTCGTTGGCCATTGTTGCTAGGAATCAATTAAAACATTTAAATAAAACTTAGCCATAAACTACATCGGATTAGTAAAGCATTACAAGTTAGCTGTGCGCTAACGATTTTATTTCGCTGGCCTCTATATGTGCATGAGTGTGTATAGGGGCGGGCAAATAGTGCGCATGTGTAGTGCATGCCTTGTCAACGAACGCGCGTAATTCAACATGGCGGATAAACCAAAACTGAAAATCCAACGCTAGTAAAGAAAAACAAACGCAAATCAATTTCCGAGACGTCAAAATCAATTGACATAATACATGGAACATAGCTCGATCAAAATTAACAAATCATTAAGTTATCCTACCATTTCTTGTAATATAATGCCCTCGTTCATTTCAAGTAAGTAAACCTGCTGGGAAAATAACAAATATTGAGGTTATTTATGCTGTAGAATACAAGATAATTCAAAAAATCGGCGAAGGGTCATTCTCGGAGGTGTTAAAATGCGAGGACCGTGCTACCAAGCAGCTGTACGCGGCAAAGATCCTCAAAAAGTTCTTCACTGGCAGCAACGACGTGTTGTACTGCGCCGAGATCATCGCCATGCAGAAGCTTAACAAGCATCCGAACGTTCTCTACATGCACGACTACTTTTTGTAAGTAAAAAAACATAACACTATCACTACCACATTTTTATTGATATTTAAATTTCCAGTGAGAAAGGCTCTGGAAAATTAATATTTATTTTTGAACTCATGGACATGAGCATGTACGAGTTTATGAAGTCACGCAAACGGTAAAAACAACTCAAATAATTAAATTTATAACAATCTACAAGAATAATCTTTAGTAGTATACCAGAGGCACGTGTAAAGAACTACCTCTACCAGATACTCAAAGGTCTTGATTATTTGCATCGCCATGGCTTGTTTCATCGCGATATTAAACCGGAAAACATTCTTGTTAAGGTGCAAAATCCTGGTAATACTAACACAACCACACAACAGGTTTGTTTTCTGTACAATACTAAGTATTATTTTGCTAATCAGCTTATTTAGCCAATAGAATTAATAAAATTAGCTGATTTGGGATCAATACGTGGTATTTACTCAAAACCTCCATACACTGAGTACATTTCGACAAGATGGTACCGTTCCCCAGAGTGTCTCCTCACCATTGGTCACTATGGACCTAAAATGGACATCTGGGCGACTGGATGTGTCTTCTATGAAGTCCTCACGTAATTATTAACTTTAAAACTGTAAAAACTTGTAAAAAACGTTTAAATATTTTAGAATGAGGCCATTGTTTCCTGGTAATAACGAAATAGATCAACTAGCAAAGATTCACGCTGTCCTAGGCACACCCAGCACAAGACTCTTGGGAAAATTAAAATCCCGATCGAAAAACTTGCAAAACTTCACAAAGTCCATCGGTATTGGTCTAGGCACACTGATTAAAACATTCAGTGAAGACGCCCAGACCATACTAAAACTAATGCTCCAATATGATCCGGATATTCGTAGCAATGCAAGAAGATTACTCCAGCATAGATATTTTTCCGCAATCATGGATGAAGAGAAATGCAAGAAATCCATCAATAGAACCTACGCTAGTCGTGATCATGGTGATAATACATCAATTCCTGCATTTGGTCATACTTTTTCCAACAAGCCACATTTGCAAATGTCCGAAGGCGCACCCAAACCGCACTTTTTCACATCCCGAACCGCTATTGAACTCAATCAGTCACGAAACTATGCGACTTCAACCAAACCCAACATGAAGACGTACTCAGAGAAACATCTTTCCAAGACGTGGCAGACAACACAGCAACAAAAGTTGAAGGCAGCATATCACAATGCATTATTTCGAAACACCACCAGGTGAATTTTTCACATTTTTCACAAATTTAAAGTGATTGCATTAACCGCCATTTTTGTTTCGCAGTAATATAAGTAAGAAACTCTGTGAATATGAAGACAGCGGCAATAGGCAGCAAGAGACACGTTTGCTTAATAAACGTGTCCTACCGCAAGATAAATGCGAAGCCAAACGCATTAAAATGTTAAATTGACGCTTGATTACTAATAATTAAATAAGTCCTGTAATATACTTCACGCAGAAAAATGAGTAAGTGTTAAATTCTACATGGGTGTATGTCTGGTTGCCTATGTTAAAGAATTTATTTTATTGCGCAGTTATTTTATTCATGAATGATAATACATAACAGATAACATTGTATTGTGTTTCCAACTGTCGTCAAACCGCAATGTAATTTAAGTGTTATTATATAAACAAGCGCAAATTGTAGTAACAAATGATTGGTAAATTAAGATTTTCCACTTCACGTGATGAAAATTTAAAAATTATTCTCGAGTCACTCACAACTTGAAATGAATCACAAATTATTATCTAATCTTGTTGTATATACTATCTGATCGTATAACCTAAAAGTACATATTTGTGTAGTGTTCGCATAGCCTTTGTGTTGGAACTTTAGTGAAGTATGTAAATTACATGTACGCGATATGGCGATACGCACCGTATTTATAATGAAAAGTGTTACCTGTGCCATTTTATTTGATTACAACGTCGTAAAACCCAACAAAGCATCGTAAAGAACGTAAGAATTGCATACAACTGGCACGTGCGTGTTTTGGAGGGAACTTTTTATCGTTTTATAACCAAAAAACATAACAATCGTTAAAAACAAATTTAAAAACCATGGCATCCAGCCAAGGGGCACCCGTTGGAAGTCATGGGAATAACGACCAAATCGTACAACTGCTCACAGACAGATTCGCGGGACAACTGGACGTCGAAATCATCGAGTCAGTCCTAGATGAATGCAATTATGACTGTAAGTGTTGAATAATACCAAGATTATCTAAACCACATTGAAATAAATATTTTTTATAGTTGAAGTATCAAGTAGGAACTTGGCAGATATGTTGGGGATCACATCCGAGGCAAATCCACCACAAAATTCTACACAAAATACCCAAACAACTACAGAATCTGACCTTTATTTGCCTTTGGAAGAATTCGCCAAGAAAGGATACAAAACACTAATCATCTTGAGAGGATTACCTGGCAGCGGCAAATCATACCTTGCCAAAGAACTGCTGCATGAGATAATTGGACCATGCAATCCAAGGGATTTCATCTTCAGTGCTGATGATTACTTTATGCAAAATGGAGTATACAAATATAATTCATTTCAAGTGAAAGATGCACATGACTGGACTCAGAAAAGAGTCTACACTGCCATAGGGAGAGGAATAAGTCCCATTTTTATTGATAACACAAACACACAAAGCTGGGAAATGAAACCCTATGTGATCTGGGCTGTGCAAAACGGATATAAAATTTATATCCGCGAACCCAACACAAGTTGGAAGTTTAAGCTTGGAGAATTAGCCAGGAGGAATAAACACAAAGTGCCTAAAGACAAAATTATGGATATGTTGGATAGATTTAATCAATTTATCACTGTTGAGGGATTAATGCAAGAGTTTGGCTTGTTTTATGGACAATTACAACCTCCTATAATTAGAAATTTACCTCCAGTGAGAAGGGAAACAGTTGAAACAAGCGCCAGGGCAAATTGTTTGAGTTCTGCACTTGGTAGAATGGCAGTTGTTAAGAAAGATGCAACCACTACAACTGCAACAAGTACAAATAATACTAATTCAGACAGGGAGATAACTTCAACTGGGAATTTTATTAACAATGGACAATTACCGCCTGTGTATCCACGTGAGGGTTGTTTTGATAAAGGAAGCTCAACTGATGATGAAAATGACGTAATGCAAGAGTTAAGTGCTCATGAAATCAAAGAGCAAGCTATTGATATCCTACAAGGAATGTTTGAATCAATTCCACGTGATGCTTTGGAAGAAGTTTTGTTTAAATGTAAAGGAGATGTTGAATGGTGTATCAACATATTGCTAGAAGATCCCAAAGAGTTGCTGGAGAATTATCAACCTCCGAAAAAGGCAGCCAAAATTGTAATTACACCAATAGAAGCAGAAAAACCTGAGATTGAAGAATTGCAAGATGAAGCGGCTGGAATCACCAAGAAATTAATGTTTGAAGAGGCTAAAAATACAATCGAGAGTGGTATCACAATCAATCCGGAACATTACGGACCAAATGTTTCAAAACTTAAAGGATTGACATTAACAACACCTGTAACACCTAATCCTGGACCTGGACCCAGTCGTCAAATTGAAGATGATTTTGTTATGTTAGATTCCGATTATTATGATGATCAAAGCACAATTTCCGAGGATTCTGAAGCTCATAGCTCCGAAGGTCAACAGGATGATGATATGGTTGAATTGAACCTCGGGCCGGTTTTAGTTGATCAGTTGAATCAGTTATTCGGTGATCCGGAGTTTCCTCTGCCAGGGTTTTACTCTCCGGTTATTGAGATCTCACGTAAACAAGCAAAGCAATTGCATGCGCTTTACTATGAAAGTGTCTTGAAACAAATGGAGGTTCAGCAGGTGATGTTGCTGCAAATGCAGCAGGAAGATGAAGAGATGCAGATGAAACTGCAAATGGAAGAGATTCGTAAGATGGAAGAACACAATCCGCCGAGTTTGAAGCAGATTATGAAGGATCAAGCTGAGGAACAGCGTAATCAGAAAGTAGCGGAGAGTCAATGGCGGAATCTGACACCAATTGATATGGCGTATAAGTTAACAATGCAGAAACTCGCTGCGAGTTTCCCAAAAGTGTCTGCGGATTTCTTAGAGGAGATTTACCGAGGTTGTGAGGGTAATTACGAGGAAACAGTGAGTGCGTTGCAAGATTCCGGTGCGGAATATGTTGAAAATCTTAAGAAAACTCTCTCGGCTGGTACTTTACAAGAAATGCAAGTTGCACATGATGCTTCCAAGGATGCCCAAGCAAGAGATCAGGAAGGTTTTGATGATAGGGAGTTGACAAGTGTGCAGTTACGCCAAGAGGCAGCAAATCATCAAAAGCAACGGGTTGATTTACTCAACAAAGCGAAATCTTATTATAATAAAGGCATGTCTGAAGTTGCTACATTTTATTCGGACTTAGCAAGTCAACAGACAAGGATGTGGGAGAAGTATAACAGTATGGCGGCTGTACAAATAGTCAATGAAGGGTTTCATCGCAGTGATAAAGCCGATACGATTGATTTACACTTTTTGCGTGTAACAGAAGCACTGATTGCGCTTGACATTTATATCGATGAAGTTATCGATCGGTTGCAATCATCTAAGAAGAACCATAAGGATATTTTTGTTATCACTGGCAGGGGCAAAAACAGCCCTAGAGGTATACCGAGAATTCGTCCCGGTGTTGAGCAGAGACTTAAGAAAAGGAACTTGAAGTACACTCGCGTGAACGACGGACTTTTAAAGGTAAAAGTCAACAAAAACGCGCTTGTGACTGCACAATTAATGGTGCAGTCGTAGAGAGAGCCATATGAATCAAACTATACACTTTTTTGTGATATTTAATCACATTTTATCCATATATAGATGTTTTACAAAGCACAAAGTATATTAAGAGAGATTTGATTGATGTTTGTTAGACTATGGTATTATATTTTATATCAAATGACTGTAGCGTTTAAAGATATACGTTAAGATATGTTTTATATGCGATTTATTTACTTATATTCATATATTTTTTATAATAAAAGTTACTTACTTGAATTATGTGGTTTTGTAAGTGGCGTGATTGTGAGTTTTCTCGAATATGGCTTTTGTTTTATTTGAAAAACTTCAGGGAGTTACTAGAATGTCACTAGACACCAAAAACTAACGAATTCTCATTCAGGACCGACTTATTTGGTAATTAAACTAATAAATATTTAATTAAAGTATTGTATATAAATCAATTTTAATTATTGTATTACTAATTTTATAGAATATCATATTTTTATATTGCTCGTAAAGTTTAAAATAAAATACACTAGAATTTTGTCAGTCACATTTTAGACAATATATTGTTTTTAAATTATAATTATTGTCTTGTTTTACATTCTAGTAATATAATATATCATCAATGCAGTTGTAAACCTAGTTAAAACTTAAAATGTTAAAATAAATTAATGAATTAACTTGTTTGGAAGTAAGTCAACCCTGCACGCAGTGCTACCAACCTAAGAAACAAAAATTTCTCCATGCGGGTTGTATTGTTCAAGGTTAAAACATGCTCCCAGCTGATGGGCTGATGCTTCGAGCCCTTCGAACGCTTCGAACAAACATTACGTACGCGAGTTTTCCGCCGATTTCTGCCCCGATCACGCGCCTCTGAATTTCCCATACCTCTCACACCACCGCGATCCCAATCGCGGTACGATTCGCACAATTTCCTTCCGGCGCTCGGCTCTAAATTGCTCTATCTGATGTTGGGAGGGGTGAGAATCGCATTATCCATCGCGGGGTAAATTAGTCAGGTAACTAATCGCAAACCAAAACGTCCCCGAGCATCACCCAACCACTTTTACACAAATCACCTATCATTTCCACGGCAATTCAACCGTCAAATAAAACAAACACGTCCGGCTTGACTACCCTTTCAATTTATCCTTTCAATTTCTCCCAAACTAACCCATCAATCTCGTGCTATTATTCAGCGAAAATTGAATGAAAATATTGCTTTCAGAGTGTGCATAGTTTTGGCTTAAAGTGAAATGCCTCGCAGTAAACGCCGGGCTGCAACAGAAATGAATTCGTCCGAAGAAGACAGATACTCCTCCAAGAGAATACGTAATTTCAACTGGTAAGTCACAAATCCACTAACAAATGCATTTTCAAAACCACTTATTACATGCATCTAACCTCACAATAATAGTGTGTACACTGTTTTTGTAGCATGCAGCCAAAAATCTATTAATAGCTGCTTATTATTAGATATTAAAGTAAAAAAAAAAAATCAAAATGGAGTTAGTGTCTTGAATCTTTTCTCGTGTGGCATGTGTAATTGAGTGTTGATTGTGTGCTTGCAGCTCGCGACAGTTCAGCCGCAAGCTGTGCCTGATATGGTTCCGTGAGTACACCACCCCCGATGACCCCGAGACCCTCGGCCCTGAGGGCATGGAGAAGTTCTGCGAGGATATCGGCGTGGAGCCGGAGAACGTCGTGATGCTCGTGCTCGCCTATCGTATGCAGGCGCGGCAGATGGGCTTCTTCACGCAGGAGGAGTGGGTGCGCGGCCTCACCGAGCTCCAGTGCGACTCGATCGCCAAGGTGCAGGCCCGTCTCGACCACCTTAAACTCCTACTCAATGATCCTACACATTTTAAGCATATTTATCGATATGCCTATGATTTTGCTCGAGTGAGTTGCAGAAATTTTGCGTGTTTTTCGGAGGTTTTTGATTGTTTTATTTGTAAATAGGATAAAGATCAACGCAGCATGGACATGGAAACAGCGAAAGCAATGCTCGGCTTGCTATTGGGCAAACATTGGCCGTTATATTCGCACTTTAGCCACTTTCTAGATCAGTCGAAATACAAGGTGATCAATAAGGATCAGTGGTGTAATATATTAGAATTTTCTAGAACTATTAACATGGATTTATCAAATTATGACGTCGATGGGGCATGTAAGTAGTAATTGCTTCACTTACATTCACATTTTTTCGTTAATTACCATTAATTTTCATCCAAAACTTATTTTTTTTATCCAGGGCCAGTAATGCTCGATGAATTCGTCGAGTGGCTGAAGCAAACCAGAGCAAAGCAGAGTGAGGACATCAGTTGAGTGTCGAGTGCGTGCGACCGAATCATACTAAGTGCGGACTGATAACAAACAAAACAAATGAAACAAAAAAAAAACAGCAAATATGTAAAAAACGAAAAACTAGAAAAACCTCTTTTTAAAAAAATCATTTCTCAACGGCTGTTGGAGTTTATACATAGCGCAACAGGCGGCAGGAATATTTCCTGCCTGTAGGCTTCAGCGAGGACGCTTCAGTACCTCGCTACAAACTTGTCTCCCCTCTCACAACAACAACAACACCAATACATTTTTTTTCGCGAGCAGAAATTGATCTGCGCAAAATTGATGAATAATGTTAATTACCATTTACTTATATCATACAAACCAACCAACAACCATTCTTGCTGTAATATTAACTGAATTTAATGAATTACGATTACTTTAGTCTTTAATTCGTACGACAAATACAAAATAATGATGTAAAAAATTAAATTAAAATTAAACTTGGCCTCAGCCAGGTTTACTTGCAATACCTATCGGCTTTCATCTTACTGCGGCGGTCTAGAAGGGTTTCGTGGAAATAGCCGCCATCTTTTGCTGATTTCAACGCTGATTTATCTTCGGTATTGAGGCGCAGCTTTTTATCTTGGAATTTTTGAAACTTTTTACTGAAATATGAAATTTATGTTTATAGAAATGTTTAGTAGGGGTTTATAGGCGGTATACATACACATAATTAATTTCTACTTGTTCTAGAGATCCGTTTTCTTCAACTGGTACTTCTTTTGAAGTTGTATCTTGTTTGACAGTTTGACATCTGATTGCAACCATGTTTTGTGGCCCTGCTGATTTGTTTTTCGCTACAATTGAGTCGTCCTCATCGTCAACGGATAAAAAGCAATCAGTTGCTGATTGTAGTGCCATTTTACCCTCTTGGAACACTGGTTCCCACTGTTCCATTGCACCAATTGCATCTGACCTTCCAGTGACATTGCCATCTTTCTCCACTCTCAAATATTTTCCATAACCGGACTTAAAAGCGATTTTTCTTTCGTTAATCACGACTGCTGTGAGTATTTCTTCAGGGTATGGACCTTCATAATCAGCATGTGGTGCTCCAATGGTGAATAAACCATTGTCTAATGCTTTAACATAAGTATGTTTGCCAAATTCAATAGCAACAGGCCCAGTGATGTCTTCGATTTTTGCTACTTTCCACCAATTTGCATGCTCGATACTGTCCTTGTCGATTTTTTCGGTAGGTTTCTCTTGTTTTTTACTCTTATGCTTGCGTTTTTTACCCCTGTAAATGTTTAAAACAATTAAAATAACCTTAAAATTTAATTTATTGATAAATACACAGAAATTAAAGGAAAACATCTGAAAACGTACTTCTTTTTATCACCTTTAAGAACCAGTTTGCTTATTTTCACTTGGTCATATTCAGACATTGTTAAAATTATAAATTAACTTATTTGTTAATAAATACGCAGAAGAACTTAGCTTGACAAGTGTGTCAAACACCAAACGAAAACTGTCAAAATATAATCTCAAATAATTTTTAAACCCTAATTCCTAAGTATTTAAACTAATAAAAATATGCAATAAAATAATAAAAATTCCTTTTACCAACTAATTAATTAGTGCATATAAATTTCCTTTTAATAAATTTTTAAAGTTTTATTAAAATCAAATAATGTCATTCATCTGTCATCTGTCACACTGTCAAAAAAAATCTACTCCTGCGATTGCTGCAATTCCTGCAGCAGTGTACGAAAAGGTAAATGGTTGACAGTTTCATGAATTTCGCGTCAGTGTAATGAATGTGTAATTCCTCGAAGATACGATTTGTTGTTGGACGCACCAGTGAAATACTATGAGCACGCCGGAGAATCGAATAGAAGACATGCTCGTTCGGGTGCAGTGCAGGCTGCCGCCGGGGCGGCCCAACCGCCCGCCGCCGTCGTCACTATGTAAGCAGCACCAAAACCAGCCTGGGCAGCCCCTTTTTATTAACCCCTGTATAATTATCCTCCAGCGTTCAGTAATATTCCCCACAGAATCACAATAATTACTTAATATATCTACATGCCTTGTTTTTTGCGCCATAACTTTCCATTTATTCATACTTTTACACATTTTATTTGCATTTAAAGTGCTTTGTGTGTTTCATGAGGTAAATAATGATTATTTGCAGTTGATAACACAAATAACGTGCCAATGCGGCGGCCGCAAAACCTTCAGTTCCGGATGAACGACCGTCATGATCAGCATGATGAAAAGCTCAAAGAAATCATGAAGAATAGTGGGAAATTGAAGATAAGAAATATTAGGTATGACACAAGCCTGCAGGACATGGAGCACATTGAGGAGCTGGGCAATGGGACCTGTGGGCATGTGGTTAAGATGAGACATCAGCCTAGCCAAGAAATTATAGCTGTTAAAGTAAGTTTCTATAAAAATTTCACAAAAAAACTTCAGTTTTACATCAAAACCTTCAATTTTCTTTCATTTACTCTTAACAAACACACAATCAAGTAGTTTTTTTTTTTATTAATTTTGTTTCCGGTTTGTAGCAAATGCGTAGAACAGGTAACATGGAAGAAAACAAGCGAATTGTGATGGACATCGAAGTTGTGATAAAGTCACATGGCTGTCCCTACATAGTGCAATGCCTTGGCTGTTTCATCACAGAGGTAGAGGTGTGGATATGCATGGAACTAATGGCAACCTGCTTCGACAAGCTGCTGAAACGTCTGAAGAAACCTATTCCCGAACCGGTGCTAGGAAAAGTCACAGTTGCTGTAAGTACACTCACAATAATCAATCACATTGATAATAATTATTTTATGTGCAGACAATCAAAGCATTGAGTTATCTAAAAGACAAGCACGGGATTATTCATCGCGACGTGAAGCCGTCCAATATCCTGCTGGACGAGCGAGGCAACGTGAAACTTTGTGATTTCGGCATTAGTGGCCGACTTGTCGATTCAATGGCTGCTACGAAGAGTGCTGGATGTACTGCCTACTTAGCTGTAAGCATTTTATATTAAAAACATTAAATTTTTACTAATTTCTGGTCTAAAAACATGTTTATATGAATTTTTAGCCTGAACGTATAGAGGTAGACCCACGCAACCCTGACTACGACATCCGTGCCGACGTATGGTCACTAGGCATCACACTAGTAGAGCTAGCAACTGGCACTTTTCCGTACAAGGACTGCAAGACTGACTTTGAGGTGCTGGCGAAGGTGATTGGCACCGATGCACCCACACTACCCGAAGACGAAAACTTCTCATCGGAGTTCCGCGGTTTTGTCGCCGCGTGCCTCATCAAAGACAAGAACAATCGGCCCAAGTACGTCAAACTAAAAGAGGAGCCATTCTACAAGAATTACGAGTCGCTCAACGTGAACGTCGGCGAATGGTTCGCGAATGCGATGCGCGCCGTCGAAGAGGAGAGCAAAAGGTGCGCGCCGTTGCCTCGCAGACACAACGTTTGATTTCTACTACCCGCACGCCGCAACTAGCGTTTTATATATGCCGTTGATGATTGCGATTATTTTATTCTGTTTGTTTTGTTTGCAGTGACGTGCATGTGTAGACAATATCCACCATCACATCCCCTTCGTAACCAATTTTTTTTATACATCTTATATTTTCTACTCTTTGTATTCGTTGTCCTCGTACTGTGATCGTACCCACTACCAATATTAATCACAACCCTTAACAAACACAAGTACGTAACGTTTGCATTTTGCGAGATGAGTTAAACAATAGTTTTGTAGACATGTAAAAATTGTCAACGTGAAAAACTTGCAGGCAAAAGTTAGCGAATCAACCTGCGACGACGAGCGCAACTTTAACTTCACCCACACCGCCAGCAACTGTAACGACAACCACACCTGCGATATCACCACCAATGCAACACCAACTCAAACACATCCGACAACATTCAGAGCCGCCGCGACCGTCGTTTCTCTCCACATCACCAACGAGCACGAACGGTGCTGATAAATCCGTGATTGTTACACATCCGCTGAATATGACGACACATCAATCACGCATTGCGTTATTTCAACGTGCTGTTGGCGGTGATAGACCCGTGCGAGCGTATAGTCCGCTTGTACAGCGCAGGGCGGAGATGTTTGAGCATCAAGCGCGTGAAAGATGGAATAGTCCGGTTGGTTCACCACTACCGCTCAGAAATCATATAGATCCGGATCATCAACCGACGTACACGAGTGGAAACACCAGTCCGATTGTGCTGCAAAGGTTCTATCATCAACAGAAACAACATCAAGAGAAAAAGGAGGCTGAGGAGATGATTAAAAATGAACAATGTATGTTTTTTCATGTTTGTTATGCTTTGTGTGTTGGGATATTAACGCTTTGTGTTGTTTTTGCATGTTTCTATTATAGCGGTGAAAATTTTAGGTTTGGGCAAGAAGAAGCTCACTTCTTACATCAAACTGCAGTTGAATGGCGATAGATCAGGCAGGGCGTCGAGACATCAGAGTCCGGAACCGCCACCTCGGTTAAATCGAGGTTTGGCGGATAGTCCGCTTGCTGTGCGGAGGAATTTTTTTGAAAACAACGCTACTACATCACCAGCCATGTCCAGAAGGTAAAATTTTTAAAATTTTAATTTATTTTGATTTAGAATATGTTAAAATTAATATTTTGATAGGTATATATCACCAACGCCACCTATGCCTCCACCACGCCGAATCTCTGAAAGTACATCGGTGCCTGGATCACCACAACACGTGCGCGCACGTTTCCATTACACGCCCGAACCCCAGCGACGTTTCTATCGCAACAACGACGTGGTATAGCCACCGGCGTCAGCGGCACCACTGCCGCATGATTAGAACACTTGTGTACATACGGATGATGAAACTAAATCAATGCTCGCCTGCGTGCGCCAACCAAAAATAACTTACATTTAATTCGCCCCTATCTGCAGTATAGTAGACTAGAGTAATCCACGCGATCGACGAGACGAGGAGGTGTTGTTATGTTGTTGGTTCGTTTTGCTCGCGGAATCATTTCTTGTTTTTTCTTTAAGACTGCAGAGCAAGTTTGTGTTCTGTTGAGAAAGATATAAAAGTACTAGTCTTACATGTACAGTATTCATAATTAAACCAACATGCGGAAATGCAACGGAGTTTGTGGATGATTACTTGATTCATTTTTAACTTTACTTGAATTGAATTTATGCGTCATTAAGTCATAATCATTTCTTCTGTTTTTTTTTTTTTGTTCAGCGTATATTTGTAGTGTTTTTGTTTGTGATGATACGACAACTGAAAACCGCCCGTGTGTGAAAGTTGTAACGTTATTTTGATTCTCCAACTAGAAGGAACGCCTCTACTTGTAAATAATTTATTATACATTATAGATTTTACTATTAGATGCCATACGAAATAATAAAATAGTCAACATTTTCAACAAATGAACTAGTTTCATGTGGAACAAGCGGTCAGGGTATTTAATATGTACATTTGTCAGTAATGTGTTTTTTAATGTTATTTTTTTAAGATCATGAAATGAAGAAATCTACGACACTGGATACTCTCACGCGAACCAAATTGAAGTGATGACCTAAAGAAAGGGGAAGCTAAATACCTGTGACTTTACTTCTGGATGATTCAGCATTTTATCTTCCGTTTAGAAATCAAATTGGAAATTTTGGTATTTTTGAACCATTTTTGACAATGAGAGTATAGTTACATAATTCGAACCTAGATGGCGCTAGCGTTCACATTTGGCATTAAATTTGTCTAAGCAAAAGCAAACATAGTTCCTCTGCCTCAGTATCAGTTGCGTGTTGTGATAGTGAATGCACAATAGATTGCCTCGTGTTCAACAGACTTCTTATTCGTTGCATGAACGTTTTTCATGTACAATGTAAGTACATACTACATTACACATCTATTTTTACATCTTTTACATCTTTTCGACCAAATTTGATGTTTTCCAAGTATGTAATCTGCATTATCGACCTTCAACACAATTTCAAAGTCACACATCAAAATATATACGTTTATTTCACATCGTTACATTGTTCTTCAACAATCCGAAATAATACTGAATAATATTAAGTACATTTTACAAGATACTTTGATACATTGCATACAAAGATTGTCCCTACGTATGTATAATAATCTCTAATTTTATGATGATATATTTCTGCGCCTGTACATTTACATATTTCAACATATCACAACACATACATTAACTCAATCATATTATTTGTGAATATTGAAACATTTCAATCACAACGTCAGTTTCTTCATCAGCGTTCGCTCCCTGATTGGTCGATCGTGGCAGGATTAAAACTTTTTCCTTCCTGCCATGGTCCACGTCCGCTGTTTGCCGGAAAGCAGTACTAAACGTGTACACATACAACGCTAGTATGCTAAACACCAACAGACTCAACGAAACGATCAGAAACAATGAGAGAATAGTCATTTCAATGTTTAAATTTTGCATTTTCAACTTGATTTTTAAGTTGTATTTAACTCAGCATATCCTGAAAATGGTTGAGTGATATTAGTTTTATTTGATGGTATATACTTTGAGTGTATTTTTACTCACGATTTTCATCTCGGTCGGTTGGCTGGAAAAGTGCGTAATGGTGGTGAGCGGAATTGACTCGCGCGGAAACTGAAGCCGGTCACTTTTCCTCTTCGTCGGGCAGCAGATCTGATGGAATACGAAACCGTAGAAAATCAATAACAGCGTAATGACAAAGACGAGGATGCCACCGATGACGATGATCACGATGAGGTGCACGCGGTCCATGATTAACTCGTGTTCATGTTCTGCAAAACAACGAACACATGTTCATTCAGGCTAGCTTTGAATACATTCATTATGCACGTTATTTAATCGAGTATTCGGTGGAATCATTTTTGAAAAAGCCCATTAATCGCAGTACAAACAATGCTAATGAAGTTGAATTTAGAAATAAACTTTTTTTTTGGTGCATTTAAAGGTTAAAAAGTAACTTAACCTAGAAAACTCATATTTGAGGTTAGGCAGAGTAATATTTAGATACCTAGTTATAATGTAGGCAACTTGTTATACGCGGTGAACGCACTTTTAACCATAAAATTCTTCTAGTGTGCGTCACGTACATTGAAATGTCATTTTTTTGGTTTTTTATTGTGCTAATTTTAATGTAGGCCACTTGTAATACCTTGCGGATGTTTCTAACCTCAAAATGTTTCCTAGAAAACATTTTTCTCTTTGAAAGAAGTTCTATAAAACATTTGTATAAATTTATAAAGTAACTTAATACTCTTACAATTCAGGTTTCTTCTTAACGTTCATAAAGCATAAATTTATTATTATTTATTTCTTTCTTTATGTCTCTCTTCGACTTTCTTACAATTTTGCACTAATTTGCATTGTTACTTATTTTACCATCGTTTGTACAGTCGGCGTTGCTCTATATTTTATAATATTTCATAATAATCCCTACTAATATTATAAATGCGAATGTCCTGATGTTTGTTACACTTTCACGCAAAAACTACTTAACCGATCATCATGAAAATTTGTACACATATTCTTAGTGGTCCCCGAATGGTTATAGGCTACTTTTTATTTAATAAAAAAAATATTTTTAAATAAAATAAAGAAATAGTTTAGCCAATAATACCTCTGCATCTGGCTATTTGACTACTTTAACGCCATCTAGCATTCCAGCAATGAAGCTCAAACCTTAGTACTATAGTACCATCACACTGTATTATCACACTGTATTACCGACAGCTACGTCAACATCAAATCCAATTGACTACACTATGGAGACTGTACACTATATTTCCATAGACTATACTTTCAGCCATTTTAAACTTCCCGCCATTCTACTTCATTGTTACTTCTTCTGTGACTACAGACGCGTACGGAAGCAACTTCATTATTTTAGATATTCGCGGGCGAAGCCGCGGGTTGAAGCTAGTAATTTCATAATTTGGAATCGTTTTTCAACGTTATAGAAACCACTCAGCTAAATGTGAAGCATTTGCAAAACAAAGCGGTGCGTCGTCGAGGCTCAAAAACAGCACCTGCATTTGATAAAGTGCGCGTATTCTCAGTGAATATTGTCAGTTCCATTATATTTACTTAAAGATCTTTTAGCATATACATTAAAACAACTAAATTTCATAAATAACCGTTACTCGTGTTAATAGCTATGGGTAATATATTATAGGCAACCAAATATACACAAAACAACAAATTCATATTTTACTACATAAATTAAAATACTATTCATCCTCTTTTTTACTTTTTTCTATGTTTACATGCTCTGTTCTTACCTTATTCACAAACCCAAAGCATTAAATAAGCTATAAGGGTTGTCTACATCTATTCTCTAGTCATCCATTTGTTAGCAATTTAAATAAACGTCAGTGAAGTAGCAAATTGAGCGCACGTAACGAATGCGATACGATTCCGAATATACAGGCGAATCCTGGCGCAACGAACTTTGCACAACGAGATGAGAGTGCGACGCACGTAAATTGAACGGTGAACTAATCCTAGGACAACGCAACGACGTCTGCGTCTCGCCCGACAAACACGAATGAAAGCGATTCCGCGCGCAGTGCGCAACACACAAAGCAAAACGCTTCACAAGCTTACAGAGCGTTTACACACGCGTCGAATGAGCGGACTTTGAGTACTTTGAGGAGGACTTGCTGTGGACGGACATTGAGATCTTTCAATTCCACTTTAAACGATTCTATCCGCAATACTTGTTTAAGAAAACTTCGATTTAGATTACAAACTTTAGTAAACACTCAAATATTTACGAAATACGAAGAATTTTGTGATTTTAAGGTTTAGTTTTACTTTGTGTATAACTGGTTGCATATTATTATTCTATAATATAAAAATGAATCTCAATTTGTTTGTAAGCGCATAACTCAACAACGCCTTGACCAATTTGGCCAATTCTTTTTTTTAAATGTTTGTTAAAGCCCAAGGAAGGTTTTTACGGCGAGAAAATTTTGAATAATTGCCGGGAAAACCCTAAAAACAGCACTTTTCTATAGGATAAAAGTTGGCATTGAGATTCAATCATAGTTATAGTTAAATAGTTAAATCCGAGATGGCGCGCTGAAGTGCATTATTAGCAATTCTTTATATAATTAATTTCTTTAAAATAAAATTGCGAATCTTATTAATAGAATTGACACATACTCATGTCTAGAACAAGAGAGTAAAAACGAATTACATTTTTCTAAACACTACCGGGACGAAGTCGCGGGCAAAACTAGTTTACTATACAATTAATTTCGTGATTGAACTGTTTAGTTTTATGCGTGTATATTTGGTTGCATACCTAAAGTGAAAAAACTTTTATATTCTAAAGTTTTATGTTTTAATCGTAGTTTTTCTTGTTTAGAGACACTAAATTATCAATACAAACATTTATGCAAATTTATAGCTAGAGTAGATCGTTAAACAGATGCAAGTTTCCATTTCAATCCATTGTATTTTTTCCACTTGTGAAAATCCACTATAAATTGAATCTCGACGTGGCGCGCGAAAAAAACTTCAGAGCTTTGCATGAGTTAGGGAAATTGGCGGTGCGACTAGAGTGAAGGCGCCGGGCGCTCAGGAGCTGAATACGGATCGTTAGACGACGCGCATAAATTAATAAATTAATTGAAATTTATTTCTTCCCGAGACGCGCTTGCTGGCTTTCTCTCTCTCTCCAGAGTGTTTGCAGTTCTTTCTGGCGTTGAATTTGCTCTTTGAATTAGAATAAATTGTTATTTCATAAAATAATCAAATGGAAATTAACGCGTGCAATTGTTTCTCATTATAAACTTTATGAATATGTATTTAAAGTTAGAGGTTTAAGTGGTATAAATGTTATTACAATTTAGAGTGATATAATTCAGTTATTTTAAAGTTTAAAGAAGTAATTTGGCTGTTTTTGTAAAAATTTAAATGCAAATTTTATAAAAATCGTTATAACTCATAAAATAATAGAGATATAGAGTTTATTTTTTCTTTGGATGATAGATATTAGTTAGGAGCATAAAATCTGATATTTAAACATTTAAAATTTTTCATAAATTACGAGAAATATGCAAAAAATTATGAAAAAAAAAGCAAACATTTTGTTTTTCAATATTTATACTTAATTTATTCCACATATACAAAACCTACGTATGGTTTAATATTATTAATAGATTCTGTAGTTTCTAAGCTTTCAAATGACACCTCATTTGATATTCTGCGACTTTTTAATCCCGAGTTACAGTCCTGCAAACGCAGACAACTTTAGTTTTTACGACTGACGAGCAACGCGCAGCGATAAAACATTAATTTAAAATTATGATGATGATCTTTTTTCTACTCTATACCACAAAGAATAAACAAGAATTGTATACAATGTACGATGTACTGTGAAATGAAAAATGCGAAGTGAAACCAAAGTGAAAGTTTGCTATTGTAAGATTGTACGATGCAATCAGCAAGTTTGCAAGTTTCGCAAGCTCTTGGCTGTTGAATGTGAGGTTATGGCCATTACGTTTGGTCATTTGACAATGAATGCATGTGCGATTGAACAGGAACGAGCGTGTGTGTATACCGAATCAATGCGAACGCCAAAATGTGAAAAGGGCAGACCAGATGAGGTAATAAATCGTCGAGACGCAGACGTAAGGCATTTTTTTTTCACACAAAAGAAGAAAAAAGTTACATTGAAATAAATACGTATTAAAATCATACTTAAAGTTAAAATATAAATAAATTAATTTTTACATATTTTAAATTTAATTTTAGGCAACTTTTTATGCACAGACAAATAAATAACCATTACCAGTATGTGTAGGCAATATTTAAACACCACTTTCAGCGCAAATTGAATAGTCAAGTATCACAGCGTGTCAGATATCAATGAATAACAATTTGATGACTGATAGAAAACCTGAATATTGTATGACATATTGCAGAGTATGCAGAATCAATTTTTGCACGCCTAATCAAAACAATCTGATTACTTTTATCTATTTTATTATGCAAACAACAAAAATATTTATATTTTTATATTTATATTAACCAAAATAATTATTAGCGTTTTTTTTCCGATCAGAAAAACGTAAAATTACAATTTTTAGCTTTTTTTCAAATTAGGTATGCAACCAAATATACACACAATGAAAATTTCTTAAAATCCACGCGTAAAAACAAATATTTCGAATTAAATTAATAAATATTTGTTTATTTATTTACTGATGAAGCATATATTGACTTTCTTAATTGGGTGTTGCAATTAGTGGTGCGCGTGGTCTTGTTTGACTACCGTTTCGTCGCTCTTTTGTGCCCGACGAATGCCGAACGACGCCGGCGGCGTAATTGAAGTGTCGCTAGCTTTGACTCGCAATCGCAACTAATTTAAGTTTTCCCACGAGGCGCGAGCCGTGCGTCTGCGAGCGACGAACACGAGACTTTAACCCTTATCAATGCTCTTAGCCAACCCTCAGTGCAAACTTTCATTTGCATAAATTTCACACTTACTTCATTTACGCTTATAACGCGCATGCGCAAAAAAAATGCACACACACATCTAACGATGACATTCTACCTCGAATAGTTTTTTGTTGTTTGTGTTTCGTTTGTAGCCGATTGCTCTCTAGGCTGTGGGCTGTGAGTGAGTCTCGAGTTCAACACGTTATTAACAACGCATGCTTCAATGTCCTTGAATCCTTCAACTTGTCTCTATCGTCTATTAGCCGGGCTTCTTTCTCTTTTCAACGCATGTCTGTGATTGAATATAGGGGGAGAACTACGCCAATATATATATTTTTTTTACTTTTGCGGCGTGATACACGCAGTATTTACTCTGCAAATAAAAATAGATATAAAATAAAAGTAAAACGAAACAAAACGCTCACCACTTTAATGGATTTTTTGCGCCGCCATTTAATCTTGGGATGGCGATGGTAAAAGCATTTAGTTAAAGGTTTTTCGTGTTTGGACGAAGCTTCTTTTAGTTCTTTGTGCTTTTTTAAGAGTATTTTGTAAAGAAACACATTTTTTATTTTGTCTTGTCATCGTAGTCATCGTGTAGCGCCATCTAGTGACAAATAAAAGAAAAAGGAATTGACATTAGTGTAGTGCATGTTAAACACAACATAACCAACAAAAAAGAGTTTGATTGAGTTTGCACATACTTCCGTACGCTCCAATGCGCCCTTTGTTGCTTTGTGAGCAGTAAGTTTATTAATATCCACCGAGTTATTAATTATTATCCGGCAAAGCAGCCACAACGCAACGCAACGCAACAGGTCGCACGATGTCGTGAACCAAAAGCTTCCGCTTGCGTCTGGTATGTAATATAAAAGTTATTTATATATCAATACCGATACTAAAAACTGAAAACTAAAAACTAAAAACACAAAAATTGTATTACCGGTTTATTATATTAATTTTTAATTTTATTACACAATAATTCAGTGTAGTGTACCTCACACAATTCAATTTTAATTTTAACACGAGTAGAACTAATAAACTTGTAAATTTTACATTCCACTTTGTTATGAATTCATGTGTTGGTACAGCTTGCTGAATTGTTTAGTGATATTTTATATTTTGAGGTTACAGAGAGTTTCGCTGCATTCATTCGTTAGTATTTGTGGTTATATTTTAGTTAGGAGTTGGTGAAACTGAATATTAATGAAATAAGTTTGGCAACAGTGTTGGGCATAACGTAGGCAACTTTATTCACACACTGTGTTTAGTATAATATATTAATTTTAATTAATATTCACAATAATTATTTAATGCACACGATTTATTTTTAATTATAATTTTAACACGAGTAAAACCATTGCAGAACTAATCCCTACTAATATTATAAATGCGAAAGTCCTGATGTTTGTTACACTTTCACACAAAAACTACTTAACCAATCATCATGCAAATTTGTACACATATTCTTAGTGGTCCCCGAATGGTTATAGGCTACATTTTATTTATTAAAAATAATAATTTTTTAAATAAAATAAAGAAATTGTTTAGCCAATAATACCTCTGCAACTGGCTATTTGACTACTTTAACGCCATCTAGCATTCCAGCAATGAAGCTCAAATCTAAGTACTATAGTACTATCACATTGTATTATCACACTGTGTTACCGACAGCTACGTCAACATCAAATCCAATTGACTACACTATGGAGACTGTACACTATACTTCCATAGACTATACTTTCAGCCATTTTAAACTTCCCGCCATTCTACTTCATTGTTACTTCTTCTGTGACTACAGACCCGTACGGAAGCAACTTCATTATTTTAGATATTCGCGAGCGACGCCGCGGGTTAAAGCTAGTGAACTAATAAAATGGTAAATTTTACGCTTTACTTTTTTGAGAACATATTTGTTATGAATGTGTGTTGGTACAGCTTGCTGAAACGTTTACAGATATTTTATATTTTTGGATTACAGAGAGTTTTTACTGCGTTCAATCATTAATAATGATTATATTATAGTTGTGAGTTAGTGTAGTAGAATATTAATGAATTAAGTTGGTAGCAGTGTTAACTGTAACATAGGCAACTTTATTCACACATTATATTAGCTGTAGCACCAATCAACATACAAATTTTACTGTAGTCTATTAAATAATATACGAGTATTACGAAACACTTGGTATATGTATACGTTTAAACCACATGTGTATATTTATGTCCTCCACTAGATAAACTAACCAAATCATTACGTTCGAATTTATTGCGCGCATTTAATCCGTGTTCATCTTTTCTATTTATTTTTAGCAATACGCGTATATTTCGTTATTTGTCATATTGTTTTATGTGAGTTTTACATTTTGTGCTCTATTCCCAAGCGGAACATTAAATAATGCATGATATTGTAGGTTATATTGGTCAATGTATGTGGATCTAACCTAATATATATTTGATTTTATGCGCGATGCATAACGCATATGTTATTGTTGCGTAAAAATCAATGTATACGTTTCCACGTTTGTGCATTCGGTAAATTTGGACTGGTTTATCTGTTTATTTTAGAATGCACATGCACTTTGCGTCACGATCCGCGTCGTGGAGATATATTCGGAAATAAATCAACGACGTCAGACGCAACGAGCTCTGATAAATCACACAGCAACTAATTTAAAATATTTTTGAAATAGCAAAAAGATTAATGCGGATTTTTATCAGAATTAATGCGAGGTGGTTTTATTTTTAGAGAAAAATAAATAGGGTTGAATAGTTAATTAAAATTAATTAGTAAAATTAATTTAACAAAGGACACAATATGCATATATATTTTTTAGTACAATTAACATTTCCAGGTTTGCAGAAATATTAATATTCTGTTGGATGTGAGTAACACTTTCACGTTTAAATTAATGTGCAAATTCTCATGAATTTTGGTAAAAATAATTTATTTTTCTACTTCCACTTTTAAAGCGTCAGTTTTTTCACGGTTTTGCAACATAAAAAGTGGTTTTGTAAACACGGACAGCCAGGGCCATGACACAAGTACTGTAGTCACGGGTTTTAGTCACGGGGTGGAGCTAGCGCTTGCGCATTTACCACTTGATACTTAATATACTAAAAAAGAGTAATATAAGGGAGGAAAAGAAGAATAAGAATAAATTACTGTTAGAGCTATAATATAATTTGGAGCTACATGGCGCAAGCAGACTCTATGGTTCACTAAATTTGTAGAATAAACAGAATATGTTATGTAATAGCTTTTTTCCGCGACTTTGCCCGCGTCGATTTTAATAAAGGGAATTCTAATTACTTTCTGTGTTCCTGGAACTACTAGGTATATGCTGGCCCCGCAAATAAGCTTTACAGTTCCAATTTGATGAAATACGAAAAGCTTACAGTGCATTTTAGTGACATTTTAGTTTGTTTTATGTAACTATAACTATGACAGTACTTTCATATTCACTTTATCTCTTATTATACATAGTATATGATAAATATTAGCAAAAAAAAACAGCCTATGTACTTTTCCAAAGTAAAACATATTTCTATACCGAAATTTATCAAAATACGTTGAGTGGTTTATGCGTCAAAGCGACACAAATAAACAAACAAACTTCAATTTGCATTTATAATATATTATATTATATAAGATAATATATGTATATAAATTATATAGCTGCACTAGGCTCAAAACAGAATTTTAAATTATAGGAAAAAATTAATCTAGATAAAAATAGATCAAATAAATTCAAATAAATTTTGCAATAATTTTCTTTATAATAGTATTTTCTATATCAAGTGGTTAATGGCAGTTTTTATCACGAGAATGATTAAGAGTGAGCGTAACAAACGTTTAAGCTTGACCCCGTGACTAAAACCCGTGACTAAAGTACTTTACTCACGACTTTAGCCATTCATGTATAAAATACCAATTTTTGTGTCTCAAAATCGTGAAAAAACTGTCGCCTTAAAGGTTGAAGTAGAAAAAATGATAAATATAAAAAATTTAAACAATTTTACATATAAATACAAGAAATCTCTGTTAGTCCTCATGATTCACACCATTAATTCTGAATGATTGTATTAAATCACACCTAACACCGAGAATTATCTCACTGAAATGTTTGCTGAATAGTTCATTATCGGAAATGCTTGATTACGCACACTAACAGTCAACACAGTCAACAATAGCAAGCATGTAAGTAAACACTCGCGTGCTACACCGCCACGCATAAATCACATTAACACACGTCAATACAAAATCCAAAATTCGGCAACGCGCGCGAAATTAACGCAAATTAACCATTCCCACACTCATTATCATCACAATCCAGCACTCACACACTAATTAATTGATAAATACTGCAAAACCAAACAAAAATACAACCCAAATAAACAAAGTTCAATCAAATCAACAACTAGTTTGATTTTTATATTGTATTACCACTACACTACGAGTACACATATTGGTAGAGTTAAAGCTTTAAGCCCTGAGCTTTGCATTAATGGAAATTCCTAGAAGTGTGCTGCTAGCGTGTGTAAATAGCACTAAATTCAGGTCGTTGAGTATGCCGATCGTTCCGATCGACTGATCCCTTTTCGGATGATCGCATCTACACCTAACCCTGAATATCTTCAAGCTTTTGGGCCCTGCGAGGGAATTTCATTATTGATTACATCTGAATGCTTAGTTAAACATCATATTAAACTAATGCAAACATTTTATGAACTTACAGGTGGATATAGTTAACCAGGATAAATTTGAATATAATTAGATTTTGATGAGGAATTCAATTTGATCAAATTAACCACATGACTGTTAATTTCCTAAGTATATTTCATTATCGTATATTGAATAATTTAATATTGATTTTTGAAGTTGAAGTTTTCACGCTTTTGAAGCACAAAAAGTGGTATTTTAAACACGGAGGGTCAAAGGTGTGACTAAAGTACTTTAGTCACGGGTTTTAGTCACGGGTGGAGCTTGCGCTTGTGCCATCTATCGACGTTCTAAAGAATTATATTCCAAATTGAGAAGTTTTAATTTCTATGAAAGCAAAAAAAAAGTAATTTTCGTAATGTTTTCCTTTCAAAAGAACTTTTCACAACTTTACAAATAGCCCAAAATGTCGCGTATAATATCATACAACCCTTATAAAACCTCCACGACACAGGCGTGCAATAAACGTCCGCGTAATGGGCGCCTAATGGACATCCGAAGCACTCGACGTAGCCGTCCGCTCGTTATTGAATTTATTATTATTAATCGAATGGCGCACCGGAAAGCCATCTGAGCCTTCTAACCCCACAACAAAATAATCTCATATTGCACTTTATTATTTAATAATCTATCAAGTATTAATAAATATATATAGACTCATATTGACAAAAATAATAGATGTGTTAGTTACATCATTTATAACTTGAGAACGCGTGGACAGATTTTAATGATCTATGATTTTTTGGGTTTGTCTTAACCGCGAATAGGAGAATAACTATTAAAATGTCAGAATATTGGAATAATTTGCCACAGATGGCGCTAAAGTGAATTATTGCCATTTTCCATTGATTTTCAATAAAATTGCAATCTTTTTGATGGAATCGACACATTCTAGCCTCAAGGAAGTAAAAATTAATTAAATTTTTATTAAGCTTTACTAGAAAAACGATTAGTATTTATATAAAACTCAAAATAAATTAATTTTTTTATTTGGAGGTTAAGAATTTTAATAATCTATTACTTTTACACGTGTATACTGTGTGGTTAAACATGTAGTGTATACTTATTTGTATTTTGTATAATATAAGCTAAAATCGTGCCCTGGGGGGAAACTTAAGACTTAGATGCATCCTAGCAATATGAATTTTTCTGATGAAAATTTTAACGAAGCGGAGCGTAGACGAAACGTGAGCTTTCAGCTTGTCGACTCTCTGATCCCGCCGGCAAATGCAAATTAAGTTGTCTTCTTATTTTCTTAACTTTCATATGAATAAATAACATTTCTATGAAAACTGGTGAAATTATAAATATCATTGAATAATAAAAAATATAAAAAAATAAAAATAAAATTAAAATAATTTCATGGTGAATGCGCCGGGTTAACATTCACATTAATCATTATATTAAAGCAAAAGAGCAAAAAAAAACATATTAAATTATCTTACCTTGACATTTGAATTTTTTTACTCTTCTTATTCTCAATTTAATTACTTTTCGAATCAAAACTGTCGTAATACCATTAAATGCTCGTACATCAAAGCTTTCTGATTCATTCGGCGTCGAATTATGGTTTGGATAACTTTTTGTAACTTAATTTATTGTTTGTTGAATCACGCGCGATGCTTTTATGAACTCGATAAAGTCGATTTGTAAACTTTCAGCCTCTCGAAACTTGAATGTTTGAGCTTTCAGACGCACGACTCGTGAAAGATTTACACCGTAAATTCGGTGTAATTCAGTTGAAAGTTTAACGCATAAATAATGCGCGTTTTATGCGATTCAAACACATTTTCGACATTTTAAACAGCGCGTTGGATTTAATTAGATGAGCACGTTTTTGGAGATGGGTACATCGGCGGGGGAGAACGTGTTGCTCGCTCGTCCGATGTCGGCGTGCGACTGGAAAATGTGAAAACGTGGGAAATGTGAGAAATGTGGCGAGGGATCAGGTCGGGAAACTTGCGCAGCAACAAGCAGTGATGATGCTCTTCCAGACCTCGCAAACGCAACCGAATTATTTTTTTTTTCAGCGCTTTTTCGTCTTTATGACTTTTTTACGACTCGATGCATCTTATTACATTTGTGTTACGCTTTGCACGCTCATGGTAATCATTTTTTAATGTGTTATTTGATTTTTTACGACAAATAACAATTTTTAAAGTTTAAAAACAACTAAATCTTAGTATAAATAAATATTTATTAATTTTACAAGTAATATTCAGTAGTAAAAATTATAGGTTATGTTATTTTCATAATTGGTTGTGAACTTGGTTGCCTACATACAAATTGATTAATTTTTAACCTTAAAACACAAAAAATGATTTTAAAAACGTAGTGAAATGAAATTTTCTCAAAAAAAGTATGAAAGTAAATTAAAAGTGTCGTCAAGAGCATGATTTATGCGCAAAGCCATTGTGAATAAACCGGAAACATAAAAACTAAATGCCGCCACGCGCGGCCGACACGACACTCCACGTTCTTCAGCTTTCCGCGTTGAAAATTTCCGGTTTCAACTTGTTACGCGTGTCGTAATCGTAAATTAAACCAAACCCGAGGCGCAACGCAACTCAAATCTTCTCCGGTTCGTAATCTTGCAAATGAACTCATCATGCGACACTCGTATTTCGTCCTACTTATCTTGGTTATCCTGGATATTTCTGTTGGGTTAATAAAATTCATTTTTTATAATATTTTAACATTAAAAACATATTATTTACTTTCGGAACGAATTTTATGCACGGAATTTAATTCTAAGTATTTTTTATTAAAATATAAAAACGTCCAGGAATTTTTATTAAGTTTTTATGATCTATTTTCCTGGTATTTCATCAATTCCGCGCGCACAAAGCGCGCAATTCGTATCAAAGAATTTTTAATTCCGACGGTGGGATAAATTCAATAATGTTATGTGTATAAGTGGTTGCCTATAATCAACTCACGTAAATCATTTTATTTTCTGCGAAATTATTGCGATTTTCATGGTGGAATCAAAGTCAAATAAAAGAATCAAACGTTTTTAATTGTTTATTTCTGAAATATATTGATAATTAAGTAAATATTTGTTTTTATCGATAAAAACAAAGAAATGTGTAGAAAGTTTAATGTAAATTCATAGATATTCTGAGTTTACTAAGAAACAAAGAAGATTTAAAACAAAAACCGTTGAAAATATATATTATTATTCAATATTGAGACAAAACATTTACTCTTAATCAAAATATTACAGAGTCAATAAATATAAAATTGTTATTTCTAACAAGAATATAAATTCAATCAAAATAGTGTATGACTGGTTGCCTACCGCAAACCAACGTATTTGTATTTTCTGTCAACTCATGCATACGTGCGGCCTTCAGGTTCGAATCAAACTGTTTTCATGTCAATCTGATAACTTACCGTGATACGCAAAGATAACACAGCAAGAATTCGTCAGTTGTGTGTATTTACTCAGTGCAGAAACAATACAACCTAAAAATATGTGAAACCACGTGGAAACACAACATTTCCTTGCTATTCTATCAAAATATTCGCCAAAACGCAGTGAGTACAAGAAAATATCATTAATAAATTGTAATTTATTCATATTTATAAAATAAAAAACAGAAAATAATACAAGAAGACGAGAAAAGAGAAATAAATATGTTACAATATGGTTGGATCTATGTACAAAATCAAAAATAAAATACAAAAACGGAATGTACAAAGTCAATGTGTGTGTGTGTCAGTGTGTGTCGCTTAAATAATAAACTCATAATTTAAATAGTAAGTACAATAGCTATGTAATATTATGCATTTAATCACTATTATACCTTTAAAATGATAAATTAAATAATGTTACATACGATCAATATATTATATTACAAAATTCTAGTACATTTGAAACGTGCGACGATTCCAATCGCACACACGATATATAAATATTATTATTTAACTGTTTTAGATAAACGATCACTGGCCGTGTGGTTGCGCGCGTTTCTGGTTAATCTGCGCTGCTACAAGTTTTCACTCACGATGTGAACACGCGTGAGAATTTGAAAGTTCCAGACGCTGCTCACCGCTGGACGTTATTGAGTCACGATTTAATTTTCATTCAATGGACGCATAAAAATCATCTCTACCGTGTACCGAAGATAACAATGGTAGCGCCATCGTCGAGGGTTATTAAATCACTGGGGGTACACATTGGAATTATTTAAATACAGCCGTTCTATGACCGCATGTGTGATGGTATAAGCACATCGCCGAAGATGTACAAGGTGCGTGCGTACCAATGCACGCCAATTGGTGTTGGGTTTGTATTTGCGACAATATGATTGTCAATGTCATTACTAAGCACTTTGGTGATGTCTTCTTTCGTCTTGGTTGGCGCATGCCAGCCTCGCAGCGGACTGCGCACTATGTGATACAGCCGTACGACACCTTCGCGTAAATTAGTTAAAAGTCTTAATGGGGCGAACACGGCGTGCGCTAGTCGAGCGCTGTCGATGGTCGCGTAGCAGGAGGCGGCGACGCCGTCGACGACGACGGTGCCGGCTTTCGTCAGCGGGGCGTACACCCCGGTGCGTAGAACTGCTTCTATTCGTATCAACTCGTCGGCGATGAGTTGTTGTGTGGACGCGTTTTGCGAGCTGGTGAAGAGCACGTCGCCGACGCTAAGGCGATCCGCGTACATTGTCCGCACTGCACCAGAGTCGCGCACATCGCGTGTCATGATGAGATGGGTGGGTGTGACGGTGAGCACCCGGCCGGAGCGTAGATGGAGTCGGAGGAACGTGCGGCGTTCGTTGGGGTTGTAGTCGAGGAAGAGGAACACCTCGCTGAAGGTGGTCTCCAGGGTGATTGGGTCCACGGATTGGATGTAGTCACCCACTTGCACCTCGGACATTGTCTTTTTACCCTGCGGGGTTAATACTGTGCTGTCTTCGGTGAAACAACCGCCGTATTTGGCTGCTTGGGAAGATTCTGGAAAAAAATTGAGTTTGTATTAGTTAAAAGTTGAATAATTCATTAAGTAATCGGTGGATTTTTATGATTTAAACGTTAATCGAAAGGTAATTAAATATTTTATCAGATTATTATATAATTTGTTTATATAACAGTTTATAAATGAGTTTTATGGGACTTTAAAGTTAAAATTTGTGTTTTGAGGTTATATTTGTTTAAAATTAACTTTTCTACTAAACTAATCGGTGGATTTTTATTTTCTAAACGGTTTCTGAAAGACTATTAACTGAACTATTATTCATATTCATTTTTATAAACAAATTTTTGTTATTTAATCGAAAAATAACCAAAAAACTTAAACTTTCAATGATTTTATTCAAGAATTAATTTTAACTTTAATTTTTAGTCTTTGTAAATAACTTCAAAAACATTCTTCACATGAAATCTAATAAAATATTTAATTAACTTTCATTTTGCATAGTAAAACATAAATATTTAAGTAGTGGTAGACGTGATTCCGCGTATCTCCCAAAATGTAAGTCGTAATTTTCCACCTAACTAAATGTGACTAAATTTGTATTTTGTTGTTATCCTAAGATAACAACTGCAAATCGTTTTTGGTGTGGTGTGGCGCGCGTTGGCAGATAAAAAAGGATTACGTCTGTAATCTCGCCTCCTTCTTCGGGGAAAAAGCAGCCGCACAGCCGGTTTGAAGAAGCAGCAGAATAAGCACGTAAAATTCCCATTTTTGGCAAGGAAATAATGCGATTTTCTAGTATGCTAATGGGCATTAGATTAAGCCGCTAGTTAATCTTTGCCCAGCCAACGCAACCACCATTGACATTCAAATTGAAATTCTAACGCAAAGTCGTTTTACGCCTTGTTGACTTCAATTTTTAGCTTTGCGTATGACATCAACATCACAAGCAAGATTTGTTAATTATTTCGGGCTTAAAATGTTGGAAGTAATGTGTTTTTTTTGTGTGAAATTGTGCGTTGGGCGTTTTGTGTTCAAGAGTGAGATTCGTGCCGCGATCGTTTTGTGCGTTCGCTATTTCGTATCGTCGAATCGGTCGAAAACACGAACCGGTTCTGCTTCTTCTCTTCGTGCTCATCTTCGACTCCGCGCAGCACTTCATGCTCTCCTGATGCTCATTTCAACGTATAAAATCAAAAACAACTCGGCTTTTATAATATCAACGCAGAAAAAGTATAAATAACTTTTGTGGCGCAGGTTTAAAGTTGAGGAATTATTTTTGAGCGCTATTAAAATAAGATATGAGGTGGCATTGAATGACGAGCGTCGAAATCGGACACTTTGATGTCATCAACTAACATGACACCGTAGGTTTATCAACGGGTAGCAACCCACGAGATAAATTCATTCATTTTTAGGTCAAGCTATTTATAAAAATGCAATTAGACAAAAATTATTCATAAAAATAGCCTTAAATCATCAAAAAATTAATTTTTATCTTTCCAGTACTTTGCAAGCTATTTAAACTAATTTATCACATTTTTCTTTAAATTTTCATTATCACATCTTATAGGGTAATTAATAATCTTGCAATTAAACTTTAAATAATCAAAATCCGTCAATAATTAAAAAAGTTATAAGCAAATAATTACCTGATTTCACTGAGCAGTGAATATGCGCTCGACTCTCATAGTAAACCCAGTCGAAGCCGGCCTCCACGGCGAGCCTCGCCAGCATGCCGTACTTTGATCGATCACGATCAGACGTGGTGATGTCCACCGCTCGTCCTTCATAGTGCAGGGAGTCCGAGGCATGTAGTCCTTCTTCGTCCCAGCCCTCTGTGACTCGCAATCGAACACCAGGCCATTGATTCATTACAGAAATTGCAAGAGTGTTTAATTTCTCTTTGCATCTCTGAAAAAAATAGATTTTTAATTAAAATTTTGACTAAGAATAATTAGAATGAAATTATCTTTCATTTGAGATAAAAATCATAACAATTGAGTGATTATTAACAGAGATATAAACATTTTATGAGAAGAAATAATTAGAAAGTTGAAAATTATTTTTTTTGACTTTTTGAGCAAATTAAAGATGAGTTTGATAGGTAGAAAATTAATAATCGGTGATATTTAGCCACAAAAGTCATAAAATTATATTTTATGCACGAAAATAAGGTCGAAATTGAGATTGTTAGTTGAAATTCTTATGTCACAATATTTTTATAGGTTATAAAATGAATTTACGCGATTTTAAAGGTTTTCTCTTCATTTTATGCATAAAAATACGAAAATAACGCTCAAATACTATAAATTTTTTATAATCACTTCGAAAATACTTCAAAAACTTGTTTAAATGTCAACATAAACAAAAATAAAATCATGTACGAAGTAGACTGATCCGAACGCCATCTACGAGTAAACGTAACGTTTCTACGCTACTAAAATAATAGTCAGTGTCTTGTAACCTTAAAAATTTACATAAGCATCCATTTGTTTAGTTTCGTGGAATGTACGCATATATTCCGGCGTGTTTAAGTTGAGAAACTGTTGTGATTGATTGACACACGTGAAAAATTGATTACGACCGTGTTTGTGCATCGTCGGACACGGTTTTTCCTTGTTGCGCGTCACCCCGCTTTGGCGTGTAAATCGTTTGTGTGCGCTTGTGTCGAAATGTACATCGGCATTGTGCGCGCATCGCGCCATTGTCCGATTGCGTCGCATCTTCTTGCGCGCTGTTTTGCCCGAAGGGGCGCAACGTTGACGAATTGCCCTCGGGCGTGGTGAGATGCCGCGCAGCGGGTGGTGCACCTTTGTGAGTGAAAACTTTAAAATTAAAATACCACCACGGCTTAGAAAACAAAAATTTAGAAAACGGAAATTCGGTGTGTGCGAAAAATGCTAGTGTTGATTCGATACGGCTGCGCTTTTTACGTTTTCAAAAGTCAAACCGTGAACAACCCTCCAGGAAGGTTTGTTTGATGAAAACACCGGCGATGTTGTCATAATATTGATTTTGAGCAGTGGAATCTTTTGCAAGTGTTTTGCTTAGAAGTTTCGGCAAAAAACGGAAAACGGAAAAACCACATTAAACAATAAAAACGGTTTTTGTTTAGTATTAATTATTTTATGACGCTATAAATTATGGAAAATACTTCCTGTGGTTTGTGGAATATTGTGCGAAATGAAAACATTGGAAATTCCAAATCATAAAGTTTATTTATTTTTTGTTGTGAAATAACTCGGCTATTTAAACACGCATAAAAATGATTCATATATCAATAGAAAGAGAATTTATTCAAGATTAATGTGATTCAAACAAAAATATTAATTGAATTTAAATTTTTATGTAATTCATGTTTTTGTAAAAATTTACGTCAAATTTTCATCCATAGAGAGTTAAAAATGATTATAACTCGGAAATTAAAAGAGATAACGACGCCATTTTGATTGCTATCGGTAGATCTTAATAAAATCAATAATAAATTATTATTACTAATGTCTGTATTAGCAACAATTAATAATTATTAAAGAAAAACAAAAGAAACAACGGGTTTTTGAAAAATTTTAAAATTAATCTTTAAAACGTTATATCTCCATAATTAAAAATCTTAGAATATTGATTTAAAATACAGTAAGAAGATATTTTATCAAAGAATATTCCTACAAAATATGAACTCTCTAGTTTAAATAGTTTTCGTATAAATAACAAAAAAGTAACATAATGTCAATTTGAACAAAACCTCTTGTAACTTGTAAACTAAACGTGCTAAAAACACAATTTTTCCTCTCATGTGTAGATCTAAACAAAGACTTCATCATGGACCACACACAAAACCACACGCTATTACCATTCAGCCGCAAATTAAAGAAAAGCATAAAAATTATAACAAATCAGCGCTGTTTACAAAGCGCGCAATTTTTCTTGCAATTTTCGTTGAAGACTAAACATAATTACACGACGAATTGCCTCCACCATTAAACACCTTCTTCGACACCGCGTAGGTACAAACAACGCAATTGCGTACGATATTTACGGGCGTTCTTCGCGTTGTTGGCGCGCGCAAATCTATGAGTTATTGCATAGTTCTCGGTTCTCGTGTTTCAACTCGCCAAAGCCACTTTCTGTTTCTTGCGCGCCCAGAGAGACCATTGGTCTCCGCGCAAGAAGAAGCAGCCGGCACCTGCGCGGGTCAACTCTTAAAAAACCGCGAGAGACCCGCGATGGCCTCAGTAGGCGGAGGCAACGGCGGGTAACGTCCTCCTCTCAAGAGAAACAAAACAAAAACGCGCATACAACTCACATAAGAATCTTTTTTTAAAAAAACTTTTAATATAACTACGAGTACAATACAAGTGAAGTCATTTCGGTAGGAATAGTTATAGGTCATTTAGTACTTCATCACATGTATTGTGTTATTGGTTAGGTTATGTTGTGTCGTGTTAGTGGAAAGCACGCGCACGCCATCTGCTAATAAATACGATTACGGTCTTTAGCGGATCGTGCACTACAATAGCACAATGCGCGTTGAGCGTTGAGCCGAGAGTTGAGGAGATGTCTTCGCGTTAACACCTCTTGCGTTCGCACGTTTGCGCGCATTTAGCAGCAAACAGCAAAAAGTTACGGGGAACATAGAAAGGAATATTCGTGATTTAGAAAATAAGCAGTAAACATGAAGCGTGGAAGTAGAAAGTGAAAACTTTAGTTTTGAGATGAAATATTGTCGTAAAATGACGAATAATTTATTAACTATTTACGGTAAACAAATCGTGTGTGTATTATTTGAAAGAGAATTTATTCTAGTTTTTATTTATGCAGATATCGTTGTTGTAGATATTATAACCTCAAAATTATAACGGATTTATTGAAAAAAAAAAATGAAAAAAAATGTTTTTTTGAGAAAAACATTAAATAACTCGAAAAATATTCACGTTTTACAAAAAATTACTTAACAAAATGAAAGTTTATTTAATTGTAGTCTTAAAATTGGTAAAATCATGAAAATCGAATGATTGTAGACGTTTTTACAGCGTTTTTAAAACTTTTAATTTTTCAACTTTTATTTTTAGCTAAATTTTTTTTTACTTCAGCCAAAATTGCAGCCCCCGGGATTCCGTTTAAAACTTCTCATTTTCTCACAAAAACTATATCAATGCATGTGAGGTTTTTGTGAAAACATGGGCGGTGCGTTTGGACTTGTTGCGGCTTTTTGAACCCTCGACGCGCGAGAGTTCAGTATGTCGAATAATGCGAGCGTTTTTCGTTTCGCCGACCGCAACATGGTCGCCGCCGGTGCGCCCAATGGCGGCGAGTGAACTTTTCGGGACGCAAGCAGCGCGCTGTCCGAAAAGAAAAGAATGTTAATGTTCACCGGGGAAGGAAGGTTAAGCGCGGCCGGGCGGCGTTTGTCGGCGCGCCAACTGGCGCTGTTTGATGTGCCGGGCTTTTGGCCCCCCACAATGGCTGACACAAATTAAATAAATTGCTTTTCTATTTCTCTCGCTCCGCTCAAACCGGGAAAAGCGTCAAATTTACGAAAAGAATGAAAAAGCGTCCATTAGTACGTCTAATTTTTCGAAATTTATTCACCAATGGCCATGGAATATACACAAACATACCCAAAATAGAAATAAATCAGTCGCCATGTTAACTTTTACCTAGACACTCGAAATAGATACTTTGGAAGTGATAAAAGGTAGAATTATGAAAATGTGAATGATTCAAAGTCAACTAGGCGCGTAATTGAAAAGTGCAAGAGGTTTTTCTGTAGCTCTTACATCTTAAAAAGTATTCGGAAGCTGAAAAGTTAATCAAGTGCGAAATTATCTGCTTGGGAATCGAATTAAACAAACACAATCGCATTGTGTTCGACAGCGGTCGCCGGCACATGTTGAGGCATGTTAAGATTGTAAAGTTAGAGGATTACACTCGACCCAAACCAAGAATTAAGTAAGCGTATAATTTAAAAGTCTTGGATTAACTTAAACACTGAAAATTTCAACGAAAAAATAAAATTTTCTGGATTTTGTCAAAATACGGGCACATTTTAATATTTTTCAAATTTATTTATAGTGAATTTTATAGAACACATTATCAGCTTTCTGATAAAACAAAAATAATTTAATAATTTCGATTAGTTTTCGAGTTATAATGATTTTTGTAAAATTTTGCAATTTTCTAAAATTTTACCTGAAGTGTTTCACTAAAACTCGTGCAAAATAAAAACTACAATAGTTAAATAATTTTTCTAAAAATATATAAAATCTCCATGAAATTGTCTTTAAAATGACACTTTGATCAATTTTCTCGCATTTAAAGTAACTGAGTTATAACGTTTTAAAAATGCGCAAGTTATGCCGCAATATAAAATGCATTCGTTTCTTAATTTTTTGCAATCTTATCGCCTATAATAGTGTAACGAATGGCCGGCCATTTCATCGCATACCGCGTAAGAAACATAAGAAATATCCAATCCAATAGTGGCCCCAGCGCCCATGAAATGAGAACACACGTTTATACCAGCGCCGCACACACTAGCGCCCCGCATGTGTTGTGTATGCGTGAGCTTTAAGCTCTCTTGGAAAGATGGCCGCCATTGGCATTGCGCCGCCGCTGCCGTAATAGTTAACAAATGAGATGAGCGAACGAAAGAATGAAAGAACAGCCGCGCATGCACACACACACACACACATACACACACAACAAGCGCGAGTTCAACGCCGAGAAAGAATGAGCATTCCAACTTCCAACCAATTCCCGACCATAATATTCCACCACACAGCGTTGAAGAATTCATGTTCGGGTTTCACCACGCTGTGTGACTCTGCGTGATTTGATTTCGAACATAGCCAAACACTACACACATTTTTATGTAATATATGCAACCAAATGTACACTCAAGCAATACAACA